GCCCTTGTGGTGATTTCATGAGTGGGGGACTTGGCATCATGATGGAGTCGGATTTTTCTGGCTCGGGGGGATCGGATGCGCAAAAGTTGGGGAAGCGAAGATCTCGAAGAAGGTTATCGAGACGGGAAGGCAAAGATAAGAATAGTTGAGTAACATGGCATCATGTCGTGCACAGTAAATCATCATCCGTCCTCTTTGGACACTCTCCATTGGGACTGTGCTGATGAAGCTTTTTGATGTCGCCGAGAAGGGATTGCCCGTCCACACTGTGGTCCGCTTCGGCGAGTGGAAGGACCGAATAGTTTTGATGAGGTAAAAGGTCCCCGGTGTTGTGGGATTGTCTTGGCTTTCTGGAGAGCTGCCGCCGAAACCGCTGCTGCTCGCCATGCGAACCTGGAATACCGTGACCGGCGCGCGGTACCGACCGACCCCTCGCTCATATCTTTTGTGTTTTGTGTTGGAACAGCAACGGGACAAAGTGTATGACAAAGTCCACCAATGGTCGGACGGCATGAGTTAGCCGGTACAGGCACCGAGATTGAGAATGTCAAATTACAGGGTCGAAAATCGGTTAGGGCTGACAACCATCATCTCGATTATCTGTATCCAAGATGCGATGAACAGATTTTCGTTTTGTGTGTGGCAATTCCAGGATGACGGACATGTCGAATGCAAGTCACGAGAAAGTGGACTGTGGGCAGGTGGAAGATGCAAGCCGAGGCAGCCTCAAGAAACGAGTGGATATGCCAAGCCAACCAACAGAAAGCCATCGTGCAGTAGCGCCCTTTGCCCCTGAGGTACGTAGCACTTTGTGACGCAACTAACTCGGCATTTGCGTTAACGTCCGGTGTGTTTCCGGTGTGTTCCCGTTTTTTGCCCAAGGAAATATCGCACACAAAACGGTTTGGTCATTTGCGACAAACCAACACCTTCGCAAGAATAAGCTCACTGCGGCATGCCCTATAGTAGTATAACTACTGCGACAGATGCGACAGGATGAAGCCAGCCACGCCAGCGTGGTGCGACCAAAGTGTACATCCGGCGCCGCCGCTTTTTACACAAGCATCCCCTATCATGCGAGAAATAAGGTGTGGCTGTCGCGTGCAGTTTCCTTCACATTTGCATACGCCAATGCGATACAAGTCAGTCATCGAACGAGTGGGACAAACGGGGCCGATTGCGATCAGAGGATCTCCGAGATCCGGAGCCTCTTGTCGTTGTTCATCGTCTTCATCAACGGTGATGAATATGACCCCCGTGGGTGAGAAATTAGCGGCCGCGACCGATATATAAGTAAGATAGTAGGGTAATACGATATCGTCTTCATCAACGGTAATGAATATGACCCCCGTGGGCGACAAAAAGATAACAGGACCTAATACCTTTATAAATAATAGAGGCAATCGCAAAGCAGAAAAACAACCTCGGGATTCGTTATCCACTAGGGTAGTCAATTGGCTCCATCCAGAAGACCACGGGTTCCACGGGTTCCACGCGTCCACGACATCTCCAGCGATCCATTTGGCATCGTTCGGCTCCATCGACTCCATCGCCATCCGTGCTTGCTCAGCGCTAATGCGACCGTCGTCCCAAGTCTTGGCTATCTCAATTCCTGTGTCTCCCAAGTCCCAACACCTCGTCGGCGCTCCCCACCCAAACAGTCCAACACCGGACGTAGACGGCAAATGCTTTCGGCTGTCTCCTCTGTGATTTGTCAATCTTGCCTCAGTTGGGTGGAACAGTCCCGAAGACAGTCGAGTGATTGTCGGTGAAAGGGCGAGGACTCCGTCAACCGATAAGACTTGGCACTTGCGAAACAATCCAAACGGCTCGCGCCTTCCCCGGCCTCCAGAACCGGCGCTGCCAGTGGAAAGTCGCACCGGTGCTTCATGCCGTACAAGGAAGGAGGATTGTGCCAAGCCCCGGTTTTCAGGGACATCCCACGGACGACCGAGTGGTCTCGGTGGTCTCCTTCCGCTCTCGCGGTGGTGTCCTTGCTGACAATATCCTCTTTCTGGTTCACGCCTTCCTGTCGCCCCCCAGTCATTGCTTTCTAGCCCTTGTGGTCGCGTGCTCTCGATGGGTCCTTGATGTGACTCTGCTCATGGACTTGGTCTCGTTTTTAACTCGGCGTCTCCCCCGCGTCGAGCCCATGGTTGCTTCCCCAGCTTCTTCGTGACCCTCCTCCCCATCCCGAGTCTCGACTTGACTCCCGCTTGTTCATCTCATTCGAGTCGCAGTCTTTGACCAAGCCAACGGTCCTCGACAGGCTCTCCACATCCAGTGTCCTCCCAACCTCCCCCCTCCCCTGCCCATAACAGAGGCCAGAGGGTAAAATTTTTACTGGAGCGACTGGAGACATTTTACGAGATAACAACACCAAAAGTCCACAATGGGTATGTTCTTTCCATGTTCGCGCATATACACTGTTGCTTCCGTCGTGCCGATTCCCGAGTGTTACCTTGGACCACTCGACTGCATCTTCTCCCATCCTGGCCGCTCCTTCAGCTTCTTCCCCCGATCATCACCATCTCAGCAGTCTTGAACCACCAGACTGACACATGGCAAACACAGCTACGACAGAGATTGTGGCCGCTGATGGCAGCTCCAACTACGAAAATGACTTGGAGAAGCACAACACGGCCAGCACCACCCACAAGAACATCCCCATCGAGGACGACTACGAGGGCAAGCCCACCCAGGAGGAGCTCGACACGCTCCGCCGTGTGCCCGGCACTCTCCCCATCATTGCTTATTTGATTTGCATTATCGAGTTCTGCGAGAGAGCGTCGTACTACGGTGTCCAGCCCCTGATCAGCAACTATGTCAACCGTCCCATGCCCGAAGGCGGCAACGGTTGGGGTGCTCCTCCCCGTGGCACTCAGAAGACAGCCGGTGCCCTCGGTTTGGGCCAGAGTACCTCCAACGCCGTCACTCAGTCCTTCTCCATGTTGGCTTATGCCCTTCCCCTCCTCTTCGGCTGGCTGGCCGACGCAAAGACTGGCCGCTTCAAGCTTATTTGCTGGGGTGTCGTTGTTTTCGGTGTCGCCCACGTTCTCATGGTCGTTGCCGGTGCCAAGAACCTCCTTGCCGACGGAAGCACCAAGGCCCCCTTCTTCCTCTCGGTCTACATTCTCGCCCTTGGTTCTGGTGAGTAAGCTCCCTTGAACCACTCTGAAAAAAAGACTAACTCGTTACAGGCATGTTCAAGCCCAACGTCTCTCCCCTTCTCCTCGATCAGGTTTCCAACACCAAGCCCATGATCAAGGTGCTCAAGACCGGCGAGCGCGTTATCGAGGACCCCGAGGCCACCACTGAGCGTGTCATGTTGTGGTTCTACCTCGTCATCAACATTGGTGGTTTTATGGGTGTTGCCACTGCCTACTCCGAAAAGTACATTGGCTGGTGGCTCGCCTTCGTCATCCCTCTCATCCTCTATCTTCCTCTTCCCTTTCTCTTGTGGTTCCTCCGCAAGCGCCTCATCCTCCACCCTCCCGGTGGCTCCGATCTCCCCAACGTTTTCAGGGTTCTCGGTGTCTGCCTCCGCCGCGGTGGTTTCAAGAAGGTCGGTCGTCACGGTTTCTGGGAACTGGCCAAGCCTTCCAACATTGCTGCTGCCGGCCTTGAGGGTGCCTACAAGATTGAGTGGAGCGACCAGTTCGTTGAGGATGTCCGCCGTACATTCCAGGGTACTGGTATCTTCTGCTTCTTCCCTATCCAGTACCTCAACGACAACGGTCTCGGTTCCGCCGCTAATTTCTTGTCGACCATGTTGAGGACGGATGGTGTCCCCAACGACGTCATTTCCAACTTCAACTCTCTCAGTATCATTGCCGCTGCTCCCCTCCTTAACTACGGCTTGTACCCCACGCTTAGACGGTTCAACATCCACTACGGTCCCATCGCTCGCATCACCACCGGTTTGGCCATGTCCACCATCGGCGGTGTAGCTTATACCGTGCTCAACTACTACGCCTACAAGCTGTCTCCTTGCGGCGACTACGGTTCCAGTGACTGCAATGTCGGCACCGGTGTCGCTAACATCAGCATTTGGTTCTTGGCCATCCCCTTCGCCATTGGTGGTATTTCCGAGTTGTTCGTCAACGTGCCTGCTTACGGTATTGCTTACTCGCGCGCTCCTGTCAACATGCGAGGTCTCGTCTCGGCCATCAACCTGTTCTCCACGGCTGTGGCCTATATCATCGGTCTTGCCTGCTCTTCGGTTGTTACCGATCCCTATCTCACCTGGGTCTTCGGTGGCCCCGCCATTGCTGGCGGTGTCCTCACCATCGTCTTCTACGTCACCTTCAGGCACATCGACTCGGAGGAGACCGTCTTCTCCCAGAGAGAGACCATTGAGGCTACTCCTGCCGATGACTCCAGCAGCCAAAATGGCGAGAAGGCCCTTCCCGCCTACTCCGAGGAGAAGAAGAACTAATAGCACAGTTGTGCATAGGCTAAGAGGTGATCACCCTTGGCCTCATCGACTTTTCTTCTGGATGCGATAAGCGAGTGGTTCATCTGAGATGGGCATAATGGTGATTTTCGGTGGGAATTGTATTATTTATTTTGCGATGATTTGGATGGTCATACTGGGCGCATCTTGCATGATTGGATGATCGGTTGGATGGGTTCGGAAACTTACGGCATTTCACGTCATGAAAATGATCATGATGAAGGGCGGGCCATTTGGATGTAATATTTTGGCTGGTCCGAGGATGAAACGACCGCACATGTACATATAACTAACGATACCAAAGAAGAACAAGCTGTTTAACAGTATTTGACATTTTGGCTTGGGTTGTGGTGTTGTCCTCTCTGTTTATAAAGGAGTGAAGTCAGCCTTGAGGGACACCCTATTAGACGAACCACGGTTCGTTTGAGGATGCGACGCTGTGCTCCCAATTGTGCGCCATAAAGATATGCAGGGGACGAGCAAAGGAGATTATCAAAAAGTAGGTCTGCGGCGAAGCTGACACTTTTAAAGTTCTGCGCCGCACCAAAAAGCTTACAATTGGACAATATGGGGGAGGTCGAACGAATGCTTGGCACAACAGAAGCGCGCTTATCACCCTCAAGTGTAGAGGAGCTGAAACTCTAAATCGTTCGACGATACCTACTCGTCTGAGCGAAGCCTGGGGGCGCAAGACGCTTCTAGCCGAGACGAGTACGCAGGAACGAGGCTGACTCGGAATTCGAATCTGGTACCTGCTTAAACATAGCACGCCCAAGCCAGCAGGCCAGCACATATGTGATGGCGGCTATTAGGAGTTGGCGCCACGAGCGGGCAGCGGCCATATAGAAATTGAGCTGAAAGCGATGTACTACAGTAAGTCGGCAATAAAGACTTGTTCAAGTCGCATCCCCTTCTTTCACTTCCCTTTCTCTCCGTTTCGCCTCCCATTCCCTCATTGTTACACAGTCCTTTCTCACTCAAGATGCTCTCCCTCACTCCTTTTCTACCTCTAGTGACGAAACTCCTGTTGCTCATATCTCTAAAACCTGTACACGTATCAGCCACCACGCCAATAGCTTTCATCAACCCGCCTCCTCTTCGCCAAGAGGATCGCGACGACAGCAAGAATGCTGTTTACAAAATCGGAGCGACAATGACGTTGCAGTGGACCGAGGACACGGAGGTTCGCTCGTCGTTGGTGCTTTATCAGGTGCCGGGGGATGGGTTTGAATATGTTGCTCGTAGGTTCTTCTTTTGCTTTTCTTTTCCCTGGTTTTTTTTTTTTTTTTTTTTTTTTTTTTTGTGGCGATCCCGGCACATAACACATGCCATGTTTGACGATGACAACGACAGTGCCGTCGTCGACGACGACTACGAAGATGACGGCGGCGGCGATGACCAACGTCGCTAATGCTAACACCCTACAGCCAACCACGTCCAAATAACCGACTACCTCTGGATCGTAAACACAGCCAAAAACCTCTCCTTCTCCAACGTCTTCCAGTTCGCCATCTATTCCAACGGCTCGACGACCCCGAACGCAACGAGCCATTACTTCAACATCACCTCCGGGTCTTCCTCCTCCTCCTCGCCAAATCTGAGTGCGGGTAGTCTCCCAGTGACAACAACTTCCTCCGCCTCTCCACTTCCTTCTTCCACCGGTATAACAACCAAGACCTCTTCTGCTGGAGCAGATGCACTCGACTCAAAAACATCGACAGCGACAACACCAGCCAGCACGGACGGAGCACTTCAAAGCCAAGAAAGTGGAAACAAAAAGCTCTCAACCCCTTCAGCAGTCGGCATAGGCATAGGCGTCTCCTCCGCCCTCTTCCTCGCCATCGCCGCCGGTGCCTTCGGGTACTGGATTTTCAAGGTTCGGCCGAAACGGAACAGCATTAGCCACCACGCAGTGGAGCTGCCACCGCCGCAAACACCGCACATGGCGCACACGGGTTTCTGTGGTCCTACGATGGTTATGAATGGGAACACCGGCAACGGGAATGGGAATGGGAATATGTATCAGACAAAGGACATCTTTGGGGGAGAATTGCAGGGTCATAATGGACCGGGGAGGAATGGGGGGTCATCGGTTTACGAGATTGATTCGCAGACTGGTAGTGCATTTGCGTGGGATAGGACGAGGAAGTAGTAGTCGAGGGGAGGTGTAATGGGGAGGTTGTGAGGAGGAAAGGGGGGAGATGAAGGGACATACTAATCTGGGAAGAAAGACGAATGAATAAAAGAAGGAATGAGGTAGATATTGTAATACCGTGGGAATTAAGATAGAATATGATATCATGATGGGTGGGGAGTTGGGAGTAAGTGGTATTTAATTCGCAGCATCAATTGCATTTGATGACCATCCATGAGCCAGTCTTTACGAACAGCAAAAGGAAAAAAAAAAAAAAAAGGTGGTACAAATACCTCATTTCTTAGCGCCGACAAATTGGGAAGAAAAAAGAAGGCAAAATAAAGCACTGTACCAAACAGAGAAACAAGAAAGAGGGAAAGAAGAAGGGAAAAAAATTAACGAAAAAAAAAAACATGCAGATTTGTACTCAACGTCCGCGGCAACAACACCAGCCAACACAGACGCAGCAGCCATCGGCGCTCAAAGCAAACAAAGCAGCGGTAACAAACTCTCAACCCCCTCAGCAATCGGCATAAGCATAGGCGTTTCCTCAGCCATCTTCCTTACCATCGCCGCCGGTGCGTTTGGGTATTGGATGTTTCGTGTGCGGGCGCGGCCGAAACGGAACATGATGATGGGAGACAACAACAACAACAACAACAACAACAACAACAACAACAACAACAACAACAACAACAACAACAACAACAACAACAACAACAACAATATTGCGGAACTACCGCCGCCGCCGCCGCAAACACAAACGCCGGCAGGTTGTTTCGTGGGGAGGGGTCCTGGTGGTATGGATATGACTGGAAACACGGCCTGGAACGCCGGGAACGGGAACGGAAACGGGAATGAGGGAATGTACTATCAGACGAAAGATATCTTTGGGGGAGAGTTGCAGGGTAGTAATGGCCCAACACATGGAACTTCAGTTTATGAGATTGATTCGTCGGCGCACTTGGGTTCTGGGGGGCTCGCGTGGGGTCGGGCGAGGAGTAAGTAAGTAAGGTAAGTGGGAGGAGGCGAGGGTGTGAAGTCGAGAAATGGAAGGGAGGTAGGTGGTAGGTAAACAGGGCAGGAGGGAACTGAACAGAGAGGATGGTCAAATGTGTGTGATGCCGAAGGATGAATGAAAAGAGTTGAGATGGACATCTATCTCTATACAATGGGAAACACTGAAGGAATATCATCATTCTTGGTAATACGAAATACGTGCAATTAAAACGCAACAGCAATTTAATGAGCATTCGTAACTCAGGGCCTCGCGATCAGTAAAAAGAGAAAAAAAGTGGTGCGAATACCTGATGCGTATCATGAAGCAGAAAGAAAAGAAAGAAAAGAAAGAACCATGTAGCAAGAAGAGAAACAAAAGAAAACGGGAAGGAAAAAATATCTCAAAAAAACATACAACACCAGGGATTCGCTGGTCGTCACCGACCCAACTACTAGTCTGGCCCTCACTGGCTTATCTATGGGAGAGCGGACGGGATCCCGAGTTTTCCAGTGGGTATGGTCGTATGTGCTTGTTATATCCTAATGTGGGACTTATATTCCATGCTGCGGGGCACTTGCTTGCACTCGGCGTCCAGTACGCGACCATGGATGACCCCGACCGTCGTGGCACCATCAGTGCTACCTGCCACACATCATCCTCCGTCGGGTTAATGTCGAGGCTGAGACTTTTCCACTGTCTGCTGCGCCCCATGATCATGGCCATCCATCCATTCCCAACCTCCCGTCCCCAGCCCACACACACTCACTCCTACACCAACCTCAACAACGGAAACCTTCCCCTCCTCTCCCTCACCTCCCGCACCGCCTCCTCCGCCTCCTCCCTCGTGCCAAACCTCTCCGGCCACTCCACCCCCGGAATCAATCCCCGTTTACTCCTAAGCAAGAAAAACCCCATCCGTCTATACGTCGGCAACGGCAACCCGTCGTCCTCCCCCACCGTCCCCGTCCCCAACTTTTCCACCAAAAGGCCATGCATCCACCTCGTCTGCCTCACCTCGCCTAAGCCCACCAGCCTGACCATCAGCACGCCTACGTTTTCTGGTCTTAGTAGGGGGGTGGTGAGTTGTAGTGGCCGGTCAAAGTAGATCCACCACGCCGACCGCCGGATGAGTTGAGCGTGGTGCTTGTGCTTGACGGTTCCGGAAGATTCGGATTTGGAGCGCCAGTCGAAAAAGACTTGGGATAGGTCGATGGCGTTGATGCCGTCGTAGAGCAGGCCGCGGAGGACGAGGGCGGAGGAGTCGAAGGCTGTGTAGTCGGTGCTTGTACCCCCGGGTACGATTTTCTCGATGACAACCATATCCTCGACTCGATCGGTGGGTTGCGTGGTGAAGCAGACGCCGAAACCGAGGTATGAGGGACAAGCGGCCCAGGACCAGGAGGGGTAGAGTTTGAGGACTTCGGTCGCGCGGGCGTTGAACGATTTTTGTTCGGTGGCATCTTCTTCGGGCCAGCGTTCGGGGTTGGGAATAGAATCGACGTGGTAGGTTTCGCGACGCCAGAGGAGCTGGCGGATGAGGTCGCGCTTCCAGAGGCCTGCTATGCACCAGTCGATGTTGTGCTGGTGCTGCTGACCTTGCTGGCTTGACTCTTGCTGTCTGGCTGCTTCGGCTTCGGCTTCGAATCGCTCCCAGAAGCGGTTGAAGACGCCTCTGAGGGCTACCAGCTTGTCGGACTGCTGCGTTAGCTGGGTGGTGGTGTAAATCTTGACCACCGTTTCCCATATCTCAGCTGGACTCAACGTCCCACCAGCACTCTCCTTCTCCTTGGCAGAGGTGGTGATGAGGTCCGGGTGTTTGATGTCGTAAAAGGCCTTGCTGGACGGAACCGACTCGGAAGCAAACTGCTCCCTACATTCCCAGTAGAGCTGCGGGCCAAACTGAACTGTCCGCGCAGAAAGAAACCGCTCCTGATAACACCACCCTCTCGTGTATAGCGGTGCATCCTGGATCTGCTCCCGCCAATTGCCGTCCTCGATACATCCCCAATGTTCTGTTGAACCATCCGCAAGCGTGCGTGATAAAATGCAGGGCGAAGTAGCCGTGGGATCGCGGCTTACTTCCAGCCCATCCGCGTGCTTCCCTAGCACATTGGCGAGATTGAGATAGCCATGGGAGTAGATATCCTGCATCATGGATGACTGGACTTCCCAATCTTCCAGGTCATCCTGGACGATGCAGAGGGAGTCAATCCATACGTAGCGAACACCAAGGGACCGACAAACAATCACGACGTCCTTGTACACCTTGGGCCAGGCTTCTGTGGGAATCGCATGGCAGTAGGCGGCTTTGTTATGCTTCTTTAGACTGGCCTTTGATGTGTCCGCTGTCCACTGGTAACTGAGTGTGTTGTATCGGACTTGGTCCACTCTGAAATGTTCCACCAGACGAATGGGTGAGCTATCATCGAGTCCGACATCGACCAACCGCACCGTCTGTTGGAAGCCGCCGAAGATGGAATTCTGGCCGGACGGTGCTATCTTGCAGAGCTCATGCTTTTGAGTGCACTCGTCTACCCATCTGCGCAGCTGTGCGAAGGCGAGAGGGTCAAATGTTGTGGCGGACGTTGGCTGAACAACGTCAACGTCCATGAGTCCAGCGTCCTCGATTTCCTCAGAATGCGCTGGAGGATCAACCTCTTTGAAGATCCAGCGGCCCCGCCTGACATTGGGTGTTTCTGAGCAGCCATCAGACAATACCGGACGTGCTCTGTAGAGGGTTAACCACCGTACTTGCACGCCCATCCACCTACGCTCCCCCGTTGCCGTCAACCCCAAAGAAACGGATCGAAGGTGTTGGTTTGAGTCATGCCGGGCGTCATAAAGCGAAACGCTGTACCGAAATTCCTTGTTGAGTTCGAACCAGGTAGGGTAGTCGTGCCGGTTGAACTTCATCGACCCGGGCAAAATACATTCCAGAAGAGCTCGGCATAGATGGCACCCGGTGGAAGTTGCTGAAGCGTCGAGCTCCTCGACGCTAGGCTCGCGCACATCTCTTTTGAACTTGCCGATTGTACCCCCGTCCCACGGCCATGGTCCGGAGGGAGGAAACAGGTGTTCGCAATCTGGGCAAAGCTTGTTGAGCTCTTTTGGCCAGAGCCCGGAGGTCATGATCGTAAGTTGTATCGAAAACAGCTTGGGGGATGAGGGGGATGATGACGCACGCTATTGCGGGATATTTTCTGACATAAAGCCACATGGTAGTATCGGCTACCAGGAGCTATACTGCGATAGGATTAGATCCTTCTGGAAATCTTTTGCTTACACCGTGCCAAGCGTATTGAGGGTAAGCCGAGGATGCAATTATGATGCGGCGTCGCTCTCTCGTTGATTTCAATTGTCGACACTCCCATCTCCGGAGTTGCAAAAAGAAAGACACATATTATATTGCGATTAGAGCTCGTTGGTGCTTGCGAATCCATTCCGTCGGGCCGCGCTCACACGTCCATCCAACACGCGATCATCATGACCAGCGGGCATTTGAACGCCATGATTCGTGAGCAGAGGTAGAGTATCAATGCAATCCGTCGATCAGCAACCTCAGACTCTGATCTTGCTCCCGGAAGGTAGAGACATTCTTCCACCCAAACACTCACCCATCAACATCAAACCAATTTAACAACCCCCTCCCCCACCTCCCTAAACATCTCCAACCTCATCCACCTCGCCAACCCAACCCTCTCATACTCCCCATCCTCCCCATTCTCACGTCTCCTAAGCACAAGTCCCATAACCAGCTCACCATTCTTCACATTCAAATCATGATAAAGACTAGGTCGTTCCGTCTCTCCCCTTTCAGGTTCTCCCATGAGAGCAAGGCAGACCAGCCCGACTTTGTCCGTGCTTGCATTGTATCGCTCTATGTCCAAATCGCTCCGGACATCGGGATGAAGCACCCCCACCATCTCTCCCCCTCTTAGTATCGCTAAATCGTTCATTGCCATATCTTGATCGCCGTAGCGAGTGAGCGGTGGGGCGAAACCATCGATTTTGACGAGACGGGCGCCTGTTAGGAGAAGGTGGGAGCCGTCGGAGATGAGGGCGCCGTAGGGGTCGGGGTATTTGGGGGTGCCTTTCATTTCTGCCACTTTGAGGCCGGCTAAGACCTTGTCTGCTGGATGGCATGGCTTTGGGGTGATACTGGAGGTATCAGCGACGGCGGAAGGGACGTCTTTGAGACGCAAACTACTGTAAGAAATAGCCGTCCTAACTGAAGTCCAGGACCAACTGGGCGCTATCTACGTCGACGCCCTGACAGCAAAGGAATCATCGCTCGGTTGTCGTGTCATCCACAGCAGGGCGTCAGGCAGGTGGGTACTCCATGTCCCGGCCATATAGACCGCTTCTGGTCCAAAGTGCCGTTGGTACGATTGCGCGACGCCTGATAGCGCGGGCAGCTTATCCGTTTCCTGGGTTAGTTGCCGAACGGAGTAATCCTCAGCGAGCAAGAACCAGCGATGTTTCATCGTGGTGGCCAAAGGGTTATCGGTCTGGATCTGGTCGGATGCGGATCGCATAAATCGACTCTGTATTGAGGGCATAGTCTGCTCGGCATTAAGCCACGGTAACTGCGCCGTAGCTTTCAGCTCCTGACACTCTCAGAGCAATTGCTCAGCGCCAAAGTGAATGCTTCTCCTGGAAAGCTCCCGTTCCTGGAGGACCCAAGCCCGCCATCGAAGAGGGATCTGCTTGGTGGTGAAGAAGCTGTAGCCGTAATCGGCGTAGTGCTTGCTCCAGGGCTGGGGTTTGTACTGCGTCACGCGAATTCTTGCGGACTCATTGGTATCATGGTGTTTCAAGTCGAGATCAATCATGGTGCCGACTTTCTCCTGGATGTTGTCCACGATGTTACACCCCTGGCTGCTGTCGGAAGAACTGAGAGCGGCCAAGGTGACGAAGCTTTGGCTGTATACGTGAGCCATCAGAGAGGCTTCCCTTGCCCAGTCTTCCGTGTCGTCTTGGACGATGCAAAGGGAGTCGATCCATAGGTACCGAAGGCTAGGGTCCAGTTCTCGAGTGATACGTGCAGCGTCTCTGAACGTGTTTGGGAGCTCGTCATAGCGTATTCGGGTCATCCTCTCCTGTAAATTGGCTTTGGTTGTAGTAACCGGTCGCTTCTCCGGCGGTCCCCAGCAATGGCTGAGAGTGACATAGCTTGGAACATCCTTCTGGCCAGAACCATAATCGCTGGGGCTCAAACACACCAGTTTGAGGTCCTGGCTTCCTTGATGTTCGAATGCACGAATATCGAGGAGCCGGGTGGGTAAGAACCGAGCGAGATTCTCCGAGCATTTGACATGGTTCTTCCTGCAATTCTCAATCCAAAGCTTCATGAGAGCAAGATTGTCCATGGGCTCGTTCTTTGACATAGGTGGTAGACGCGCTAGAAGAACAAGTAGCATATGTCAGACACCACCTGGGTTGATTGCATATACGAACACAGAGACTTACTCCAGAAAGAAGGAACTCGGAAGCAGCGCGAGCCAGAGGATATTGCTCTCTCTCCGATACGCAATGACAATTCGTCACATTCACCGCTGCTGTTGGTGTTGGGTTTTACTCTCGATAGCTCTACTACGGTGCTTCTGGCCACTTCGGGGTTGAGCGTGAGGGCCAGAAACCGGAGCAGCGAGATAGGAGGAGATAGGAAAACCTGGCATAGCTGACACCCTCTATCTGCCATCTCCTCAATGCACCAATGCAATTGCAGCTTGGCTCGGGGACAATCAGACGGAGGTTCGTTGTCGGGATCCAAGCCGGAGGTTTTGCTGATGTCTTGGGTCCAGAAAGAGGACGGGATAGACCGACACACTCTACAGAGTTTGGGCGCCATTTTTGTAGCGTCGTTGAGAAAATTGGGGAATCCGGACCGCGATCAAAGAGTCGAAGGTGCTGAAAAAAGGGCGATAACGACAGAAGTTAGACTTCGAGATCATGCAGTCTTGAATGAGAATAATTCAACCTATAAGTTGTGTCTTCTGGGTCATACTAACCCGTTACCCCTCACTCCAATGCGACTACAATGTCAGCAAGGCTGATACGACGGATCAATACCGCGCGTTCAATACCTGTACAGATCTACTCCGACTGATCTCTCTGAGGCCAATGCAAATTTTTTGACAACTCTTGTCCAGCCCTCAGGCTCAAGATGTAAAGTAACAAATAAACCGGTTTTGAACCAGGTCGCAGAGTGCCACAAAAAACGGGCTTGCGTCCTAGATATGCCGGTCATAGTCAAGAATCGTAATGACTGGTGTTTTCCAAACATCCCAGCTGTCCGAGTGTGAAGGATCCGTGAAAGGGATCTGGGCGGCGAAGCGGAAGCTAGTCGGGGAGATGGAATGTTAGTGAACATGAGAAATCCAGCAGGGATAGCCAGGCTACAAAACTGGTAAAAGTCTCATAAACCTGCTCGACGCCGAAAAGAAAGAACAGAAAAAAGGAGGAAGAAAGCTCACCGATATTTCCCCGGACGAATGTAACTTCCCCCAACCAACTTCCCAAACCACATGAACCACGTAGAAAACCTATCTCGAGCATTTCCCCTGTTGAGGCCCGACCCAACCGTCAACGGGAAACTTATCGTGTCCCAATACCCGGGTAAATCCCTATTATCTGGGTCAAACCGCCACACCAAATCGCTATAGGACCAGAACGCCACACTGCCAACATACCCGTTGTCCCCTGTAGGGGGGTAGGGCGCCGAAGCGTTCCACTGCGCCTCGGTCCAGTCGGCCTCAAAGATGTCCCATCTAAGCGTCTTCGTGGGAAACCGCAAATCTACGGCAACCGTGGGGTACGATTGTGCGGCTAAAGAAAGATTGAAGTCATAGGTATGGTAAGTGTCAATATCTTCTCTGTCTGGTCCGGCGGCTTGGAAGGGGCCGTAGATAAACATGTGGTCCTTGAAAGCGAAACGAAGTGAGAAGGCGGCACCGTAGTAGGGGATAGAGAGGTCTTCGTTCTCGTTGGAATTGATCAGAACCTTCCCGCTGTAGATAGGAAGCTTCGTCGCGTTGTATGAGGTTGGTGAAGGAGGCTGGAACTTGATGTGGACGGTTTTGGAATGTCCAGGGGCGATGGTAACATTCTGAGGGAGCTGAACTCTGGGGACAAGGGGGTAAGGGGAGATATAATCTGTAAAAGTGGAGAGGTACTCGGGATCGTAATCGGATTGAGCATTGAAGGCACCGGCGGGCTGGAGGGCAAATGAATAGGTTGCGGATTTGGGGCCATTGTTGGTGATGGTGACGGAGTGATGCGCTTGAAAGTTGGCGGTGTCGTTGAGGTGGAACTTTTCCCAGGTTAGAGAGGTGGTGTAGTCAAGCACCTTTGCGGCATTGACCAGGCCGGTGCCAACTTGAGGGACGGGAGCCCAGAAGCCGTAGTCGATTGGGTTGCCAACGGGGTTGTCGACTTGCCATGGGACGGCCGCGCCGCTGGAGATGATGCGGTTTGCAAGGGCTTTGGCAATCCCAGGACCGTGGACGCTCCGGCCGCCATGCTCGCCTATGTACAGGGCCGCGATGCCAGCCACGTAGGCGCAGGCCATGGATGTTCCCGACTGGAAAGTCCATGGCTCATTGATATCGGTGGTGTAGATATTGCCGCCGGGAGCGGCAACATCGGGTTTGATCTCAAGCTCATTCGTACCGCCCCAGCTCGAGAAACCGGATGGGATACCGCCTGCAGAGCTGTAAAACCCAACCCTCCAAGTGGTGTCGTTGGTAACGGCAAACTTTGCAGTTACTTTGCCTCCCGCAGCAACAGTGGCGACCATGGCCTCGCCCGTTTTGGCTTCGATTAAGGCAGCGGGAGGGTTGCTAGTAACGCTGAGCCACCAGACAGGCCCTGCATCATCGCTATAGAAGAGGACACGCTTGGCGCCAGCCTTTTCTGCGTTTTCCTGCTTGACCGACGAGTCGCATCCTCCCCAACGAATCAATAAGATGCCAGCGGAGAGGTCAGGAGTATGCTCGGGCAACGGTTCACAGGCGTCAGCAGTGTCGTTGACGTTCAGTGAGAGAGGAATGATGGGTAGGTCATCCGTTAGATCCTGCCCCCAAGGTTGGTCAAAAAGGTCATCGATGAGGTACCCCAGCTGTATGGTGGTTGAATTGCCGCCGTGGGTAAAGGTTGCCTTGAACGGCCACGCGGGTGCCACACTGGGTTCTGTGGAGGCTACTGCGATGACGTTCTTGCCCGATGATCCCGAGCTGGCAAGGAATGGGCCCTTGTAGCCCTCGTTTCCAGCGGAGATAGTGACAAGGACGCCTCGGTCGACCAGACGTGAAGCAATCGTTGCCCAGGCACCGCCTGACCAACCGCCTTCACCACCAATACTGGAGGTAATGATATCCGCCTGATGTGGTGTAAGTCAGGTACGATAGAGCTGAGTGATGACAAGAGACTCACCCCATCCTTGTAAGCTTGCAGGAAGGCGTCGATGATTATGTCCTCGTCCGTTACTTGGGACTGTACACGTGGCAAAGTAATTAGCACAGAGTGCAACCCGATTTGCGGGGGTAGACTTACATCGTTGCTAAAGACTTTATAGGAGTACAAGGTAGCCTCAGGGGCAACACCGTTAAACCAGTCTGTCTTGCCAGCAATCACTCCGGCGACTTGCGTGCCGTGGCCCTGGTAGTCAAATGGGTCATCGTCCGGGAACGGCCAGGCTAAGCCACGGTTAGTTGTATTGTAGCCTCGTTTCCGTAGCATGGCCATTTTGGTGCTTACAGTTATCTCCAACAAGATCGGTGCCACCGGCGACTTTGAATCCATGCCCGAATCCTCCACCGAGCTGCCGTTGTTAATCTCAGGGAACGCTGAAAGCGAAAGAAAGGACCGTACCGCATGATGTTTGTAGTCTATCCCAGTGTCAACAACGGCCACCTTGGCACCCTTGCCGTAGATGCCCTTTGCATGCAGCTTGTCGACACCAGTCAAGCTGTGGACCGAGTAGTTGCCATCAGAAACAATATTGCCGACTGGGCTGGCCGCTCGAGCGGCGTGGAGAGTAGCTCTACCGACAGGCCAGGCCCGTAGAATGCCTGGGAAGTTAGGGAGATCATCGATGTTCATATCGTCTGTTTCGACACAGAGACCAAAGAAGACGTCTGATGTTTTGTCGAAGCGACGGATGACACTCCGACCACCAGCGCTCACGCTGAACTTGTTGGCGAGGTCATCCAGGTCTACCCCCTAGGATGGAAGTTAGCCTAAAGGCAACAAACTTTGACTAAAATGGAGTTCTTTGTCTCTTACCTGGTCTACCTCAATTATGTACTTTTTCAAGGCCTCACCACCCACCGCCAACAAAGGCAGTAAGAAGCTTGAAAGACGCATTGCAAGTGAATGCTTCCTGGAAACCGCAGTAAAGGCGCCTTGAAGGATGGAAGCATGCAACTGACTGAAGGGGTTGGCTACTGGTCAAGAAAGTCCAGTTGAACTGGTTATGGCTACCCTTTTATGCCCCTGGGGAGGAACATTGACATGGAAAGGAAGAAAGCATTCGGAAAGTAGCCGCATAGGTGACGACAGAGGCTGAGCAGCGAAATTACTGCTCGGGAACTTAAGCTTCTCGTCGCAGCGAGGATCATGATGTTTCTTTGAGAACACGAGAAACACGGAGTTTGAGGTAGATGGAGATGGACCCGACCGTGGTTGTCGGAGTGCGCGAAGGGAATTCATGTTGCAGTCCTAGATGTAGGAGACCCGACCATGGGGGCGGTGAATGCTGTAAGACACGGAAAATATCGAGGAGATGTGAATGCAAGGTTAAGCTGTTCAAAGTGTAGGAGAGTTAATGGCAGTTTGGATGATGTTTTGATGCAAGAGGAACAAAAGGTTCTCGTGGTTTGAGAAATCTGCTCTCTTCTACCCTGCTCGTGGCCAACCAGAGCTCACCCGCACGGGACCCGGAGAATGCACGACGAAAAGGAAAGAGCGAGGAAGGAGGAAGATGAGGTTTGTGGAGTCCCAAGTCCAAGGCGACACGACACAGCTTTTACTTTAACACTGCATCCGCGCAAGAGCCGAAGTATGCTTTGGTGTCACGAACCAGGTACCGTCGGAATTGGAAAATCCTGGGACCGAGCGTCCTGAGGCTCAAGCATGAAGATTGAAGCAACGTTGCAAAGGTATCCAGCTTGGATGCTCTCTGCCACTGAAGCAGTATGACGATGAAGAAGAAAATAGACGAGAAGTAAATAAAGGGTTCGGAATGATGTGCTTTGTGTCACCAACGAGGAGGAGATGCGAGCTTGGTGGTGGTGAGTTACCGCTGGGGCTGGGGGCTGCTGAACGTCAACGGCATCTTGGTGGCAATGATGATAGAACGTTTAAGAAAGAGAGAGAGAGAGAGAAGCGCGTCGTTTTCAACTTAATGCCCAGCTTGAAGGACTGCAGTGCAGTCAGAGGAAGTGAAAGGTGGATCCCAAGCTCGGTAGAGGACCAATCGGCAGGCCCATCGACAATGGAAGCGGAACGCTTGGCATTGGCGATAAGCGACAGGCGTCTCAGAGAAGATAACAAAAAGTTGCAGGCGGCATCGCAAACCTGAACTTCCAACCGGCAGGCAGCGCAAAAAGTGTGAACGTCCAAGTGAAGGCACATCAAAACTTTGTCGCAAACTTTGCCATTGCAGGAACACACAAGACCATTCACTGGCAGACACCCCCGTCGCAAGTCGCAAGCATTCCATTTCTTCCTCGCGTCCTAAGCCACAAAAGGCCCAAGAGCACAATGAAAAAAAAAAGTGTGATGTAGGCCGGTCAGACTTCCATCGAAACCCACCCCGCCCAAGCGCCCGAAGGCAGACCTCGAGAAAAAATCGGGGTACAGATCATCGCCACTCTCTGTACAGTCTTTCCTTTCGGAGAAACCGCCACCTTTGCAGGCAGAGCGAGAGTAAATAAAAGGACCTCACTGTTGGGAAACGAGGATATTGTTCATCAACCCGGGTGGGATCTGTGGCTCCTTTAGGGAACACAAAAGAGGACAAATACTATAGAAATGATTCTCCTGTTGGTGGGTGAATGTGGTTAGCAACTGTTACTTGCAGAAGAGTGTTTGGATCCCAATAGTAGGGGGGGACTCACTGAAGTATTGTCGACATGAAGAAAAAAAAGAAAAAGAAAATCGAATTGGGGCCAGGGAGGAGGATATTTTATACCCTCTCCAGAGATGCCCTCTGCTGGTCTGTGCACATGTGCAAATTTGGGGGTCCACTGCGGTCCACTAGGGGACTTTTTGGTGGGTCAGCCTTACAAAATCTGCCGGACCGGGTTCTAGAAGTGCAAAAGAAGGTGGACCATATGGTTTCTGCCAGGCCACTCCGCCAAAATTTCTCACGATGCCGTTTGCGCCACCAGGTTCTACACCTCGACAACATGGAGTTTGGGATGTAAAGGCGGTAATGGGAGAGTACAGTGCTGCGTCTGTTTGTCTTGATGAGGATGTCACTCTGCGAGTCCATCATCTTCTGGAGCAATCCTTGGCCAACCTCGAGACCTCCCGAGACGTTCATGTCCGTCATCTTCATATGCAGAAGCACTTTGCGACACAACACCAGTGCATTCATATCAAGGGCCTGTGATGGCGCAAACATGGCGAGGTCGCCGGCGTCGCTGGATGCTATTCGGAACTCAGCGGCTGATACGCCTGGTCGATCTTCAACGAAAATTGTCGGTCTACCTGGGCCAATTCTACCATCATGTCTACCATCATGTCTCTGACCACCATCAAGACGCCTAGTCAACATCCCCCGGCTTCACATCAACAACATACAACCTCTCCCCCTCAATCCACTTCCCAACCCCAGGCGACACCAACCTTGTCAACTTCCCCCACTCCTCCCTCTCCGCCGCCTGCCTCGCATAAGTACTACTCACAATCTCCTCCCCATCCTTCCTCCCCTCCACCAACTCAATCCTATCCTTCCACTCCTTACTCCCGCCCATTTTCGCCAGGCCCTCCTCGCTCAACAAGCTCTCCAGATGCGCCAGCTGCTCCTGCTTGCTTCCCCACTCATCATCCGGTCGCATCGTCACCCTTAACTTGGCCCGCGAAAAGAACGGATCAAGCGCTTGCTGTATCGGCGTCCCCTTCCGGCTCGGATCAGGAGGGCCGTAGTACTTTGGGTCGAAGATGCGGATTAACGTGTCGTAGCCTGCTAGGATGACTTGTTCCATCGTGTCCTTTTCTCCTTCAGCCGGTGGTTTGTAGAACTCGGACTCGGCGATTGCCCGGCTCTTTTCGTGGAAGAAGGGTTTAGATGTTAGTGCGATGTCGACGCTGATATCCGGTCCTTGCTGTCCCGGCTTTTGTTCCGCCTCTGGATTGTTGGTGGTGTGTGGCTTCGGTCCCGGACCGGAAGCCAACACCTCGTCGGGACATTCGTCTTCTTCTCCCCTTAGCGCCCGTTGTACGTCACGAGCGAACGCCCACATCATGGCTAGTCGCTGGTCGAAGGCCGCTGGCTTGGGCGCCTTGTCGGCGTTGACGACCGCTAGGAGGAGAAGGAGTCGCAGGCCGGTTATGTCTTTTTCATTGCCCTTTTTCTTGATGGTATCTTCTACTGCCGAGGTAGCCATCCGCAAATGCGCTAACGTAGGCGGGTTGAAGCTCGAGTCTAGCACGATCAGGGTATGCGGTCGCTTCGCCGGTGGGATCGGTGCTGGAGATTGGGGGTACGGTTCCCCTTGTGCTTGAGCAGCGGCGGACGCTGAAGCATGACTTCTGCTTGCTGGAGGGGCTGTGCAAACGACTTGCAACTTTTGCGCCGAGTCGGAGGAGGATTGGAACGCGGAGAGGGCGCGGGTGAAGAAGTTGGTTAGAGCACGGCGGGAGGCGGCGCTGGGGAGGAGGAGGGATTGCGCTTTGAGCGAGTGTTCGAGCATTTCGTCGTGGGGCATTGTTGTCGGGTTGATCATCGGCTACAGGCAAGGTACGGCGTCGGGCAACGTGCTTGGGAGATCTTGTCTAAATCGAGTTAATGTTTATTCAAGGACTGATGATGACGTGGATGGCATTGAGTAATAGACAAGACCCCCACAGCGGGGGAGTGCGGGGGCTTGGACGCGAGCTAACCCCCAAGGTCCCGGAAGGTCATTAGCAATCAAAAGCTGCCTTGCGCAACCTCAAACCTGTATACTCGATCTTGGACTGCTCTGGGTCTGTCCCCTTGAAAGAATACCAAATTACCACACTGAATTCAAACTTGGTCCGATGTGTGCAACTGCTTAACTCCGGATACAAAGTCCATAGAACTGTCCACAAACTCTACTCAACATTCACAAATACAAAAAGATCAACCAAAAGCGATCAACACCCACAATCATATTCATCATTTCATTGCATGTCCAAACTTTAACAAAAAAGCAACGAATACGAGTAAGAAGAAGTGGGAACATAGGACGGACGCTACATGCAAAAAGCAAAAGTAAAAAATACAAGAATTAAAAAACATACAACACCTGGGATTCGCTGGTCGTCACCGACCCAACTACTAGTCAGGCGATTGGTAGCTTATCTATGGGAGAGCGGACGGGATCCCGAGTTTTCTACCATCTATGGTCGTATGTGTTAGATATCTTTTCCGCGTTCCCTTATAAAGTCGTTCGTTCCTGCTCACCCATCAGCATTGATTGGGGTTGTAGGAAACGACGGAAGCAAATCGATCCATTTGATCTGGGACTGGGAATATCAAAGGGTACGTACGTCACCTTCACAGAGTCATTCCTAGTGCCTCCTCCACCTATAAGGCGCACCATGATCATAAGATAAATTTTCTACTAGTAACCACACTGTTTTATTCTATCTTAGGTCCAGTTTTGTGCTTCCGTCTACATCACCAGGTCCTTCCGTGAAGCCTCGCTCCCTGTGAATATTCCTGACGAGCAATGTAGAGCTTTGCCTTTTAACGCCCTTCGCACTTGTAGCCGCCATTTCCCATACACCATCCATCGATGTAATCCAACACCGGGTTCCTTATCTTAACTTAATCCCGTCCCGTATCGATGCCTTCAGATGCTTTCCCGACACCGACAGTTATTTATGCGAAAGCGGAAAGTCCATGATGCCGTAATGACCAAACGATTCTCAACCCGAAACTCCTTCGCCGTTTAGAGACCCAAGCAAAAACCCACCCCCCTATTTGCCCGAGCATTTTCCGCGCCGAAAAACACCTTGCCGTACAAATCCTGAATTCAGCCTGAAGGAAAACCATGGTCTCTGCCGCCACCTGCTTAACGAATCACCGGATCCCGCATGAAATCAGGAAAGTCCGAAAACCCTCCCTCACCAGGGCGATACCTGCTCCTCGATCCCGCCTCCGCCGATCCCGCCTCGCGATCAATATGCTCCAGCAACTCCAACAGACTCGCTTCGTCGTAATCGTTTTCTTCTGTGTTGTTGTTTGCCGAAGCAGCAGCCTGCATCCTCTCCGCCGCTTCATCTATCCTGACTCCCATCTCGTGGATCGCGTCGCCTCCAGCAGCCACCGCACCGCCGACCGTGTTCTCGTCAATAGCGAAAATCTTGAGGCCGCGAATGTGTGTATCCTTGCCGTTCTGGTGGTTCTCCTTGATGTGGGCCTGGACAATCCAGCAGCAGAGGGAGTGGCCGTCAGGGGCCCCGCCGCAGTTGGCGATGGGCACGTCTTGCCAGCCGACGGGGTTGGTGAGTTTGACGTCAGCGAATTCGATCAGGTCGTGGTGGCCGGTGCCGGCGTACCAGACGATGTTGGTGGGCGTATAGGATTCGTCATGGTTATAGTCAACGTAGAATCGGATTGCCCGGATCTCGACGCGGCGGAGGAAGTGGATGGTTAGGAGGTGTGGTTGTTGGCCGTCGGATCTTGAGAGAGTGTTAGCGAGAGGGGGAAAAGGAAGGGGAGGGACTACTTACTGCCAGTACTTCTCGAGGTCTTCGGTCAGAAGCTCCTCGACGCCGTTGCCGGGCTTGTGGCTGGATACGCCGAAGTGGGCGAGGTTGTTGATTTCTCGGAGGCCAATGGCGGTTGGGTCGAACATTGAGTGTTGCAATTGCTCCGTCTCCTCGGGATCTTCATCAGGGTCGATTCTTTCTCCGTGCTCATCGTATGCGAATTCGTCGCCGTCTGGGTCTTGTGCGTGGTTGTCGACATTGTGGCCTTCTTCAACCCCCGGCATGCCCTCGTTGAAGCCCTCATGGTACTGCTCGCCCTCAGGGCCATTGTCATCGTCATTGTGATCATCATCTTGGAGCTCGATGTCACTGGCTGGGCCGTCGCCCACGGGACTCGGGAAGTCCTCGTCGTCTGACTGCTCTTCTTGTGTGCGCTGAGCTCGCGCTGATTGTGCTGGAGAGCCAAGCCAAGTTCCGTTAGTAACTGCGAAAATTTCGATGATGTCGTAGATTCCATTGTATAGGCCCTCATTCACTTCGTCGACGTTCTCTTGATCGAGGGTTATGGGAGCGCGGAGGCTGAGAGGTCGAGGAGAGTTCAAATCCCTCTCAGCTAGCCCTCCTAGTACCCGCCGCCGCTTGGGCGCGGGTTGGTATGGCGAAGATCGAAGCCTGATGGGAAAGTGTAGCGATGTTTATGCGATGTAAGGAAGGGCAAGGTGGTAGTTGGCCGAGTAGTAAAAATAGGTGATGAGGAGGGATTTGAGGCCAGATTGGTGAGAGGAAGAAAGGAGAAGGCAAGATATCTAAGTAGAAAAAAAGTGCAAGTTGACAGGAGGTTGACGAAGGAGAACGCCAACTTGACGGGAGAAGGAAGAGTCAAGGAGAGAAAGGAAGGGTTGGCGGAGAGGAAGTGGGAATTCGTGAATGGAGAAACATTGGCGGGGTAGTAAACCTGAAATAACTGCTCAGGAACAGAAAGAAAAGGGCAAAGTGAATTCAAGGTCGTCGCCAGGTTGAGAGGTGAACCCAAGCTGGGTGAAGGTTGATGGAACGGTGGTTGAAGCTATCGCAGCTTCGTCCCAAGGTGTACCAATTCTGCAAGCCATAGCAGCGGTTACAGACGGGACCAATTGCACAGCGAGTAGCTTCTGAGATGGGATGACAGGATGGGAGAAGTGGACAGGTGAAGGTAGTGACACATAAATACAGACATCCAGGCATCAGGAATTGGTCCTTTGGAAAATAAAAGACCAACTTGAACCACGGTGAAGGTCGTGTAAGTGATAGTGCAAGGACTGGGCAGCGTGTAAGTGAAGCGAGGTGGGGCTCCAAAAGGGGGAAATGGGCACAAGGCCCTCGGAAGTAAACAAAGACCAAGACCCCTCCGACTTGGTGAAATGTCATGGAATTAGACCATATTGAATGGATATATAAAACTTACGAGGCATCACGGAAAACTGTTCCCTTGGATTGACAGGTGGAGACGTTGAAGAAGGTCGCGGTTCAGGTGTGAAGCCAGAACCAACTGATCGCAGGGCAGCTCGACGGGCTTCTTCCAGAACGGCGGCCTGTGATGATCGTGTGGTTCGTTGGAGGGTCTGCTGGGGCTCGAATCGCAGTCGTTGCCGGGCACGACGAGGACCTCTTGTGACGTTGGCCAGGTCCGCCAGGTTGGTTGGTGGTGTTTCGTCCATTTTAAGTTTTCCGCCTCAAGGTTCTCCCTTTGCAGTTGCCTGGCGCAATGTCTTGAATGTTGAGGCAAGTTCCGTTTGCTGTTTGCGCTGGAAATTGTTATGGTTGTTTTGGCGGGGAAGCTCTGGAAGTTGCCAGTGAAGTGTCCCTGGCATAACTTTCTAGGACAGCCATCTGGAGATAGCGCTGGACGCACAGACCTTCTACCGAGATCGCCAGGAACGAGAGGCAGGCCTGTCTCCACTTCACTCCATTAAGAAATGCTGCCTGTTTCCATGTGACCTCGTGAAGTCAACGCGTCAACCAACGCGACCCGCTCGTCTTCCATCCGCGCTTCCTGACTTCAAACTCGTCGACTAGCCAGTCGATCTGGTGTGAAAGGCTATTGACAAAGAAAAGGATTTGCAAGATGCCGAGATCAGGTAAGGGTTATGCCCATGAACCCTCTCTTGCCACCATTTGCTAACAGACCCAAGAGGAGGACACGATCCGCATCCTCGTCTCAACCGATAACCATGTCGGCTTTGGGGAGCGCGACCCCGTCCGTAAGGATGACAGTTGGCGCACATTTGACGAGATCATGCAAATAGCCAAGAAGCAGGATGTCGACATGGTCCTACTGGGTGGTGATCTCTTCCATGAGAACAGACCCTCGCGCAAATCCATGTACCAGGTCATGCGCTCTCTTCGCAAACACTGTCTTGGCATGAAGCCATGCGAACTCGAGTTTCTCAGTGATGGTGCCGAAGTTTTTGAAGGAGCCTTTCCCTATGTCAACTACGAGGATCCCGACATCAATATCGCTATTCCCGTCTTCTCTATCCACGGCAACCACGACGACCCAAGCGGCGATGGCCACTACTGCTCCCTTGACCTACTCCAAGCCGCCGGTCTTGTCAACTATTTTGGTCGTGTACCTGAGGCAGACAACATCCATGCCAAGCCGATCTTGTTGCAGAAGGGGAGGACGAAGATGGCTTTGTACGGATTGAGCAACGTTCGTGATGAGCGTATGCACCGGACTTTCAGAGACAACAAAGTTAGGTTCTACCGGCCGAACCAGCAGAAGAACGATTGGTTCAATCTTTTGGCTCTTCACCAGAACCACTACCCACATACCCCTACCAGCTATGTTGCAGAGAATATGCTTCCTGATTTCATGGACTTGGTAATCTGGGGCCATGAACACGAGTGTCTTATTGATCCCATACGAAACCCAGAGACAGGATTCCACGTCATGCAACCGGGCTCATCAGTCGCCACTTCACTAGTTCCTGGCGAGGCAGTGACAAAACATGTCGCCATTCTCAATATTACCGGCAAGAAGTTCGAGGTCGAAAAGATCCCACTCAAGACAGTACGGCCCTTCGTCACAAGAGAGGTTGTACTAGCCTCAGACAAGCGCTTCAAGGGCCTGGGAGAGAAGAAGTCGGATAACCGCCATGAAGTTACCAAGCGACTGATGGTGATTGTCGAAGAGATGATTGAAGAAGCCAATGCGGAGTGGCGCGCTATTCACGCAGAGGACGACGACATGGACGAGGATATGGAGCCACCATTGCCGCTTATCCGCCTAAAGGTCGAGTATTCAGCACCGGAAGGGGCCAAGTACGAAATCGAGAACCCGCAGCGATTCTCCAACAGATTTACGGGAAAGGTCGCCAACCAGAATGATGTTGTCCACTTTTACCGTAAAACCAAAGGAACAAGTAAGTTAAGAGCATTTTGTGAGAAACAACAGTACATGACACTGACCATACACAGAGAAAAGTGTAACAGCGCCAGGCGTCCCCGAGGGCGTCGCGGAGGCTCTTGAGTCAGTCGAGACCATCAAGGTCGACAACTTGGTCCGAGAGTTCTTTACCCAACAGTCCCTCAAGATCTTACCACAAGCACCATTCGGCGATGCGGTTAACCAGTTCGTCGACAAGGACGATAAGCATGCAGTGGAAATGTTTGTCATGGAGTCACTATCCACCCAAGTGAAGGGTCTCCTTCAACTCGATGATGAGAAGATTGTCGACCTCGACGCGCATATCGAGGATTTCAGAAAGGTTATGGAGAAAAGCTTCGATTCTGGTCAGCACAAGCAAGCCCAGCGCAAAAGACGGTTCAAGGAGAAGCCTGATGGCTGGGATTCGGATTTGGACGGCCACTGGATCAACCAACCACAAGCACTCGAAGACATTCCAGCCGAGCCAGAACCGAAAGGACGCGGTAGACCAGCCAAGAAAGTACCCACGTCCGGCGTCACATTCAGCGACGAGGATGAGGACATGGACATTGACAACCAACCCCTTCCGACTAGAGCGGCGCCAAAACGGGGAGCAGCGGCCAAAACCACAGCAGCAACCAAGAAAGCGGCACCTGCCAAGAAGGCCGCACCGGCAAAGAAGGCAGCACCAGCGAAGAAGGCACCTGCAAGGGGTCGCAACAAGAAGAAGACTCCATTCGTAGATAGCGACGAAGAAGAGGAAGAGGACTACCGAGAGAATGAAGACGAAGAGGAAGAGGAGGAGGAAGATGTGATCATGGAGGATGACGAAGAGGACCCGCCAGCGCCACCACCAAAGTCCAAGGCCACATCTAGGGTCGCATCTACCCGTGCCTCTGCTCGTGCTACTCCTGCTCGTGCTACTCCTGCTCGAGCCACACCAGCCCGGGCTGCACCTGCTAGGGCTACCCAAACCCGGGCTACTCGCGCGGCGGCTGGAATGAAGCAGACAACGATCGACTTTTCACAGTCTCAGAGGGCAAAGGGTTCACATCAGCAGGCGATTGAGATTAGTGATGATGAGATTTCGGACGATGATGATGCGTTTGAGTCGATGCCCGCCAGTCGCAGTCGACGAGGGTGATTAGGTTAATATGGGTTGGGAGAGCCGATATGGGCATACTTGCATGTGGTATCTTCAAGCGGGTTAATATATGTTCTGTATTTGACGTTGGGATGGGCAAGTTTTAGCTCAAGGTCATAAAGGAATCGCATCTCGAGGTTAAATGGAAATTTACGAACCATATAACCATGGAAAGATGCCGCAAAGTTCACATACCGTCAGAATAGTCTGTATTATGTTTGAAATATCCTAAATAGAATCAGCAAGTAAAGTCACAAATTTTGAAGCCTTCAGATAATCTTGAGGTTGAGTCAAGCACATGTGCAGATATGTGTTTGCAGTCGACATCAAGCAAGTGGGTGGCCCGAGCTTCAGTGTATAAGAGCCGCCCAGGGGAACCTCCAACCTCCAACCTGCAACACCATTCCATCCTTTTCTACTGTGTAACAAAGCACCATCGATTTCCCTTGTACTATCAAACCAATTCGTTTGGAATCTTCTCGTCCTTCGAACATTGATCCAGTACCAGCATTTCCACGCATTTTCGTGCATCTTTGTCCCCTTTATCGGTACAACCAGTCACGTGATCCACGCGTCAGTGGCGGCCCGCCCAGGAACCGATCACGTCTCCCGTCAGACCTGCAACCATCCAACATCTGTGGCATTTCGCGAACCCGATTTCCTGAAGCCTTCATCGAAAGAGGCTGCTCATCGGCAATCATGTCAGCAATTCCCCCACCACAAGGCAACGGCCTTCCCTCACAGCCACCGGCTGGAGCAGCAACAGCTTCCGCCGCCGCCGCGGAGCCAGCAGCAGCCGACCCCGCGACAACGGAGGAGCAAGCCGCGGCCGACGGCGCAACAACAGCAGCAGCAGGCGACGCGACAGCCACCACCACCACCACAGCGCCCGCCGCCGCCGCCAACAACGATGAACGACCAAACATGGACATCCCCTCGCTGCCGGAGCCCAAGCTTCCCACGCGCAAGGACGTGTCTCTCAAGGAGCTTCTTACCAAGATGGATGAATACGCGCCTATCGTACGTCATCGCCCCCCCTCCCCTCTTTCCTTTTGATTGAACTTTCCATCTATCCGTTACCTAATATACCTCTTACAATTTCACTAACTCTAACCCCCATAAACAGATCCCAGACGCAGTAACATCCTACTACATGACCCGCGCCGGCCTCCCTCCCCCCCCGCAAACCGACCAGCGTCTCGCCCGCTTACTCGCCCTGGCAACCCAAAAGTTCATCGCCGACATCGCCGCCGACGCCTACCAGTATTCCCGCATCCGCGCTTCCAACACCAACGCCAACAACCCCATGGGCAGTCTGGGCGCCGCTGCGGGGTTCCCGATCCCCGGACAACCTGCTAACCAGGCGGCTGGAGCGAAGGACCAGGGCAGAGGTGGGCCCCTCGGAATTCAGAGGCCGGGGTATGGTGGTGGTGGACAGGGCGGCAGCCAGAATCGGACGGTGTTGACGATGGAGGATTTGGGCATGGCGGCGGGGGAGTTTGGGGTTAATGTTAAGAGGAGTGAGTTTTATCGCTAGGGGGTTGGTTGGGGTTTTCAGAGCGGCCGGCCCTCCTGGTGTGAAGGGCGGAGGAGGAGCAGTGGTCGTCAAAGGTTGTTTGCCTGGGGTATGATGAGGAAGTGGCAGACCGAAGGATGTTACTAGGCCCCGACAACAGATTGTTTCTTGCTTGAGGAGGGGGATACCACGGTGATTGATGGATGGAGGAATGAGGGACAAAGGGGCAAAGGGTCGGCAATCAAGGACGGACGGGTCAACACGGAAACGGGGCATAGGAGTTTGGGTCTTCGTTCGGTTCTTCTCATTTGCTTTTCTTTTTTTTTTGCGCTTGGCGTTCAGGACTGAAGGCGCTATGGAAGATTGTTCCCGTTGTCTCCTTACATTTCAGGTCTACGGCTATGCTAGGCTAGGTAAAACAACCTGCCAAAGCATAACATACTACGATTCATAATCATATCATACATAAACAATGTCCATGTGACAAAAACGGACAGCATGATCCAAGCGAAGTCTAATTTGCCCATAAGATGATATGTGTACAGAACCTGTTCCCCCCACCCTTCCTCTGGTATGGTATGGTATGGTACAGATAAGCAAAAATGCTTTTGTTTTTACCGAAAAACGCCGCCCTCAGAAACGTGTGAAACCCGCAGCAACCTTGTATTCGTTGTCTATTTCTTCTTACCCCAGATGAAGGGCTTGCGTGTACTGTTTGTTTTGACCATTTAGTTAGCCAATGCTCATGTCGTAATCGTATCTCTGACCACCATCACCATTACCACCATCCATGTTCAATACATAGCCCATGGTCATCCATCGGCTTTCCATGCCATACCCCCCCCCCCCCCCCCCCCAAACATTACCGCCAACATCTCCCTCCCAGAAAGCACATCAACAGAAAAGCAAAAGGCGGAAGAAACCTACGAAGAAAACTCCCCAAGCTTATGCCCAACCATCTCCTCGGTGACAGTCAAGTCGACGTAGTCCTTGCCGTTGTGCACCTGGAACTTGAGGCCGACAAAGTTGGGCAGGATGGTGGCGGACCGGGCCTGGGTGCGGATGGGAGCGATCTTCTTGCCGGGCTCGGGGCGCTGGATGGGGAGACTGTGGGTGTGGAAGCGCCGGTGGTGGTTAGTGAGAATTGCGCGTGTAAGGTATGGTATGGTGCGGGTTGGTGTGTTTGGGTTGGATTGCTTTGTATTTGTTTGATTTGGTCTCGATTGGCTAAATAGGGTGGATGGAGGTGGTGGACGAAGGTGGAATGTTTCGAGGAGGGGTTCGGTATGGAATGCGCCGGCGCATTGATGATCGGACCAGAGGGAGGAAGAGTGCTCGGGAGTGCGGCAGCGCAATGGGTCGTCGTCGTCGAGTTCGGGATGGGGACAAGAAGGAGAGGGTAGTAGAGCTTACGGGACGATGTGAGGACCTGGAGACGACGATGCGGGTTAGCTTTGCTTTCTTGGACGGCGCAAAGAGTGTTGCAAAGGGAACTGGAAGACGAAGACAACAAACATACCCTTCCACACGGATCTCTTGAGAAGAACCCTGGTCGGCTGCATGTTGGGCGAGAACGAGGGGGAATTCGGTGGTGATGGGTGGTGGCTGCAAACGAGGAGAGGCGGGCGCGTACGCGACTTTGAGATCGGTCGGTCGGTCGGTCGAGTCCGGCGGGCGGGCGGCGGGCGGAGCGGTTCCAGGTACCACGGCGACGGCAGTGAGCGCTGACCACGGCCGAATTTTGGAAATGCCAAGCCTATCGGTTGCCGGCCGGGACGGACGTTGACCGGAGCGCTGATCAGAGGGGCAGGGTTAGGGGCAGCTCTAAGCGTTTATCGATAAGATCATATGAGCTTATCATTTAGGGTTGGAGGTGGCGACCTTGTGGCACTGTCATCAGACACCTGCTGCAGTGCTCAGCTGCGTGCAGTCAATTGGTTCAGGAACGCGACTGCCAAAACGTAGGATTGGACATTGGCAATCGGCGTACCTTCCCTTGGAGAATATCTCCAGACCGGTGAGCATCGATCATGCTCTTTCAGTTCCATAGCTCGCCACCGGTCTGTTTGTACATGGAGGCAAGGCAGGCGTGAGCTGTCTGGGCCTGGACTGGTCCGTGACTGACAGGCAAGAGCCACCTCAGTCAATATTTCTGTCGTGGTCCCGTTCGCGTTCACAACTTCCTCTTGGACTCATCTTTTTCTCAAGCTTTTATGAGTGTCCAGGGTGCTCGTATCGATGCCCTCAGAATGGCTTTTCCATTTGGTCGACATTCGATATGTTCATCAGTCTGCGCAAAGTCTGAGAATGACATTCTTCTCGCAAGCTACATACCTGAGGACAGCGCCGCATTGTTCACTATCCGGCCAGTTCAGTCATCAACCAACTACCACTTCCCTACTGAGGTGCCCTTGATCAACTATCGGATCACCGCGGACGCGGACGAGTGCCTGAGTATCAGTGTTACCCGTCTTTTCACATGATCTAATGCTCTCCAGATCTCTCTTTCGGCAGGACATATAGCGACATGGTGCTCCACGAGTAATTCTACCATCATACAAGTCCTGTTCCTGCTGCTGGACTGGCTCATTATCATTGCGTTTCGGAGTCTTCCACCGTCGTTCTCGCGCACAGAAGCATCCCGTCTCAGGCACCATTTCTACTGAGCGAATTCAGCAGTCTCTTTTCCCAAAGTTGACTGGTCACGCAGCTCACGCTTCTGTCCTGCATTATATGCATGCCCGCTGCATCTGTCAATGCGCCGTTCGGCCCGCCAAGACCCCAGGCTATTCAGCGGTGCCAGACGTCCACTATCAGCGTTACTACGTCCTCCCTATCCTGACCTCTCACGGTCTTCACGGGCTGGCCCTTCAAATCCGCCATCGTCCCATCCCTGCGTTCATGGAGGAGAAAAGAAGTGACGAGCCCGTCATGTCGCCATGAACGTTTCAAACCATCGTCTGGCCAACATCACCATTACGATCCGCCATTTCGTATAAGACGAAACATACCGTGCATCCGAGGTGTGACGTACTCAACCCTCCCTGAAAAGGCTGCCAGTGCAAGCCAACACCCGTCAGTTACATCGCAGCTGTAACTCTCCAGATGGGATATCAATTTCTTAACCCAAGGATGGGGCCTTTCGGGTTGCCTTATTTTGGGCTGTGGTGTGTGTGATAAGAGGTAGCTGCCGGCTACGGGCCGTCCTGGCTCCAGTCCCCTGCAACACCAGGAATGGAGCTGCGCCATGATCGGGTACCGCCAAACAAGTGCTTTCCCCCCTCCATTGCCCTCTTCAACCTTGATCAATCCAAGACAACATTGCTCTTCACCCTTCGAGAGAAAACCAGGCTCATCACCGATACGAAGCACCCCTTGCTATGGTCAATGTAGGGTCGAGCAGCGAACAACCCTCCCGGTATGGTACCATGCCATCACAAGAAGCTGTCCAGAAGAAAAGGCTCCACGGTACAAGCGAGAACGAGGATAGCCCAACACAGTCAGTCAGCTGCCTGCCAAGACGCACCCGCGAGAAAAGGGGGCGTTGAGCGGAGACAGCCCCGCGCCAACAGCAAAAACGAGCTGGACGTTGCCATCGTCATCATTCATCATCAACTGCCAAAGGGAGGTGACGATTCGCCCTCGCCAACCCTGCTCCACCCATCACTGCTACCCATCAAACCAAGACTACCTAGTTGAGCGTGAGGCTTCCATACGTTAAGATGGGGTGCTCATTGGTATGTAGTGTAACATCTGCCTCGATTGCTCACCTCGGAATACTTGTCTAGAATCCGTGGCCGGCCTTGGCTTCGAAGATCCCGCTTTCCGTCGATCATCTGTCAGAGGCGATCTTAGCCAGACCAAGACCCGATGGCCTACACTTCCTTGCTCCACAGTCCACACGCTTGATATCCTTTGATTGCGCTTGCTATCTGTTCCAATGAGATGGTACCTGAACGTCCCCTACCTGGCATTCATGCTTTGTCTTGCCTTTGCGAGACTGCAGCCTTTCCCCCCATCCTTGATCCAGAAAACGTTGCATGCCGTTTTGGCTATTGGACGCACCAGACCACCGGAGGGTTTGCTTTGTCTTTGCGTCTAGAGACAGCTGCAAGAATGAGGGGCTTTTGCATCCTGGATCCCTACGAGACCAGACCCATACCCTTTCCATGACAACCTTGGGACGCAATGCCTGGATGGATCCCAGTCCTTGATCCATCGACCGTTCAGATGCTGTTTTGCGGGGACCTGGGGTTGTTGGGTTTGCTTATGTTCTCCCATGTTTCCTCAGCTTGCAACGTGCAGGGACCAGCCGATATTGGATTGACAGCCTGGGTTCGAGGGCTGCCCGCTATCAATGAGACCGTCCCTCTTCTGATCCGAATTCGTGATATCGAACTTTACTTAGCTCGTAAGACGTCCGCTCTTTCTTCACGGCAACCGAAGGAACACGCGGGATCCATTATGCAGCAGGATGCTGTCAACAGCTTCATCCGTTTGGTATTGGACTCTCGCAGACTTCCAGGTTGCTCCGGGCGACTTGACGACGATCTCGGTTCATCATCATGCCAAGACAGCACCTAACACCGAACGCATGCCTAGTATGCCGCAAGAAAAGGACAAAGGTGTGTCCAAAAGATCAACAATTGAACGATCTCTATTCCCAGACAGCGACGATTTCTTCATCAACACACATTGCCGCTCTTTACGATTTCAGTATCATGCTCCAAACCCGTTGCCCCAAGCCATGCTCATCCACACTTGGACTAACACGTATTCCTTAGTGTGATGGCCAGATGCCATGCCGCAGGTGTAGGTCTCGTGGAGAAGAATGCGCATACGAGGACAAGAAATGGCGTACCAAGGACCATCTCAGGTCCGAGATCGAAAGACTTCGAAACGAGCAACGACAGGGACATGCGGTGATTCGAGCTCTCATCAACGACGAGCAGGACTGGGAGTCGTTCTTATCACGGATCCGGAGCGACGAATCGCCCGAGGCCATTGCCGACTGGATACGCTCGATGAGAAACCTTTCGCTCCAGGCGGCGTCATCACAGAGCGTAGGAAGCTTTGGTCGTCTGGACGGTGCTCCTCCAAAATTGCTGTCACCGTCTCAACCCACCGCCTCATCGCTAGGCTCGGAGTCATCACAACTGCACAGAGCCGCTAGCTTTGGTGGAATTGGCAGCTACACTTTTGCCCAGGCCTGGGTTCCATTTGACCAGGCCACTCCTCGGAGAAGCTTCTCCTCGGACCTCTCCCCTACCACCCAGTTCTCGTTCAGGGACCAAGCAGCTTTCCTTCACGCCCCTCAGCCCTTGTATCCGTTCTCTAGAAGGTTTTCTAGCCCAGCGCTTCCATCCCCATCTCTGCGACGTTCTTCGCAACCTCTTGTCCCTGGTATCTCTAACGAGCCCCTGCCTAAAACTTGGACCAGTATAACATCAGACGCCCAGCTCGTCCAGAGACTTCTATCCAAGTTCTTCTCAGCTCCGTGCTCTTTACTATGCTTCATCCCGCAATCTTCTTTCATGAAGGCGTTTCGTGAGGGCGATCCCCGCTACTGTTCCGAGGCCCTGGTGAACGCCATTTTGGGAAAAGCTTGCAAATCTTACGGTACGACCTCAAATATCGTGTCCAGAATAACGTTTGGAGATGCCTTCCTAGGAGAAGCAAAGAGGCTGTTAGCAACCGAACCGAACCACGTGAACCTCCCAAGCATCCAGGCTTTGGCTGTTCTTGCCCTTGCTGAGATCTCTCAAGGTAACGACGATGAGGCCTGGGACTTGGCTTGGGCATCCGTGAGGGCAGCGATAACTCGTGAACAGAGCTTCCACGTGGATCAAGAACTAGCAACAGCCAGGGCAGTGTCTTATTGCGGTGGTTTCTCGTTGATTCAGTGAGTCCAGTCTCTGACATGAACCGCACTGCCTTCTTTTCCTCACCTTTGGCTCTCAGCAAGTTCCTGACACTGGTTGTCAACAGCATGCTACGCCTCCTTACCGGTCGTCTTGACCTGAATACCGGTCCCTTTTTCATGAGGCTTTATCAAGATTCTGGAGAGACAGCTGAAGATGAGCCACAAAATCGCATCAAACGAGGTAAGCTCTTAATACAAGAATCATCATACTTCTGTCTTGCTAATTGACGATGTTGGGTCCAGGATTCGCGCTGCATATGCAGTTCCTCGCTGAACTAGAACACTGCCCGCCACTTCCTCGGTTCGTGTTTAAGGTCACGGCAGCCGTGCACACTTTCTCGTCATACAATTTTTCCAATGCCGCAACTGCGGAGGAGCTTGAAGACGCTTATGGAAAGTGTCTAGATGCCTACAAGCATTTTAAAGATGCATTTGGCCTTGATATGGATACCACGCCGGACTTGTTGTTTGCACAGTTCGTTACCCCCGTCAATTTCCACTTCTAGACGGGCCATACCTGACATCTCTTAGGACCTGGTATCACTATTGCCTGCTCGCTCTTCTACGCCCCTTGGTAAAGAGCACCGCAAGCTTGAGAGACAGTGGAACGACAACACCCAAATTACGAGATGATGCCAAGCCTTCCGATATTTGCCAACAATCCTCTGAGGCCATCATCTTTCTCACGAGTACTTACCAAACTCGCTTCTCGTTGGGCAACCCGCCTGAGCTGCTCCCTCATATGCTCTTTGCCGCTGTTCTCTATCAGTTGACGCTCACGCCCGACCCAGAGCACTTAAGCTCAATTGCAAACGACGGCAAATCGGAGCCTACCGAATCCCCGGTGCTGATGTCGTCTCAGGCTTCCTTCGTGGCCCATACGAACTCCAATTTGGTTCCGCCGCCGCCCATCCCGTTCACCAGCCATGCTCCTTCTTTCCCGCAACCTCTTTCTCCCGTGGTGAAGTTGGAAGTCAGACAGGCAGCACATCGTCGCGCGTCCAGCATCTCGTTATCATCCACCTTTGACAGTTGTGGCAATCGCCGATCAAGCGCCAGTCTCCCATCCAGCACACTGACCTCTCATGATCCTTCGGAGAGAGAGTCTTCCGCGTCAGACACTCAGTCCGATTTGCTCCCGCTCTTCACCTCGGAGCCTGCTGACCTTGTCACCATCGGCTCACTGCAACTAGCATCCATGCAACATCTCGGTGCCGTTGAGGCGACTCGTTTATTGCGTAGTTTGGGAACCGTAAAGGATCTAACGGGATCAAATCTCGACTTGGCAACTTTGACCGAGGCATTACCCTTTCCCATGGGCGATTTCAACACCTCCACACTCTATACGGGTCTGGGTCTGCAGAGGTCGCCTGTTGAGTTGCAGGTCACTGGGCCGTAAGGGGTCCTAGGCAACCAGTGTATGTCACGGTACTTAGGGTAACAATGGAAAAATCTAAACCTTCCTTTAGCTTTTTTTTTGTTCATTTATGGAATTTGAATGGGAGTGTGTTAATCTACTGTATCTTTGTTGCTTCATGGGCCCGATGCGGCACCAAAATCAGACGGCAACCATTATATCATTTCCCGTCATTCCTTCAGCCACTGTGAGCGCTTACCAAGGTAAACAATCCATTTCTTCCCGACGGAGAGAATCATCAGGGGATTTCCTCGGCCTATCACCGCCATTACCATTACGCTCAGGGCTTAGCGCGATCCTTCAATGGGTGTTGAGAGCGCCAAACCGTCCAGCTCAGCTCGGCAACGAGGGCCAAGACGCGGCATGGCAATTTGAAAATGGCGGTATTTTGTACAATGTCTCGTCTTTTGGCGTGATGATCGGCTTGAAACCGGCAGCATGTGGTTGACCTCCATCGAACGTGATTCACTACGCCGCATCTTGTGAAGTGACGCCCCAGTGAAATCCCGACGGCAGATGCTCCTGACAGTTCCTGAGAGATCGGTGGATGCTACCCGTAGGAAGCATTTTCAGTACACATTTGGCCAGTGAAATATGTATTTGTGAGGGCAAGGGTCTTGAAGCTGCCTGCCTTCGGTTTGGACAACACAGGGCAGGGAGTACTGAGCTCCCAAGGCTTCGCCCCATAGGGAAAGACCGTTGCTTGCCAAGCACCTTAAGAAGTCCACCCTTAGGTGAGGTGGCAGGTGCCCTTCCCAAGAATGGTAACATCTGACTTGCCAGGGACGGTGAATATGGCAACGGCGATCATGAAGAAAACACAACATCGAGAAAGAAAGAAGGGTCTGGTGAGCCAGCCCTACGACCTTACAGTGATATATAAGACTGGCTTCCCGGGCGTTTTGAATGTTACCCTGAGCATTGTCAACAACATTGGTCAGTATCATTATCACTTCAGCACCTGGGAAGCAACCACCATGTTCCTCACAATACCCAGTCTCTGGGCTCTTGCTGTTTTCTCGATAGCATTAGCTGCCCCAACACCTAGACAAACCAATGTCAACGGCTGCACTGCTGTCCGTGAAGCCTATCTGACACAGAAGGGCGACCAAACAGTAGTCAAGCCTTCTGTGGCATTTGCTTGCCTCGAATCGGTGCCCGTTGATGTCGAAAACGACGTCGCCCTAATCGATTAGTGAGTCCAAAGTCCATACTCAATTCGTAGTGATGCTAACAGAGCTTCAGTCTGCTTCCCTATGCCCAGTTCCACAGTACCCTTGGATACCTCAAGGCTCCACCAAAGGAGTACCTGCTGCCAGGAGTCGACATTATCGGAGGCCTGATTCAAATCCGGGAGAAGCTGCGAGACGGTGGCTACTCCAACCAGTTCGAATTCACGAAAGACCTCAGTCAAGTTGTGAGTTTGCCTCCGTCGAGAACCCCGAAACAACATTTCGCGGTGACCATGGCTAACCCACCCTCTCCAAACAGTACAGAGCAGCCCACGATGGTCATTTTAACTACGCACTAGCCCTCCACAGCGTGTTTTCCTTTGGAAGATCGTTCAACCTCGTCTCTGTATCGGAAGATGGAACGAGCTTGCCAAAAGTTTACGTTGACGACGACATACTTTCCCAGCCAAACTCCTCGAAGATCTCACCCGTGGAATTTATTGACGACATTCCCATCGACAACTTCCTTAACCAGGAGGCGCATGCCCAACACCTCCATGATCCAGATGCACAGTACAACGCTCTCTTTTGGTCTCCTGCGATTGAAATCAAGTATCATGCTCGGTTCTCTAACGGCGATTATGTTCTCGGTTTTCCCGACTCGCACAACGTCCGATTCTCCAACGGGTCTTCTAAAGAATTTCCGAACTGGGCCCTGACTCAGATTGATGTTTCCGCTATCAACTCTGGGGAGAAGCTCCATCAAGTGGTCGAGGTGCCAAAGACCATTGGAACTTTAGGGGTAACCAAGGGAGCCTATGACGTTGAGATACCTTCAGTCAAGTCCCTTCTCCGTTACCCATCTAATCCGGTGGCAATTCACAAATATGGCGGTTATCTCTCTGGATACCTCCTCGATAATGACAACGACACGTGTGTTCTGGCTGCGGTCACATTCCGAACTGACTACGTCACACACTGGAAATATAATGTCACCGAAGACTTTGTTGAGGCACGTCGTGTCATCCGCGAGACGTTATTTTCTTGCAAAGCTGACGGGCGTACGCGCTTGATTGTGGACATGAGCGCCAATCCTGGTGGTTATGTTGAACTGGGCTATGAGGTATACCGCAATCTATTTCCCAAGGCGGAAATGTGGACCGGGAGCCGTATTCGAGCGCACCCGGCCGCTGACTTATTGGGCCGTCTTTTCTACGACACAGAATTCCAGTATTCAGCAACCGCTGGTGTGCACCAATTGGATCCCACTACCGGGGCTCCATACAAAACCTGGGAAGACCTCTACGGTCCCGTCAGTGTGACTGGCAATGAGATGGAAACGAACATGCTAACTGCGAACGAGAGCGAGTCGGTAGATAACAAAGCATTCTACCTAACAGGTTACGGCCCAAACGAAGTTTTGCCTGAGCAGCCGTTCAAGACCGAAAATATCGTTGTTCTCACCAACGGGATTTGTATCAGCACATGCACCATTTTCACTGGACTAATGCAACGCGAGCAGGGAGTCCGCACCATTGCAGTCGGCGGCAGGCCTCTTCATACACCCATGCAAGCCGTCGGAGGCAGTAAAGGTACGCAAGTGGTTGATCTCGCGGCCATCCGGGCTTCGTTCAACTTGATCTTGTCCCCCAAGGCAGGCAACGTGACAATCAAGTCCAAAGAGCTCGCCGCTTTGATCCCATCACCGGACGCGCCTCCACTTCAACCCGTTGCGCTCACATACTCCGGCGTCAACTACCGAAACGCTTACGCCAACGGTTGGAACTCTACCCAGGACAAAGATGACGACTACCCCACCCAGTTCCTCTACGAAGCCGCCAACTGCCGCCTCTTCTACAAGCCCGAACACATGCATGCCATGGCCCCCCTCTGGCGTGACGTCGCCGCCGCCGCCTGGAAAAACGCTTCGTGCGCGCCGGGTTCAACCGTCAAGAGGGACGGCAGCGACAAATGGATCATTTCGGACGAGAAGCCCGAGTTCACGGACCGTGTCCGGTCGAGAGTCGACACGTACGACGGCCCCGGTTCGTTGACGAATAACGTCTGGCAGGCGTACGGGAGCATCAACACCACGGGCTCGGGCGAGAATTACACGCTTAGCGATGATGATTATGTGGTGCCGGCCGGGTTCAAGAAGATGGGGGCGAAACTGGCACCGGGGAATGGTACGAAGGCGGAAAGAGAGCAGGAGAAGCAGGAGGAGACGAAGGAGGAGAACTCTGCTGTGGGAAATATGGGGCCGGGAATGCTGCAGGTTCTGACGACGGCTGTGCTGGTTGTCTTTGGGATGTGGGCGATGATGTGAATTTGGTGATGATCATGGACTGGGCTGGATAAATCGGGACGGGTAACGAAGTAATACCTAATGGCTTGGGTCTGCTCTGGTTGGATTGAGTTCAAGGAGTCGGGTTTGTGCAAGGCATGGTTGCTTGCTTTGTGGGTTGGATTTGGAAAGACGGGACTCGGGGCTCAGGGCTCGGGTACCTTATCCGCCTCCTAGAGATCCTACATACATACCTACATATGCGTGGCGTTTGGGTGCTGCTTTGGTAGAATCGTTAGCTGTCAGTTTTAACCAGTAATTCTTTTCCGATCAGATCTCGCTTTTGGCGAGCAGTGCTTTGCTGTGACAATGGAGTAGTGTGTGATGGCTCATGGGTGAAGTCGATCGCGAGTTGACCTGTCAGGAAAATCCGGCTCCCTAGCTCCCCGGCTTTTGTGATATCTTACATCTCTATTAATGTAAACAATGGTGTCGACAATGCATATCTTGTTTGTATCCTCCAGCTTTCTTATTCGTTCACTTGCATCAGCATGGTTCTTGTGTTGAGGAAAGAGAACGAAAGAAAGAAGCTAGGAAAAAAGAGTGGGGAGATTGGCGCACGGGCCACAAACACAAAATCACCAACACCAACGCGACGCCGAGATGCTTCACTTCTTCACATCCTCCAAACGACACTGCAAGATTCAAGCTCAACGCGTCGCTCTTGCCATTTAAAAAGGAAATTGGGTTACACAATCACTTCACGATTCTTTGCATGTAAAATTTATTTCTCCTAAGACCATCAGATATCTGGCCCGTCACCGACAAACTACACGCCCAGAAAACAACAACTACTTCAAAAGGCCCCCCTCCGCAGCAGCACCGGTGCAAGCAAGGACGCAAGAAGTCCCTGTAAATGATTGGGAACTGGACCCCAGAGGTGATCCCGACCTGTTGGACTCAGATGATGTCGAATCGCTCATCGAATTGGGCGCCCTCCACCCGCCTGGATCAAACGGGGACAGAATGAAAGGCCCTTACAGTCCTGATTCAGGCGAGTATGATTCCGAGATGGAGTTTCTGGATTCGTACGTGGTACCATCCGCACAAACTTCTTTCGCGGCACCTGCTCCGCAACCCGGGAGGACATCATCGAATTAACCTGCGCCGGCGCCACGAGGGAGACAGCCAGGCGGCGCCGTTAACGCTTCTTCGGCCTCAGCTTCGGCACCGGCGCCAGTACAGGCACCGGCACCGGCACCGACAGCAGCACCATCAAGAAAGCGCAAGGCCCCAACTGGTCCTCCCCCACCCTCCAGGCCCTTCAAGCGCCAACAATACGTCTCGCCGTCCCGGACCCCAGCCGAAGTTCGGCGCATAGTCAAATGTGAAGAATTTGACCTCGCCCTTGGCCTCCCCGGCAAACGCTACAGTCTGCCCAAGCTCCGCCGGCCCGATCCCTACATGCCAGAACCTATGTTCGGTCCCCCAGGGGTGCGCAGCGCCGCTCAAAACGGGTACAACGCCGTGAAGAAGCACTTTGACATGGCGCACGCTCGGTGGGAGCTGTCAGTGTCGAAGATGACAAGCGACGCTGATGAAATGGTCAAGTACGGGCATATGCTACGCTGGGAAGCGCACGCCTCTCACCGGTGGGTCGGACAAGTCGGGACGCAGACGTGGGGTGAGGATGGGCGGATGAAGAACTATGACGCGTTTATGGGCGCGCTGAAGAGGTGGAGGAGATGGCGGAGAAGGTGAGGGAGTTGGTCAAGCAGGTGGAGGGCGATGCGAGGAGGTGGAGCATGGAGTTTGCGAAGAAGAGGAGGGATTGGGGGGAGGAGGAGATTAGTGTCACGGAGGAGAGTGAGTGATGGCAAAACCACGACCAAACTCGAGATTGATGAGACATGGACGGCCATCTCGATCGGTCTAGCATTGAAGTCGGCCACCACCACACGGCTGCCAACCACGAGTGAGAGGCAGGGAGGTCATCAGGTCTGCACCTTTCGATCACTGCTGCATGGTTGATGCGCCCCTCTACGCTGTCCTGTTCTTCGGCGCCCGAATCCAGCTGGCACCGCTTTTCCGAGCCGAGTTTGCTCGATAAGCATGAGAAGGTGCATTCGCCCCGCAAGTTAGAGGGGGATAAAAGCAGGGAACCGCCGCTTTCTTCCTCCTTCTCCTCTTCTTATTTTTCCTTTATCCAACCGCCACCGGGCAACCTGCTACAGCCCGAGTTTCACGCCAGCCGATCCAAGTCAAACCTCTCCCCGCCAACATCTTCTTCGATCCAGCAATATCCAGTGGCAGTAACAAGGACATTGCAGCGACCCGATATGGCACCAAAAAGAAAGTCGGCCCCCGCTTCCTCGGCATCGGCTCCATCGAAGAAGCCCAAAAAGATAACCGGTCCTCCTCCTCGTTCCAGACCTTTCAAGCGCCGCCGCCAGTTATCCAAGAATCGCCCCATGTCTTGGTACCGGGGCGACGCCAGGAAATTTCATCTCGAGGCGCATTTTGCTCCTTTTGAATGCCACGTCTTCAAGCAGCTTCCTAAGCTAGCAAAAAATTTGCCGTATTCTCCGTCGCCTATGACTGATAGCCTGCCGACTGATAACCGTCCCTACCGAAAACCCCTAAACGGTTTCGACGCAACCAAGAAGCATTTCGAGGCCGCCTACGCTAAGTGGGAGCGGGCCGTGCAAATCATGGTGCACGAGGGAAGCCGGATGGCAGTTTTGGGAGGAATGCTGGTCGAGGAGGCACAAGCTTGTCACAAATGGGTGGGCCAGGTCGGAACGAAGACAGCGGTGGGTTATGACGGAAGGATGAAAAATTACGATGCGTTCAAGGACGCTTTGCAGAAGGTCAAGAATCTGGTCATGAAGGCCCCGAAAACAGTTGAAGAGGTGGACGAGCCTACGAAGAAATGGACGGTGAAGTTTATATGCCAGAGAAGGGCTTGGGATGAAGAAGAGGAAGATGCGGACAACGCTGAAGAGGAGGTGTTTGATGAGAGCGGGGGTGATGCCGTAGAGCAAGCGGTAATTGCTCATTGCTTCATCAAATCTGGCTACTAATGTCGTTGCCGTCCAACGGAGTCTTCTTCCCATGTTCAAAGGCCGCGTTCTGTTTCAGAGTCGTTTGTGCAATCACAGGTGGTGAACCATCCGCACGCTACAGCTATGTCGTTACTCATTGTCCACATGTCTCTTATAGTTAAGGTAGTAGCTTTATTATAAGTACTCGGTATCAGGCCTGACTTCCCCTTCAAATCCCCCAGCACGAGGCACTCTTCACATTCATTACCCCCGCCACCATCAGCTCATAGGTACCAAGATGCATCCTACACTCCTCCTCGCATTGGGTTTTCTCGCCATTGCATCAACCGTAGCCGGGTATAAGTATGGCAACGACTTCCACCTGAGCTGCGCGAATTACACCACTATATTTTACAGCCATCTGATCATTTATGGCGAGTGCAAGCTTGGCCCTCTGGCGCTTGCAAGCTTGGCAACTGGGGGTGCGGCTGGGGACCCGGCACACCCGGGATGGCAACAAACAAATCTCGACCTGAACAAGTGTATCTGGTACGATCCGTCCCAAAGATCACTGCAATGGATTGCGCCGGTGTGTAATATGCAGCTTGTGGATACGCCCCCGAACCTGAGGAATTCTACGGGGAGGTCAGTTTGCCCCTTGCCTTCTACTTCCCTCTTTCCAAGAACATGAGAGCTCAGCTGAAGACACAAGATGACCTCTACTAACACACTTTACCTTATCGAATTTTACCTACCCTTTAGACAACCAGCTCCTCTCCTTGAAGACCTCTGCTATAGCTGTTATATGGAAAATTCCACGCCGAGGAAGGGAACCAAGGACTCCTATGATACCGTACCTGGGGAGCGCTTGTTGAGGTGCAATTGCACCACTGATCAGAATGTGACGGATAATAGTCTTTCGATTAACCTCGGTAAGATTTTGTCTTTGTTTTTGTTTTTTTCCCCAGATAGAGAGCATAGCATCATTAAGTAGAAAGTTCTGACCTTAGCTCTACGATAGCCCAGCATATCTACAACGAGAACGGTTTCATGGGATGTTTTGGACGGCAAGGGTGACGGAAGCTTTCTATCTCTTGGGGCGGTCATTAGGTATCTACCTTGTGAAGCTGGACATGGTGAACTACGTATATTGTTCGAAAACGTTGGGAGAATGAGACGGAGTTGGTGCTATTCCACAAGAGCAGGAGGAGATACAAATGGGCAGTTTGTGCAGCCCGCCGGACTGGAAAGCAAAATCTTATAGAGGAGATGCGAGTAATGGAACTGCAAAAGATATCGTGATTGGAACTGATTTCTGCTTCCGGGGGAGAGCAACGGAACACAAGAAACTCATCAGTTGTTCGAGCGATTGAAGTCAAATGCGGCTTTACAGGGTGCACGTCATTCCTCGCACCTTCACTTGATGCCGTGGATTGTACCAAGAGGTTTTGTGTTGCTGGAAACAGGCACATACCAAGACAAGAATAGCAAGAGAGTGGGGGTTGCGACTCCAGGCCAGTCGTCACACACACGGTTATGGCCATTGAATGGTTGATTGGGGTAGGGAAGGAGCGACAACGGGCAGGGCAGGCGTATACAGACAGTGGCAACTGGAAGAAATTGCGCGAGAACTTCTCAATCGGAAAGCATCTCAACAGAACCTTGAAGGAACGATTGACGTCCACTTCTTGGTACATAAGGGGCACACGTCGGACGTGGGGGTGAGAGGCGGTGAAGACCTTTGATACTCTTCATAAATGCTGCTGCTGATGAAGTGTCGAGGTTTGTAAGCATCTTTCTTCCTGTCTTGATGTATCATGGTGCAGTTTGAGCTGGATCTCGTTTACTCATGGAGTTTCCTTCCCATTTCATCATGCACCTCTTGTTTCAGAATCCCGTTTGTGTCGAGTTCAGGCTGTGACCCATCCGTCTGCTGCAATGAAAGTGCTGCACATTATCTACTACACGCGATTACCCACAGATTGATCCATGTTGAAGTATTTAATATCATGCCAAAGCTCGCTTTCATGCACCTCGACACCATCATCAACAGCTCCCGGTCCAACTCGGCTGTTAAGGAACACGAAGATGCAACTCCTCCGCTTTCTCGTATTGGTTTTCATCAACACTGTTGCAGCTTCAAACTGTTCGGTTTTTGACAATGGCAACTTCCAAGCAAGTTGTTATTCCGAAGGATTTGAATTCGGGCCGCACTTCCTCATAGGCGCTATTTGCCTGCGGGCCGACAGTAAGAGCAACCGTACTACCAAGTTGAGTCTGTCAAAGTGCATTGGTTACAACGTCAAGGAAAGCAAGTTGGTGTGGAAGGTCCCGTCGTGCAATACCACCACGGCAGATGAGCAGGGCTGGAATAGTACACAGGGGCAAGAGAACTTGTCAGTCTTGCCATCCCGAAGTCAATGAAACACCCACCGTTCATGTCATGACTGACGATAATTTCGTGTTAGGGTTGATATCCTGGACTATTGCAAGGTTCCAACATGGGATACATGGACGCACAATGCTACGTCCTGGGTACTGAAGTTTAGGTGCAATACTGGAGATCAGAAGCCGGTTGACTGGGATGGGGGAGGAGATTTCAATTTGTGTAAGGCTGGTTCAACGGTTTCTCCCCTTATTATGACAATCTGGATATTAAACTGATCATCTTTCGCTACATCTGAACATATCTTCAATAATGATGGCCAACTGGGATGCTTCGGAATGCTTGGACCTTAGATCATTCTTTTTGACCGCAGTACCTCTATGAGTTGGTGGAATCAGCATGGTCGATTGGAGTATGCTTAGTGGGCAGGATGAGTAGTTTCAGGGGGAGGAAAAGTGAGGTTTTTACACGGGACAGGCAGGTAATTGTTAAATGAGTACTTAAAAGTCGTGAAATACTTATTAGACGTTATCAAGCGATCTGGGTTGTCTTAATCATGAGCGCGTACTTGTCAGGCTGGTTTCCCATCATAACAAGATACATTGCGCTCCCAATAAAACATGGCCATGAGTTCTGCCACTGAACCTAAAAGTACCTGTCGAAACAGAGTAGACATTGAAGAAAGGACTACCCAACTTCGTAATACATCCAGAGGAATGCGTGAAAGATTTGGGCTCGAGCGCAGGGCAGTGACTAACATTCTTTGAAATCGACGCTGTCGATGAGCTGTGGAAGTTTCCATTCACAATACCTCACATACCGATGTATCATGTTATGCTGAAAGCAACCAAGTTAGTCCAAGGCCGTGATACACCATCCCCCTAGACAGCTACGGGTTATGCACTCCCGACATCCAACCTCACAGCTATAAGCTCCAAGCTCAGCCAAACCCAGATCATCACACTTTAGACCTGATCCTATCCTTTTGCTCGACTCCCTCAAATCAGATCTCACCAAACAGCAACGAACCCGAGCACAGACTTACACCAACAACACCACCACCGAAATGCATCTCCCACTCCTTCCACCCACCCTCGCTCACATTCTCACCACCTTCACCTCTCTCACCACCCTCACCACCCTCACCCTCATTTCCCCCATTTCCGCTGTTGAACCCGCCAACACCGACCCTATCCAAAAACCCATTTCCATGATCGACACCTTCCGCAAATCCTGCGTCAACTGGCAAGTCGACTCAGCCGCCTGCTCCATCCACGGCATCTGCAAGCTCACCGACGACTCTCACGAGGCGTCCCACCCCAAACTCCACGGGTGGCGCGAGACGAACTTGGATTTGAACGAGTGCATTTGGTTTGATGCTAAAGAGAGTAAATTGAAGTGGTTTGAGGAGAAGGATGGGAAGGTTGAGGATTTATCTGGGTGAGTTTTTTTCCATCTCCGACTGGACTGGGACTTTGTGACGTGAAGGGCAGAAAGCTGACGATGTGAAAAAAGGACAGCAAACTTTTGCCGCGACTTTTGTGATTGTTGGCTTTATGGAGGGGGTATGTCGGGGGATATGATGGCTTGTCTTTGTGATTCGGGGGGGCATAAGAGGGATACGTGGAGTTCGTTGAATTTGAGTAAGTATTTTTCGGTTCCCTTTTCCTGTGATGGATGGAGCTGACGTGAAGTAGCGGAACGTATTGCGAATGGAGGGGGACATTTCGAGTGTTTTGGGCGGAAGGAAAATTAGAGGTGGGCAGGCTTTTGGTGTACACGGATCTAGGAAGTGGAAGTCATCACGGCCGTGATCACTCTTTTGGCAACATGGGGAGGAGCTGAAGCAGGAGAGCAGGGGGTGAGGAAGGAACTCGACGATGATACATGCGACTGACAGAATGAGAAACAACCAAGGAAGGAGCAAGGGTACAGCACATAGGTCCCATCAATCGTGATTATTGCTTTTCGATTGATGAAGCGTTTCTTTTACAGAAGTGTTGTAGTTTGTTCCCAAGCTGGCATGTCGACATGTTAATGCTTAGGAAGGAGTGCGACACGCTACAGGGACCTGGCGCTGTATATTGGGTTACTGTAGTGGACACTAACATCTCCATCCGCTGAGACCCCATGACAAGACATGATGCAGACAGCTCCTTCAATTACAGTTCCCCAAACCCCTTGATCAAATTGTCTTAAAGGACTGATGAGGGAAAATAGACCTCCAAGAGTTGATTTGACTGTAATCGAACCTTCTTGGATCGCTTGATACCGTGGAAAGGTATCAAATCTTAGAGTGTCTTGAGGACAACTTGTGCTACTTTTGGGGGAAGAGGCTGCCCGAGGCTGCCTGTTAGCGTCTGTTAGCAACCGCTGTCCCGCACCCACCCTGTGCCACCTTGTGACGTCTCACACCTCTTGGCAGCTTACCGACCACCATGCATCCACCACCACAATCCATATCACCACCTTCGACGCCCATCTCTGCGACGCTGACGGGATTGTTGTGGCGTTTCTTGGCTAATTTAACGGGTACTATACCCTATAGGTCTATCGTTGCAGCAATCCGCCACAAAATGGACGACAATGGGTTCCCTCGGGTCAGCTCGCGCGGGGTCCGAGCACACGACAACGACAACCCCTCCGTGCCGAGCTTCCTCTTTTCCGAAGCGATACCGATAGCGACCTACGTTAGCGACCCTCCAATATGACTTCAGACGGCGTGATCCCTCACGTCCTATGCGATCGGTGCTCCCGCATCATCCACTCCGACTGGGTTCAAGAACGACTATGAGGATATGATGAATGATTTGGCCGGACTGGACGACTGGCTGGAAGAACGGTACAACGAGAGTTTTGACTTCTCTGGCCCATGGATCATGGACGACTTTGTCACTGTCCAGCTGCGGAAGGTTCGAAGTGGTGAGTTTCCTGCCTCGATGGGATGTTCAAGGCTGTTTCTAACGTTATAACCCCAGACACGTACTCGCCAGCAGGCCGTGATTCCAACCTCCCACTGTCTCCGTCCTCGGACGCTCCCGAAGTCCTCAAATCCATGCAACACTGGCTGGAAGACTGCGTCAAGAACCACCCCGAGTGCAACCGTTATTCCTCCACGCAAAAGGACCCCACTGCCACATGGCTGCCTACGCGGCTCATCGACGTGGGAGAAGTACCCGGCAAACTAGCTCCTCGGTTGGTGATCTCGGCTGCGGAAGGCCTTGCCCAAAAGAAGGCACACTACCTCACGCTCAGCCATTCCTGGTCCATCTCCACGAAAGCTCACAACTTGAAGCTGGAGACAGATAACATGGCCCAGTTGCAAGATAGCATACCCCTTGATGACAGCCTGTCCAAGACGTTTCGGGATGCCATGAGATAACCCAACAGCTCGGATGTCGGTATGTATGGATCGATTCCTTGTGCATCATCCAAAGTGGTCCAAAGGCCAAGGAAGACTGGCAAAGAGAAGGACTTACCATGAGTGATGTTTATGGTCATTCACGCTGTAACATTACCGCACTGGGGACTGGCGGCAACGATGGCTGCTTCACCCCAAGGAACCCATTGCAGATCAGCCCATGCCGGATCAGAGTGTGTGACGATAAATCCACCATATACGCTGTCAACTCCCTACTCGAAAACACGTTCGTGGAGAATGTGGAACAGTCGCCCCTGTTCAAGCGAGGCTGGGTCTTCCAGGAGAGCGTCCTGTCCTCGCGAGCGGTATACTTTGGAGCTCCCCAGCTCTTCTGGGAATGTCGTCGTCAAGCCTTTGCCGAGTCGTGGCCGCTCAAGACCGACACGCCCCGAGTGCAACAACGCCTCACCGAGCCTACCTTGCGAGCCACCGGGGACACCCCCTTTTCCTCCAAGACAGTCTTCGAGGCGCTCTGCAACGCCGAAGAACAGCAGGTGTAAAATGAGCCCAACGAAGCAAAGGACAGAGCAAGACACCTAATCGAGCACACGTTTCCCTCCTTCCTCGCCTGGGAAAAGATCGCAAAGACCTTCATCGGCACCTCCCTAACCTTTACCTCCGACCGCCTTTTCGCCATGGCCGGCATCGCCCGTACCATCGAGCACTTCCGCTCCTTCACCTACGTCACCGGAACCTGGCGCGAGCTCTACCCGCTTGACCTTCTCTGGCGCTTCACCCGCGAGCTGGGCGAGCGAAAGAACATCGTCTCAGGCTCTAATGCCCCCTCGCGGTCGTGGGCCGCCAAGGAACTCGACATGCAGGAATTGTTGAAGAACATTGCGGAAAGCGAAAAGAACACACAACGTCCCGCTCACTGGGATGGGAATAAGCGGTTTCTGGTTGAGTCGGTCACTGGCGTCGCTTACCTCTCCCAGCTTGTCGAGTTCCCTGATCCCCCGTTTGAGTCGAAGTACAGGCCTGATAAAGAGGGGGAGATCACGATTGTTCTGAAGGGCCATGTGCGCAAGGGCCTGGTGAAGACGGAGCTGGATGTCCAGAGCTACCCGGAGGAGGGTCGACTGTCTACCGGCGTGTCGGTGCCTTCAGGACGGGCGAGTTGTCAGACTGTCCTGTTAATGCATTCGACGGGGGTGAAGTGGAGGAGGTGTTGCGTATTTGCTGAGGTCGACTTCAATTCAACAAAAAGGAGATCCCGTTCTTGCCGGTCATCCAGCCAATGCTCCTATTCACACCGTCCCCTTTTCCTCGCCCAGGTCTTGGCTTACCCACCCAAAGCGGAACGGAGGCCGCCATCGTATCCTCAGATCTCGTGTAGACCCTAGCACAAGTAAAACCTCCACAGCGCGAGGTAGATCATCATCAGTTTCCATCCGTGACGGTTTCCAGACATTTTTCATGTCCTTGTCACCTGGCGTTCGTCCATGGGTGTGGTTGCTTACTGAGCTCCAAGTCAGTGAACCTCAGAGCGAGTTGATAGGCCGATCCTTCTCAGCTCATATCTGTTCGTATCGAAACCGACTCTTACCAAGAATGTCCCCGTTTTAGAAAAGACATCATGCTACGTTCCCACGTTCCCTTTCATGTCGTTCAAGTTCACCTCTTCACACCGCTTCGGGCTTTTGACTTGATTGGCGAGACTCGAGCTCCCCAGTGTCGCCTCAACTCAGCCTCCAGGTCCCAGCGGCACCGAGGTCCCGATGCACTCGTACAAGTGTTACGAAACAGATGAATTGGGGATCTTTGATTCGTGGAAAGGATCATTCCCGAAGTCTGTGTGTGTCTTGTTCGATTTGTGGGCGACACTGCATGCTGCGATCGTGCACTGCCCTTGCTGCTGAGCCGCTACCGCCATGCTACCGGTGCCGCTGCAATGTTACCTTCGCTGACAACCTACGATCTCGTGGCATCGATGGTGTTGGTGTAGCGTTGTGTAGCAACGGATGAATCAAAGTTCTCACCTCCCTTTGACTCCCGCAATCAACTCCTCTCCCAAAAAAAAAAAATCCATTCAGCATTTGATGACCTCATCTTTGGGGGTTGTCGGGCAGCCTAGGTTGGAGCCTTTTGTCAACCCCCTCTCATAAAAGATGAGTAGGGGGTTGAGGAAAGGTCCCACCACCGAACCGCACCACAACCCCCAAGTAACACGTTACACAACGAAATAAGCGCCCAAGGTGGACTTACACAGTATACGAATGTTTTGCTCAAACCAATCCTGTTACTGGATCGTTCCCAAGAAACTCTGCGACCCGCATCAACTCACCAGAAGGTTGGTCGAAGCCAGATATACCCGGCGCTATACCTAGTTGAGAAAAAGCGGTATATCCCCTTGGACCCCTAGTCTCGGCCATTGCCGAATGAGCCACCTGCACTGCTACCCTGAGGCTTCGCGAAGCCCGTATGTTTCCCTGCTAGGGCATTTAGGGGACCAAATCAGGACGATCAGTCGAAGCTACGGTGCTTTTAGCCTAGCTTGTGCTGTATACTCCGCTTGGTGAACCCGCTGGGAAGGGGAAATACGAGAAAGAGAGGTTTCATCCATCTTCTTGGCAATCGTCATGCTTCGCTTTGGGAAAGGAGGAAAAAAGCCCCATCTGTTCAGGTTCCGACTTCCGTTCGATTCCCAGCTGCAGCTGCAGATCGATGCCCTGAAATCTGAACCGCCAAGCGGGCGGTCCCCCACAAGTCGGTGGATGCCGAACTTCCCTTCTTGTCTATGGACCACCAAGCAAAACAAGCCACGACGATACGAGCTGGCAGACGGTGGCGGTAACTTTTGGTGAGGTGATTGTCAACTGGCGGGCAAGCGAGCAACGTAACAGCCAGCAGGTACGGTAACAGCGGCATCGAGGGAGGACCCGTTCGGTGCAGACGGGGATCATCATCATCAGTTGGGTCGACTTCTCGAGACTCCAGTCCGTCATCCGACATCCGTCCCCATCCCGCTCCCAAGATTTTCAAGTATAAGATCTCGAGAATCCCTTTCTTTCTTGCCCATCCATTCATCTCAACCAGCATCAGCTTCATCATCCAACACTTCCAACACTACAACCTAAACCTTAATCACTAATCACCACCACCCAACCAACCAAACCAACCCCCACCAAATCTATCAAAATGGTCAACTTCACCCGCGCCGTCTCCGCCCTGGCCCTCGCTGCCACCGCCACCGCTGCTCCCGCCAACACCACCGCCAAGGCCACCGAGAGCGGTCTCACCTGGACTGTCAAGGACTTCGACTTCCACGCCGACTACGTCTTCACCACCCCTGCCCACCAGAACAGCTATGGCTACGTCAAGTTCACTTTGACCTCCGACAAGACCGGCCTGGTCTACGGGTGCTCCGCCCAGTCCAGCCAGATTCCCGATTTCTTCTACGAGTTCAACGACGCCTACCCGTGCACTGCGCCCCAGGGCGCGGCTGAGGGCATCAAGGCCAGCTGGGCCAGCTTCAAGTACAACAGGCCTGATGGCAAGTTGATTTTGGAGGAGACTATCGTTCCTGCTGAGGGAGAGACGTAAGTAACCTGTGACTCTGTTCATCGGACACAAAAACAGAAAGACTAACATGATGTATGGGAAAACAGTTATACCGCTTCTGGATCCACCACCATCAAGACTACCTGCACCGATGAGAGCAAGGGCCCTAACCCCAACTGGCAGATTGGCGAGAACTACTCCGAGAGGCACATCGTTTGCGAGAAGACCGATGCTACTGTTGCTGGCACCGTTGCTTAAGCGGGTTGACTAGACACGGTTCCCTTGCCAGCCTAGACCTAGCAAGCTCGAGTATGGGATGTTGGTATACATAGAATGTAATGGAGTGGAACGAATGATGTTGAGTTGGATGACAGGAGGTAGTGGTACTTAGATCTGCTTTGGATAGAAAAAACCAGCAAGCGATTGTTAATGAAATCTCGACGGGTCTCGTCTCAGTGAATCTTATCTGATGTGATGGTGTTGATGCAAATCTTAACGGAATTTCAAACCGATCTTACCTAGTGATCTGATAACTTCAGCCCTACATAGGATCCAATGTGACGTATGTACCTTGACTTCTGATCGAAGATCTTTTAAGCTTTGTAGAGTACATAAGTCTGACTGCTGCAGACTTTGAACCACAGCGTTCCTAGCTGGGTCTAGTGTAGCATTGATCAGAACCTACCCCAGGTTCTACACTAGATCCAGTAACTAACCTAGCCGTGCTACCGGGCTCATCTTTGGTACCTACCTATGATAGAGAAGATGTCAGTATAGAGTCTAGTCTAGTGTTTGACTTCAAAATCTTTCTTTATAAGCCCTCGCTGAAGAAAGTAAAACCACATACGACCATACCCACTGGAGAACTCGGGATCCCGTCCGCTCTCCCATAGATAAGCCAGTGAGGGCCAGACTAGTAGTTGGGTCGGTGACGACCAGCGAATCCCTGGTGTTGTATGTTTTTTTTTTTTTTTTTTCGGTCCACTTTGTATCATTTCTCTTTTTGCATGCATGCACACATCAAACAATACTGTGTCATCTCATCCTGCTTCGCTTCTTTTAGTATCGTTTACGATAGGCACATCCAAATAGTCGTTAAGAGGCGAGTGGAGCCATTCTTTCTTGAGCGGCGGCGGCAGCTCGTTCGATATACTCATACGCATCAGCATCACCGGAGGAAGCCCGCCCTCATCAAGTGGTAACTTCGTCGTTCTTTAGAAAAAACTCAGCCAGTTGGGATCTAGACTAGTGCTTGAGTGAATGATGTGTGAACTTGGATGATAAAAGGTCTCTCTGGATCGACTTTCGACTAAAAGTGTGAGCAAGCAAGCAAGCAAATTTAAGCAATGACTGAATGGACCGATGCTCAGTCATCTCGGTCGGAGTTTACCGCATGTTGTTCATAGCCCAAAGATGACAATCTACCGACCACATATTAACATTACCAGCAAAAACCCACCCCATAAACGCGGAAAAACAAGCCAAAATAATATCGAAAAAGGAGAATAACAAGAACAAGCTACCAAGCAACAAAAGTGAACAGAAAGTTAGAAAAAAAGTTGCGCCAAGAGGGAATCGAACCCCCACCTCATCCTTGGAAGGGATGAATCCTAGCCGTTAGACCATTGGCGCTTTATTGTTGTTGAAAACTGTTTGCGAGTTCTGTGCTTATGTACCCCAATTTGCGGGGTGGTGGCACCCTAACGTGCTTGGCAGGTAGGTGTGGGTCCTCCCGGACTCCTTAACCTGATCGAGCTCCCCCTTTCGGGAAGAGGACGATGGATTCCTCGATACAATTCTTCTGAAGCCACTTGGGGGAAATTGTGAATTGGTTTTATCAAGCCATGAAGAACCTAAGTGACAGATGCGTGCATCGAGTTTCTGGTGGATTTCGCATCGTCTTTCCACTCTTTTGCGCCTTATTATAGGCTGCACCAAGACTCGAGGACGAAGGTAACAAAGCATCAAGGTCAATAGCAGACATTTACAGATAGTCCGTAATGTGCATCGAGGAGTAATTGGGACTTGGAATGGCACGTCGTCACCAGTGACCACGCCACAGCATGGCGTTGGATTGTCATGGGACACGAGCTCTTCTAAGGTATGGTTGGGAAAGTGCTTCATTGATGCCTTCCATGGTTGAGAAAAGAGGAATGTCTTGCCAAGTGTTAACCACAAGGATGAAAAATCCGAGCGGGGTGCGCCTTCCACATGTAACAGCTCCGGGTCGTTCGCTCTTTCCGCTCCCCAGTTGCTATACAGGAACTCGAAAAGTAGAATTGCATCGGAGCAACTGGTCAGGAAACATGAGTAGGGTGATTCTCCAAGGTAGTCCAAGTTTTTGATGGGACATGCTTCAAACCAAGTTCTCGTCCGGAAGACGTCCGGATCGCAGAGTGTCTTCAATGACTTTGGCGGGTGTGACGAGCCACGTCCTGAGGACCGCTTGTAGGAATCATTCCAGCATCACATCGCCAGAGCTCAAGCGTCCATGAAGCCCGTGAAGCAGCTCTCACCCGTAGTCGGTGAATCATCCTCCCATCCAAAACCCCATGAGTAGATCCCAAAACAGGCGGACTTCGCTACTTAAAGCCGCCCCTAATCGGCCTCCATAGGTAGCTTCCCTTCCTTACCTGCGTCCTGCCCAGAAAGCGATATCACCAAGACAGTACCAATCACCAAAACAAGAAAAATGGACCCCCAACTCCCCTCCCCACCCCAACGTCTCTACCTCGCCTCCCTCCCCAACGAGATCCTCGACCGCATCTTCTCCCTCCTCCCCGTCCCCACCGCCCGCCTCTGCCGTCTCATCTCGCACCGCTTCCTCCCCAGCGCCACGCGCGCCTCCTTCCCCGTCCTCGTCGTCTCCCCCCTCCTCAGCGACGGCGACCACCTCCAACGCCTCGCCAACTCGCCCGACATCGCGCCCTGTTTGCGTTCAATCTACTACGTAACCGACACACTCGCCGAGCCGCGATGGCGGCGTCTCGAGTCTTCTCCGGATCTGAACGAGGAGGGAGATCCATAAGAGTTCACCTGGAACACAACCGATCACCCTCGGAATTGGCTGCCGCACTACGTCAACCACCCGGAAGGATCAGGGCGGATCGATCTCCACTCTCCGGAGTGGTACCGGTACCGCTACCCGCCGCTGATCAGCCACCACCGGCGGTCTGCCGAGCAAATCGCCCTCGACCGTGAGCGGTACGAGGAGATCCTGCTAGACCAGGCCAAGTTCTTGGCTGTTGACCACTCGCCCAACCGTGACTACGACGGGATCGTCATGTGTCTGGAACAGTTCCCCGCGCTGGAGAGCATCACCCTGGCCGCATGTCGGGAGATGAGCCTGGCTGCGCCGCTGAACTCGGTAGCGCTGCACAGCGATAGGAACCCCTTCCGGTTCCGAGTATTTCCACGCCCGAGACGGAGGAGAGGGTTTTGCGTTCTCTGGTCCGGTACCTCGAGATGCAATCGGTGATGGGAAAGACGGCGCGGTTGAAGACGCTGCGAATCAAGAACCTGTCTTGGTGCGTGCTGGACGACGACCCAGCAGGTCTTTTCTTCACGCCGACTGTTGAAGACGCGCTGGCGAACCTGACTACGCTGGAGATCCAGATCCGCCATGGGAATCCGATTCACGTTGCGGCGAGCGAGTGTATTCCTCCCAAGTCCCAGAGGAGACTCAGCGACATCATGTCGTCAGGGCGGGTTCGCTCGTTCCTGAAGTCGCTGACGAACTTGCGACACTTGACGTTTGAAAGGGATAGGGTGTGGTACCGCGACGACGAAATGATTCCAGACGATGGCTGGTATAAGTGGTCACTGGGGGACATTATCGATCCGGAATTCCGGTGGCCACACTTGCAGTCGTTGTCGCTGTCACATTTCCACGACTGTGAGAGAGAGGATGTCGAACGAATCATGGACAACCATGCCGATACGCTTTGGAAGGTGTCGCTGGGAGACGCTAATCTCAGGACAACGTCGTGGGTGAATCTGGTGGATTACTTTTACCAGGAGAATCAGAAGCGGATTGCTGGATATAGTGACAAGCCCCTGTACCATCTGGAGCTATGGGGCTGCCTCAGAGGTACCAGAGAAAAGAGCATCACAGGGAACCAGCGGCCCGACGCTCCAGATCACACGGGAGAGGGAGAAAGGTGGGTTTTCTGGCGTGGGGAGACGCATAGCTGGGAACTAGCGAGGTACGTGTATGGGATTGCGTTCCAGGTGTCCAACTACGCACGGGAACATAGGGCGCTCTATGCTCGTATACTCGTCGGTGAGCGCGAGGAGGGACTCGGAGGGCTATGAGGTTGACTACCAGCCAAGAGTGGAAAGAATTCGGCCCAGAAGGGAATCATAGGAGTTTTGACATAACCGAAGGAATTGAGGAAATAAGTCGTGGAGGTAGTTGACAAGTAAAGACTTCGAGGCTTGGCAAGTGAGGGATTGCCGCAGCGGTAGGCTTCGTGACGAGGTAGCCTAGGTATTGAGTTAGTAGAATTGCCATCAGTTGCCATGGGCGTAGAACATCGTTGCTCTCAGACACATGGATGTGAAGTCTGGTGATTTTGCTCCGGTGCCGAAGGGGTGCGGGAGATGATCGATGATCCGGCTGAGACTCCGTGGCGGAAAGGGTTGTGCTGGCCGCGTCTATTGGAAAGATAGAATCAGCTTTGTGCTTTCTAGATCATGCACTTCTGTGGTCACGATTTGGCTGATAGATAGACTGCGTGACGGCTTATGGTTATCATGAGTGGTCAAAATGAACTTTGCACCCCTGGACCCCTTCGTCCGTTTTTGGGTGCGTAGCATCGTACCTGCATCGGAGACTAACCTGGAAAATTCTAAAAGCCCGCCCGATCACGTACCCCTGACAGCTGATCTTGCAGCTAGGGATCCCCCATCTCTTTAGCCGTGCAAATTCATCATCTTAGCGCCCCCCGCAATATACCAGCAGCACTTGATAGCTTCCATTGGCTGTCAGCTAGGAAACACTACCACAGCACTAGAAAATGCTATCAGGGCTGGGGCATTTGATGTATCTTCGCGCTTCAGGTGTATCCTGGAAGGCAAAACTGACCACCGGGTTGGCTCAAATCCGCATGACGCTAAAATGATAAATTTGCGCGGCTAAGGAGATGGTGAACATGGTTGCCACGCGTCCCTGACGTCCACTGACGCTTCCAGAAGATGGAATGGTCCAGTCCAGTCGCAGCTCTCCACCGTCGACGAAAAACTGCCGGATCAGGCAATATTACGCGAGGATATTACTTCACTAAGTAATACTAATAGAGAATGATAGAACGAGCACCTGGCTGTTGGACGGAGTAATAGTGCGTAACGATAGGCGGTAGTGCTGTCAAAGGAAGTACAAGACAGACGCTGTCGAGAGCTTCAACCTGGAACCTCACATACGACTTCACAGAGCGTGAGCAAGATAGACGGTAGGTTGTAAGGTAATGACCGTCAGGCCGTGTTTGGCGACTCGGAAATGGGACCTGGAAATGGGGTTTCGGAAGTGTTGTTCTGAGGAACCGCACGGACCGTTCTGAACCGGATTTTGGCGGTAAATGCCGAGATTTTCAACTCTACCAGTTCTACCTAAAAATACTTCCGAAGACAATTTCCGAGTGCCGTTTGGCGTACTAAATGTCTAGAAATATAACGAATCTACATCGTAATAAATATTATATTATTTATACCCTCTTTTATCTATTTGTCTTTACCCTAACAGGAATCGCCGTATACCCAATCAAGATTTGCCTATTTTACTAGCAATATGGCTGGCGATACCAATTAATTATAGATAACTAGTTAGATTGCTAGTCAGGCAGCGCCCGCGTTTGCTTAATTTAATTAAGTTACTTCTACCCCCTTTATTGGATTTATTAAGAGGAAGACCCCTAAGAAGTTATGGTAGTGGAATGAAATATAGGAGGTTTCTTTATTGTAGGTGTTGAAGAGTGTTAGCGACAATGGCCTTACTAACTAAGGCGGGTTTAAGGAGATAGTGTATAATAATATCGTTAATACTTTTTGTATTGAGTACAGCGTTAAAGTCGACGTTGGTTAAGTTTGTAATAAGGTTGACTATTTTAAGTGTAAATGGCGTGCTTGATAAGCTTTAGGTGGGTATATTAGCTAGTTTGGATTCGGATACGATGTTAAAATAGGGTTACATACTGCGGAGGATATTGTTTGGGATTCCTTTTTGGAGGTTAATTTAGCGCATTTTTATGGGGTATTATAATAAGTATATTAATTTGATAAATTAATAGAATTATAAAGAGTAGTAATAGTTCCGTTATAAAATACTATTATATTATATTTTTATAGAGGAGGCATTCGCTAATAATTAGGGTGTAATTGGAAGTTACGCTTTAATACTTGGTGTATTACTTTTACGTAAAAACGTACTACTAATAGGTATACTATATAAACTTAATAACGAGGATATAGAGGGGAAGCTTAAAGTGCCCGCTTATATTCGTAATAGTAAGAGGAAGGTTGCCGGCTTATTTAACCCTAAGAAGAAGAAGAAGCGGTCTAACAGTAACGCTATTATTAATAGTTTTAAATATTTAGTAGATGCCTTATTCGCGACCAAAAAGGTATTGTAATTATAATTGTAAATCGAACCTATCGCCCTAATATCGTCGTATAAGTAGTTTAAGAAGGTAATCGATATTTTGAACGAAGATTAGGAAGAGAAGGTCGATAAGGATATCGTTGAGTTTATTTTTTAGGAGTGGGAGTAGTTTAAATTTAAGGCGTATCGCTTTATAATTATTTCGAAGAGGAGGAGAGAGGCGTACTTTCGAATTTTAAAGAAGAGGTTGGAGGTAGAAGTTAAGGAGGAGGATTTATTAAATTTGTAGTTGTAAAAGAAAGATTTTGATGTATTTAATATTAATTTAGTCGACCTAACTTTATATTCAATTGCTTTATAATTAGATTTGTAAATATACTATATTATAATATACTATAGTAGTTCATTCATATAAATTAGATTTTTATAGACGGGAGGGAGCGGGAAGTGGGCCTTACCCCGGATTTGATTTTTATTATTTTTCTTGGTTTTTTTTATATTAATATTTTAATACTAAAACAAAATTGTATATATATATAAAAGGTAGCGCTATAATTGCTAGATTAAACCAAATCGATATATTTACTTTATATTAAATTTGAAGTTTTTTTATAATTAATATAAATGAATATATAAATACTTTCAATTAATGGTACGGGTTGTTAAAATTATATTAATTGCGCTAACGGGCCCTAATATCGATTAATATATTAAATATCGTTATATTTTAAATTTCAAAATTTTGGAAGGTAAATAGTAGTTACGGTCTTTATATATTTGTATTTGAAGTATTAGTATTGTAAGAAGGTCGTACTTTGGGGGGTAATCGAACGATTTGAATTTATAGCTCGATAAATACAATTTCATTCGATTTGAACTAGTTGAAGGGTAATTTAAATAATTAGCGCCAAAGGTATATATTTGCTCTCCAATTTAGTAATCCTCCTTCCTCTCCCCTTTTTTCCCTTTTTCTTTCCTCCTCTCTCTTCTTTATATTTCTTCCCTTCTACGCAATTTCTTAGAGTAAGAATTCTATATCCTTTTAAAAATACAGTCGCAATACTAATTTACTTAATTATTAATTCTCCTAATTCGCTTTTAATCCTCTATTATATACCCAACGAGGGGTACTATCTCCGTTACAATTTCGCGATTCTTTAGATTAAATGCGTCCGCTTTTATGGTTTCTAGCTCGAAATTATACCTATTCTACTCTAAGATCTAATTTAATAAAATTACGGTGGTATATACGACTTTGATTTGTATTTTTGGAGGGAAGGAGGGCGTAATACGATAAATTTTAAAAGTCCTCTTTAATCTCCCAATTGTTTTTTCGATAATTATCCGATATTAGAAATGACGCAAGTTGAATAATTCTTTGGGAGTAGCGGGTCGTAAACCGGCTCGGGCTATTTCCTATAGGTAATATTATATACTACAGTATAGGATAAGTAGTTTAGAAGCGTTACTATAGTTTACGTTAGTTAAGTATATTTAACCTTTAAGAATATTAAATCCGCTTTAACCGAGGATATAGTTTAATACCTTTATATCGTTGGCGGACCCCTCTTAACTAGGTAATATATATTGCAAGGGCATAGTATGGGAGGGTCGAAGGCAAAGCTAAGATTCCATCTATGACAGAAGATTTCAGATGGGGAGGAGAAAAGAGGAAGAGAACTAGATACAAGCGTGTAGACCCAAATAAATACCCTGGTCGCACAAGCGATAGCGGGACCCACATGTGGGTCGCTGACTGCCAGCGCCGTCACATATATATAATTTTATTAGACAAGTTGTACGCTAATATAATATTTATAAATATACTATTTTTATAGTTGTACTATAGCATTTATTCCTTAGCGGTAACCTTTATATTAAAGTGTGATTTATCGAGCGTTTTTAATATTTTATGAAAGTGTAGAAAGAGTTTGGGATTAGATTCGATTTCGAAAGGGGTTTCCGTTTTAGGAAGTCGAACTTTCTTTAATACTAGAATTAGGTAAATATTGAAGACTTAATAAAATACCTTAGTATTAAAGTAAATACTCTATACGATATTAATTAGAAGGGTTTAGATTAATTGGTGTATTGTTTTTAGATTGTAATTTATTGTATAAGCGGTTATGTGGAAGGTTAATCCTTATTTAATAACGAAGAGGAATATTAATACCTTTTCGTATATCGAAAGATTATTAGAAGCGGTTAAAGAGTTATAATAAAATAATTACGTTACTAAGCTGTAGAAGGTACGCGGTACTATTTACAATAATAATTGGAAGCGTCTAGTATAGTTATAGAGAAGATCCTTTGTTATAAATTAACTGCTTCTATTTATATTTATAGGAGAAGGGTTTGTTTAGTACGTAAGGGTAGTTATTATGAGTATGATAGTAGTTTATAGTAATCATTGGCGACGACAGCGTTCCTTTATACATTTGTTATGGCGTTTAACGAGGGTGATGTATTGTATATTGACGTTGGTGGTGGCTGTTAGGGGTGTTACGTAGTTATATTTTGATTAAAAGGGGAAAAGAGATTATATTTCTAGGTTAATTTAGAAGGGTTTTGTGTTTGAATCGATTTAGGGCTAGTTTAGAAAGATGTACGGCATTTTATTGGTTGCAACTCAGTTGTTGGTACGAGAATTTCCGAGACCCAGTTTTGGTGGCATTTTCATACAGAAATGTTCCGGGTGGCGCCAAACGCCCACCTGGAAATGGGACCTGGAAGGTTTCCAGGTCCTATTTCCGAGTCGCCAAACACACCCTCAGCCTTGATAAAGGGTGACGGGGTGAACGCTCTTATATGACTACCTTCAGGTTAGCCACGCGCAGATGGGCAGGCCCATGCTTAATAGAGCACGTGTCGGTACGACAGAGTGGGACCTCCAGGCACCTGCCTGGAATATCCCATAACAGGCAGGGATTGACATGTTGAGGCTTTTCAGGCCTTTTCCTTCTGTAATTTAACAGAGTTTGCGCTCAGTGGTTCCGTGCTAGTATCCCAACCCCGCAGGATTCCGTGTCTTTTGTCTCATCGTTGGATTGAGATCGGGGGTTGTGAACTACAGATCGGACGAACTGATGTTCTTTGAGCAGTGCATGCTGTTAATGACGAAGATGAGGGAGTTCGAAACAAGGTAGCACTAGCGGGCAAGGGCTGTCGTTTCATTTGTGATTGGGGGTTCTGTGCCCTGCTCTTGGTGGTTTTAACAGACGGGATGCAACATACTCTTGATTGAGTAAACCAAAGCGTCGGGATGCTTTTTATCGTAAACCATGGTGGTTTGGGTTTGGAATAGACTTTGTTAATGATCACCCATGATCATCATTTGTGCAGACCTCGAGACTCCGATCTTGTCCCATGTGAGGAAGGAAGATCTCTGTGTCATGAAATTTTCTGCATCAACCGAAAGGCCTCCACGACTTTCCGGACTTCGGACCTGGGAGCCCTGACTTGCCAGCGCCAATCTCGGCGTCCTTTCGGACAAGCTTTTTTTTGGGGGCTCCATCGACCCGTTGAACCATCATAACCCCAATACAAATACTTGACTTTCTTGCGCAACCCAACCCGATTTCTTGCGCATTCCAGGCGATCAAGTCACCCAAGCATTTTCAGGAGGACCGAGCCGACGAAAAGATAGTTGCCTTGTTATGAAGCCACCTCAGCTAGGTGGATATGAGGAATATGAGCATGGCGTGATGTGAACTGACTCGGGAGCAGGCGCAGTTGAGCTAGCCATAAAGAGTGTGCATCCGAACAGATGGAGGGGGCACATATTCTCCTGGAATTCTACCTTCTTGGCCATACCCTGCTTTGGAGTTCAGGATGCGAATCCGAGCGGTCGAGAGAGGCGGCAGTGAAGAAAAAGCGGTTGCCCGAGAGCTTGGTTCGCTCAAAGTGTCTTGACTGGTTTGGGCCTGGAGTGAAGCGATTGCGGGGCCCTTAATAGTAGTTCTATGCTAGGCAAGCTGGGGTGTCCTGGCTTTCATAATTCCCGTCCTTTTTTGGCTGGGCGTATAGGGCATAAGATTCGAGCACGTTCCCACTGGATTTGAGCTTGGCTGTTGCTGTTCGAGAATCGCATATGCCGATCGGTTCTTGGTAACAAGTGCGAAGGACAACGATAATAAAGGACGGCAGCCGTTCTTCCACGATACCCGACTAATCCGGCGTGTCCGCCATCGAACGGTGTCCGGCATCCGAAAGCCGTGAGCCAAGACCACCATGTCCAACACTACCAGCACCGACCCGAGGATAACGAGGGCGATCGAGGCTGGGCGGATCCCGGAAGGAATCAGCATTGCCTGGTTAGAGGAATCCCGAGACAAACCTGCGACTGGCGCCATTATCTTCGTCACCGTCCTGACGGGCATCGTTGTGCTATGCCGAATTGCTTCAAGAGCCTTTGTGCTAAGGCGAACCGGACTTGATGATTGGTTGGCGCTACTATGTCTAGTGAGTGCCTCTACCACTCACACTTTTGACAGCAAAACTCTGACCCTTGACCATTCAGGCCCTTCTTATAGCGTTTGTGGTACTGGATACCAAACTGATCAACATTGGAGCGGGGCGGCACTATCAGTACCTCATGTACGTGCTGACGCCGGAGGAGGTGAACCTCAGTGAGATCTGGGACTTTGCGGCACACATTGTCTACACCATTGCGTTGCTGATCTGCCGTGTATCGGGTTTGGCCTTTTACCACCGCATCTGCAGCATCCACCGCGGGTTCCGACTGGCGATTCAGATCCTGATGGGCGTCCTGGTGGCGGGATTCCTGCCGCAGCTGTTCCTCATCATCTTCCACTGTCTTCCGGTGACGGGACTGTGGCCATACACGAAGAAGAACAACTGGCAGAAGGACGTCGAGGGCTACCAGTGCTTGCCATGGGGTCTCGTGTACAGTGTCAACTCGGCCGTGTCACTGTTTTGCGACCTGTTGCTGTTTGGCATCCCGTTGGCCATGATCTGGATCCTTGATCTGCCGCGCAAGCGAAGACTGCAGCTGGCGTGCATTTTGATGCCTGGTATCTTGTAAGTTGTTGCCAATCATGGACAGAAGATGGTTGTTGACTGACACGGCTTGAAGGGTTACTGGCATCTCGATTGCTCGTTTGGTGCTGGTCATTGCAGGTCAGTGGAACGTGGACATGTCATGGACGTACAACCCCCTGTTGGCGGTCGAGGTATCGGAGATCGGAGCGACCTTGATCTCGTTGTCGATTCCCGGCATCAAGCCCGTGTTCGACAAGTTCATCAGGAACACGGGCCACGATTCCAATTCTGGGGGGCACTCTGGGTACTCGACCAAGGGCGGGACCAAGGGCACATCCATGACGCTGCGCAACCTCAGCCTGCGGCCCCAGCACCACAACAAGCTAAGCTCCAACAGCGATTGTTACACGTATAACGACACCAAGAGCCGTAACCGTGACGACGCCGAGACGGGCAGCACCGAAGGCATCATGGTGCGGGTAGACTTTGACCTGACCACGGAGAACGAGCACCGGGGGTCCAAGGCTCTCGAAGCATAATGTGTAATGGTTGAATGGATGTGGATTTGTTTACTGTTCTTGATCAGCTTGGTTAATTAATTGGATCAAAATATACCTTGTACGTGTATGTACGATGGGGAACTGGTGATGGCCAGGGTTGCTTGGCGTGTTTTGTTGACATGTCGGAATTGGACGATGCGGCGAATGATGAGGTTCTAGTCTAGCCTTTTAGCGATGGGAGCACGGGCCATTTGCGCCAAGGTAAACACGACGCCAGTGTCACTTTCGAGGTTACTCCCAAATCTTGGCACTCGCATCGCTTCCCTCCATCGCTTCGATGACGAATTCTCAAGATAAGACAACATGATTTCTTTTCTTCAGTTGTTTGTTTACACATCAACCATCGACACATGACTTGGCTAGCCGCCGCCACGGCGATTGGCATGTGCCTGGGCGCTGCCCTCCCGACCCCTTCCACCGAGGACATCAAGCTCCTCAAGCTCAAGGAGGAGAGCGCGCTCAGCAACATCCTCTTCCCTGTCCTTCCCTGCGGCAGCTTCAAGCTCGAGGAGGCCACCATCGATGATATGCAGGCTGCCATGAACAATGGCACCCTCACCTCGGTCCAGCTTGTCGGTTGCTATGTTCGCCGTACTTTCCAGACCGATCTCTACATCAACTCCCTCCTCCAGTACAACCCTGATGCCCTGTCCATCGCTGCTCAGATGGACGCTGAGCGTGCCGCCGCCAAGGTCCGCGGTCCTCTCCATGGTATCCCCTTCACCGTCAAGGACAACATTGCCACCAAGGATCAGCTCGAGACCACTGCTGGCTCGTGGGCTCTTCTCGGCAGCCTTGTCCCCCGTGATGCCCACGTTGTCGCCAAGCTCCGTGAGGCCGGTGCCGTTCTCTTCGGTAAGACTACCCTCTCCGAGTGGGCCGATATGCGCAGCAACAACTACTCCGAGGGTTACTCTGCCCGCGGTGGCCAGTGCCGCTCTGCTTACAACCTGACCGTCAACCCTGGTGGTTCCTCCTCCGGTAGCGCCGTTGGTGTCGCTGCCAACACCATCGCCTTCTCCCTAGGCACCGAGACCGACGGCTCCGTCATCAACCCTGCTATGCGCAACAACATTGTCGGCTTCAAGCCCACCGTCGGATCCCCGAGAGCGAACACCAAGATACCGTCGGTACTTTCGGTCGTACCGTCCGTGATGCTGTCTATGCTCTTGATGCCATCTACGGCCTTGATCAGCGCGACGAGTACACCCTTGCCCAGGACGGCAAGACCCCCGAGCACGGCTACGCATCCTACCTCACCACCAAGGCTGCCCTCAAGGACGCCGTCTTCGGCATTCCCTGGAACAGCTTCTGGCGCTACGCCGACCCTGAGCAGGTTCGCCAGTTGACCGCCCTTATCAAGCTCATCGAGGATGCTGGCGCCACCATCATCAACGGCACCGAGATTACCGACTACGAGAGAATCGTCAGCCCCTACGGCTGGGACTGGGACTATGGCACCAGCCGCGGCTACCCCAACGAGTCCGAGTACACCGTCGTCAAGGTTGACTTCTACAACAACATCAAGACTTACCTCTCCGAGCTCGAGAACACCAACATCCGCTCTCTCGAGGATATCGTCCAGTTCAACTACGACAACGATGGCACCGAGGGTGGCCACCCCTGGCCCCTTGGTCACCCCGCCTTCTACTCCGGTCAGGATGGCTTCCTCGCTTCCCTCGCCACCAAGGGTATCAAGGATGAGACCTACTACCAGGCCCTCAACTTCACCCAGTGCTCCACCCGCAACGGCATCGATGACGCTCTTACCTACAAGGGCAAGAAGATCTCCGGTCTCCTTGTTCCTCCTGATGTCGCTCAGGCTCCCCAGATTGCTGCTCAGGCCGGCTACCCTATGATCACCCTTCCGGCCGGTACCCACTCCGCCAGCGGCATGGGCATCGGTCTCGGCATCATGCAGACTGCCTACGGTGAGCCCGAGCTCGTCAAGTGGGGTTCTGCCATTGAGGACCTCCAAAAGTCCACCAACACCCCTTACAAGCGCACCCTTCCCCAGTGGAGAGATTTCCTCAAGAGGAACATTCCCGTCTACAACGTCTACGAGGGTTCCGATTAAACAATTTGTCTCTCTTTTTCCCCTTTCCTTGCCATATTTGTTTGAATCATCAGCATCATCAAGCGAGTCAAGTCTCATGTAAGAAGATGGAGTTAGGGATTTCTAAGCCCAAACATCCCCAACCTGTCGGTTGACTACATCTTCATCAAAGTCCTCTCACCGAAGTCAAGGTACGTCACGGTCACACAGCTGAGGTCCCAGACTTTGAGGCATGACATTGTTCGCTTATAGCTTTGTTCAAAAGCAGACAGTCCTCGAAATCAACGTGATCCAACCAATTTCATCGTAGCTCCATACACACAAGTCTTGCTCGTCACAGCCCGACTATCCATTCCACCTTTTCCCGAAACCCTTATCATGTCTCAGCCCGCTTAAGCAACGGTACCGGCAACAGTAGGATCAAGTCGACAGCAGGAGAACTTGCCGAAAAACTTCAGAGTGGAAGATAGGCGATGACAGTAAGGGGTGCTTGTAAAGTGATCAGCAATCGGACTAACTCGTCAGGGTTAAAAAAAACCACCACGAATAGGCACGGTGGGTTTCTTTCCTTTCTCATATGCACCTTTATTTACCCTTCGTCCTCTTGCGTAGATTCAACAGGGTTTTAACCTTGACGGGTACTTCACATGGCAGACGAATAATGTTGTCGATTAAGTGGAAGCCATGGCCTGTTGTTACAACCCCTGCAGGGCTGACGGATCACATCCAAAAAAAAAAAATAATGCATGAACAAAATGCAAAAAGAGAAATCACTGCGCCAGCCGCGAATCGAACGCGGGGCCCATCGATGGCAACGATGGATTTTACCACTAAACCACTGGCGCTTTGTGGTGTTGATGAAATATTTTAATCATAACAGGTGCTTACCTACCTAGTTCTTTGTGTTTACTGTTTTCTGTGCAATGGTGTTGTGCTCACTATGTACTTCAAGCACAGTCAATGTTTTAAAAGTTCGCCATCACTTCTTCTTCTTCGCCCGTCTCACACAAAAAACCGTACAAGATAACATCCGTTGTTTTTCTTACCCTTCTAGCTATTCCGACGGACTTTCCCAAATTCCATATTCATCGTTCTTCCAGCAATTTTCAAGTCCCGACCAACATCACCATCACCAACCAAGGTAACCTGGACCAATCGCATTTGCTGGATACTCAGCTCCTGTCTGTCAGATAACACTCGATGCGGCGGAGCGGCGCTTGCCCAACGTGGCTTATGCGGATGTCACCCTCGCTTACTTTCTTATTGTCGCACAAAAGAAAAGCTTATCTTCACTTCCAATTCTATTCTAGAGCCATCAATTGGGGGTTTCATGTGTAACTTGAACTATTGCCGAAGGATGTCGGCATTAGCATTGTCGCACGATTGTGCCGGCTGAGTCCGCCCTGTGCCGCTATCTCCGCCTTACGTGGGTTTTGAGTTATCCTTGAACTGCAACTGCCGTCAAAGTAACTTGCGCGGTGTTTGGAAGATGTCATGTTCTCGATGTTGCCTCTCAATCCCTCTCAATACCACCCTCCGCTAACGCACATTACGGGCGCGTTCCAAATTTCCAACGTTGATCCAGAGCCCATACAAATCGACCCCTGCGGTTGATATGTAGTAAATATGTAGTTGATTATACCGTATATGGCTTAAAGAAGACGTTCAGGGACCTTGGCACGTACCACGCTAGACAGGCCCCCTTGTACGTGGCTTTTCAGCCTGTATGAGGCCTTGTAACTTCCTAAAAGGGAACGAAAAGTGCCAAGGCCCGTTGATCCAAAAAAGCTGAGAATCTTAGCTTTTTTGGAGGGTTTGCCATTGATCCGACTAAAAGAGATAACGAAAACTACCAAAACGAGTTCAATTTTGAAGCTATTTACGAATGGAGACATCTATCTGGATGCTGAAAAGCCGCTCTATAAGATAATATAGCGTGCACTATCGTAGGACCGTTATTGGGACCACCGTTCAAAATCGTTCAAAATCGTTCAAAATCGTCCTACGATAGTGCACGCTATATCATTTTATAGAACGGCTTTTCAGCAACCAGATGGATGTCTCCATTTGTGAATGGCTTCAAAATTGAGCTCGTTTTGGTCATTCCCAAATGAACCCTTTGTTGGAGTTCACGAAAGAAAAATTCCACCCTGGTAGTGCCAAGGCCTTGGCATGGCCTTGGCAGAGGGTACATTCGAGCTGCAGATTTAGGCTTTGTACTCGGATCAACAACTGGATCAACTGGCGGATCAGCCATCGAAATTTGGAACACGCCCTACGACCGACAGCCTCAAAGGATCTTTCTCCAAACAGTGTCTACCTAACGCTAGCCTGTAATCTCCCAAGGTCTAGAATAATCCCATGCTCTGATCCCATATATAAATAGTCTGATTGAGCTAGGAATCACTGCCGGAGATCTAGAACATCTATCTGTTCAGGGGTAGTATTTTTCCTTTTCTCGTCTTTTTCCACGCTAGTGACGTTAAGTCCGAGCTGAAAAGATATCGGAATGATGTTAGCGCCCTACTGCAAGCCGTTCACATGTCAAAGGATGGGAGAAAAGTCGAAGGGTACCTTAGGTTTGTGGCTTCAAGCCGCCAACGTTATCGGCTGTACCTGCCTGTAATTCGCTGAATTCAGGCGAGTGCTGTAGCAAACATGCAGGAACATCGATGATGGAACCTATAACAACCCTTGTAATCTCTGCATGATGCGTTGTGTTAATGCCAGCGGTCTGGCTACTGTACCTCGTCGTTGTTGTTCGACTCGTGGACAAGAGAGCAAGGGTTTTGACATTAGGAGGGCGCCGTAACTTCACAGATCCATCTACATCCAACCATCACCATCCGACGGCGCAGGCTTCAGCCGCATACTGACTAGCCCTCTTCTGGCCGTTGAAGCCTAGATCAAAGGGTCCCAGCATCATGTCAGCTGCCCAGAATATCGATAATGTTTCATCATGACGGCGGTTGCGCTGTTCCATTGTGTCGGTCTTTTTCCAGACCCCACTGCTCGGATATCTTGGAAGATTCGGTGATTGAAGTCCAAGCCACTTAGAATTGGGTAAACTTACGCCATGGTTTTTGGTATGATGAAGCTTCTGGGTTGCTATAAGGTAGACGAGCACTCACTGCTTTCTTGCACCTTTGAGCTTGAAACGGGAACGTCATCCAAACACACAGAAATCCTCCAACCACAATGGCAGTCCTCAACTGGGCCAGCTCCCGTGCTGCTACTCTCAGTCCCGGGACAGCAGCTTTGCTTGTCATTACGACATGGCTGCTGTACATCACCAGTCTCGCAATCTATCGACTGTATTTCCACCCCTTGGCCAAGTTCCCAGGAAGAAAAATGGCTGTTGTCACCACTTGGTACGAGTTCTACTACGAGTTACGGTATGGGGGGCAGTACATCTTTGAGATAGAGAAGATGCATAAGGAGTTTGGTGAGGAAGCGTCGCAAGCCCAAAACCAAAGTCAGCACTAACGAGTTGGTGAACTTAGGGCCGATAGTGCGCATCAATCCTCATGAACTGTCGATCCATGACCCGGAGTACTACAACGAGCTTTATGTGGGAAGCAGCAAACGGCGGACCAACTTCTGGCCACTGTTTCAGGGGTGTACCGATGACACTGATGGTGAGCTTCCCGGAACACGTCGGACGTTCGAGGGAAGGGTTAAATGCTGACCGTGTCCCACCCAGTTAACCACTTCATGACCATCGACCACGACCTACATCGCCAGCGACGAAAGCCTTTCGACCCCTTCTTTTCCCGCATGGCTATTAACACTCGATACTGGCCCATGCTTACCGACAAGGCTCTCTTCTTGGAGTCCCGTATCCGTGGGTACAGGGGCCAAGGGAAAGCTGTTCGGCTGGACCGCGCTTTCTCGGCCTTTTCAGCGGACTGCATCGAGAGGATATGCACCGACGACCTTGAGCCTGGTGATGGGTTCCTCGATCAACCGGATTTTGGACCCGAGTGGTATGATGGGATGCTGGGGTTGATCAGGAACGCGCCAATCTTGACCAAGTTTCCAAAGGCTTTGAGGTGAGTTGGTTGGCTGCTTGGCCGTCAAGAACCTCTCGTGGTCGCTTTTCCAGGCTGACCGATGATAGCGCCCTTGGGTACATGCCGCAGCGCTTGCTGCTTTGGCTCTTCCCGCAAGGACACATAGCCAACAAATACGACGAACGAACAAGAACGCAGATCCACAAAGCCGTAACCAAACAGCACCTGTCCAAGGACGCCAGCTCGGAGCATATCACACTCTTCCGTGCACTAGCGCAGAGTAACCTCTCACCTGCTGACAAAACAGAAGAACGGCTGGTACGAGAAGCGAAGCTTATCTTCCTCGGCGGAACGATCAGCACCGGGCGAACCCTCAGCTTCGTATCCTACTACATCCTCTCCCGCCCAGATATCAAAGCCCGTCTCGCGGACGAGTTGCGACATGTTATGGCTGCGTGGCCCGAGGTTGTTCCCACTTGGACCGAGCTGGAGAGATTGCCTTATTTGCAGGCAGTGATCAAGGAGGCTTTGCGGTAGGTTTCCTACAAAAAAAAAACTCGTGTGTGTTAGCAAACAGAACTGACGGACAAGGGAAACAGACTCAGCTACGGCTTCATGAGACGCCTGCCGCGCGTCTCGCCCGATGTGGCCATCCAGTACAAGGATTACACGATCCCGCCTGGTACTCCGGTGGGCATGAGCGCCTACTTGATGCATAGCAACCCGGAGGTGTACCGGGATCCAGACCAGTTCGTCCCGGAGCGGTGGCTGGCTGAGGACACGAAGGCGATGCAGAGAAGCTATGTGCCCTTTACTAAGGGGTCGAGAAGTTGCCTTGGTCAAAAGTAAGTGATACCCGTTGAGTTTTTGGTGGGATCGAGAGGCGCCTTTTGCTGACTTGTTGTGTAGTCTCTCCATGGCGGAGATCAGTCTGGTTCTAGCGGTGCTCTTTCGACCCAACGGACTGGGTATGGAGCTATTCGAGACGGACGAGAGTGATGTGAAGCATGTTCATGATTTTGTTGTGCCGCTGCCGAAGTTGGATAGTTTGGGTGTTCGGGTCATGGTTCGTTGAAGATGGATGGAGGAGGAAGAACTTCCCGGCGCTGGTGATGCCGGGGCAGATGTTAGTGACATGGTGCACGGCCAGCTCAGTTAGGGAAGGCGTACTAACATAAACCTTCCTCGTGGAAAACGCTGGAATGTTGCTTTAGTCACTCCGCACTGTGAGCCCTTGAAACAAATAAAGGAAAGCAAAACTGCTTGTCAAAGAAATTCCTTACATTAAGGTAATAAATGAAGTCAGCTAGAGTATTGCGATTTTCCTTAAAGAGGCAACGATGTGGCACAAAATGTATCAGTAAGTTGAAAAGGTGCAACCTCAGGCCTTTAGTGATTGCTGTTGTTAGTAGCCTCGGTAATCTAGTAGTGTGCCCACTGTAGGTAGACATCGGTACCTATCTCTGGTAGCCAGGGCAACTGTTCCTGCACTCCACTGTAACTGGAAGACGACTGCTCTTGCCTGCCATTGGCTAAAACGCATAGGGTGCCGTCTTAGTCAGCTAGGTCGCCCAGTCCCTGAAGACTTCTTACCCTGTTTGACCGCACAAAGAGGATGACTGATGGATTAGTTGGACAGAGGTGCCCAGTATGGTGAAGGTATGCTCGGAATTTTATAACAGACAGATTCAAGACATGCGCTAACATTATCCCAGACGACGAACTGCCGCTCGTGGTCACATGTTGGAAGCACTTTGACAAGGCCAGAACGAAGATCTTGAAAAGCATGTGAGTCAACTAAAAGACGAGTTGGGGGCCATGTGGGACTCACAAGAAAGGATGAAAAGAACATTTGGACTCTTAATCCTCCTAATCATGTTTCAGACAGCCGTCTTCCTTCGCAACTTCAGCGGCCAACCGCTAGCAACAGGGCCTGAAAGATGGTGATACATACATTGACCTCCTTGAACTCAAGCACCCGCGACTGCCTCGGATATCAGTGTTCACCTGGCCCAAATACACCAGCGTGATAATGACCTCGACATTCCTCCTCGTGTACCTCTCTGGGATTATATTGTATGCTCACGTGAGTCTTTCGCACAATGGTTCCTGACCCGTTCGACTCTGCGTCCTGGCTGTCATGTTCTGGAACACTTTCAGCCTCGAGGATTGCAACAGCGTCGTCCTCCCGAGTGCCATGTTTCGCAGAGTTGCTTGAGCTTCCGAGCCGAGTGTGCGGGTGCCCCATGCTAGAGGTACCTTTACTATCTCCAGCCAAGGTCTTCAGCGCCAAGGGCATATCGGACCTGTTACCGTACATGATCTTGTGCAGTAACGGACGCAAGAAAGGAATACAGGCGGCTATGATTGTCATGCATACCTCCGTGATCCCAAACAGCGCCTCGCGTCCTAGGATATACGTATCAGGCATTCCAGAATGCCCAAAAACAGCCTCCCAATGGTCCTTTGTCTTCAGCGCTGCTAGGATACTGGAACTAAACGCAGTTGTTAGCAACAGCATACGACGTGAGCAGGCCACCTGTCACCTACAAAAGTCCCAGGCTCATAGCACTGATGAGACCGATCTTTTCACGCTTCTTCATTTCCAAGTTCCAGAGCAACAAGGCGGGTACGAAGGATAAACAGAATGCCTGGGACACTTCCTATCAGTTTGAAGAGCTTGCATATCCACGGGCGGAATGTACTTACAACGACAGCCCCGTGGATTAAGACGGTGAGAGCCAAGATCTTACCGACCCTCTCGGGGACGCAGTTGTGATTATGCTGGGGGTCCTTTGCCCGATAGAAATTGCAATCGACATATCCCAGGACGGATGTGCCCATCACCAAGATAGTGGAGTGAATCGCCACCACCCAAAGAATGACTTTCTGCCATCGCTTCGAACAGACTCGGATCAAGGTGATGAAAAAGGACAGTTTTGAAAGGGCTGCTGCGCTTAGAGCCACGAACAGTGCGGTCGGCGTCCACGAGATCAAGGTTGGAACCTTTTTTATGTCGAGCTTAGCAGGAGGAATTCCCAGCCCATATTGCGTTGACCAAAGTATTATGGAGGTTTGAATAACCACAAGCACCTTCAAAATGACGAGTGTTAGTACTACCGTTCTAACACCATGACAAGAAGATGGCAGAGTGATGACATACCCAAGAAACGATCAACACATAGTCGTCTATGAAGAATTTTGCGTGTTTGAGGCGCTTGGAGTAAAACCTCAGGCATATAAAGACAATAGATAATATGAGGAAGGGGATCGTGGTGGCGAACATCGCCGGTACCATGGTCTTGGACATCTTTGAAGTTCTCGTTGCCTCTGCGATGAGTCTGGTTTTGCCGGGGAAGACAAATGTCGTTGAACACTGATGTTTCCAGGAGATCAAGGGTGACGAGAACAATGAGTACCGCCATCTTTATAACCAAGGTCAGTAAAGCAGCCCTACCCATCTCCACGCTGTTATTATTCCATCAATGCGTCTGGCAAATTCCGCTACAATGAAGCTAATTCTTGTTTGCTACCGCCCGCAACAAGTTGAAGATCGGGCCAAGCCAGTCCAGCCTCTCTTGCCTTTACCTGATAGAAGGGGGGGCTGTCATATTTTACTTGTCGTCGGACCTGTCACAATGTTGAAGAAACCGATTGTATGCAACTCACGAACGCCCGCAACCGTCGAATGTGGAGGACAGGACTCGGATTTGCTCGGGGACTGGAACCGAGGACAAAGGAAACGCCAACGAACCGGGCCTTGTGGCGCAAAAAACGGCCGCCCGTTGGCCGGATTGCGACCTTCTCATGAAGAACGAATGCCGTGGGCTTGCATAATCTCCAAGCCACAAGAGCAACAAAGTGTCCATTGAGCGGCAGTGAGCGGCGACGCGTTAGCCTGATGCGATTAGGTGGTGGGCATAGCAAACAAAGAACGACAGCCTACACAGTACAGCATCTTTTCAACATTTTGTCTTGGCCCACAACGCCACTTTGCCGGATTCCCATTCTTCGCTTAAAAAAACTTCCAGAAACACACGCAAAGCATCTTGAAGCGAGGCCAGATGCGCCACACCAGCCGAGCAGACAAATTGATCACACACCCGTCACAGCAAACTCTAACCAAATTCCTGGAAATCGAGCGAAGCGATTGCGCGGTCGCCTAAGATGGCGCAAGGGATAGACGCCACGGCAATCATTGGGTCTTGGAACACACACACCCCGCCTGGCGGTCTTGACCGGACTTCTTCGGACATTGCGGTTGCCTCAGAAGCGTTGGGGAAAGCGGCAGTATACCACAGTACACCATGCGCGGAAGAAGTAAAAACAATTCCGCTCCAATAATATTATTAAGTCTTCAACGCCCGCTGATCAACCGATTAGGTACTCCTGTCCAACCCTGACTTCCACCTCTAATGTATATATATATCATGATACGATCTTCTGAACTTCGACATCAGCCGCCAGCACCGTGTCCAATTCAACGTCCGAAGTAATTCGGGCCTTGTTGACCTGTCCCAACCTCAAGGACCGAGACACCATTGCCAGCTTCTTGTTGCTTGCTGACTACACCCCCGCCAGAGTGGTAACTGCTGTCCTTGCCGGTGATTCTGCGAATCAAGGGGCGGAAGAATGGGATGGAAGTGGCAGTGATGGTGCAGCTAACCTCCACGGATGCCAAAGTTGAAACTACACCTGCTGTGAAAGGATCTCTGTTGTCCTCGTACAGGAGCTCATGGTTCTTGACGATTTTGACAATTGACACTATTCCAGCCCTGACAGACGAGACCATGTCAGCAATACTCTCCCCTGACCCTACGGATCAAGTTACCGGATAGGCTGTGACTGACAATATACCAGTACTCATTGCACAGGCAATGGCCACTTTCTCCAGAGGCCTCATCTGCAACCGCCAGATGACTATTGTCGGGACGAGGGTGAATGTGAAATCCTGAATCTTGGATGTCAGCAACATGGTATGGTGGTAATATTCACATTGTCTTTTCACATTGCAGGGAAAGATGGTGAACAAAACTTACGACAATCGAGCCATAAATGCTGACATACAAAGCGTATGCATTGACATAGTGTTCTGGGACGCAACGATCCTTCGACACTAGATCCGACACTCCGCACACGTAAAACGACTGAAGAATGGTGGCAGCGAAGTATGAGACAACACAGCTTGTCATGAAGAACCAGAGAATGGCCTTTTTCCATGCTTTGGAAACGAGTCGAAGAAGAGTAACGAAGAAGGACAGCATCGAGATCCAGCGGGCGGTAAAACTGGCAAATGTCGTTGCTGGACCGTAATGCTTCAACTGTTCTCCCATGTGCAGAGTTGTGATCCACTCCCGACGATGGCCAAGTCCATAACGGGTCATCCAGAGCGCAATACCGATGGCTATTGTTCCAACCACCTAGAATAGAGGTAGTTTCAGTCAGCCTCACTTCCTCCTCCAGGCAATCCTGTTCGAGAACGAAAAGGGGCCAGATGCGTCACAGAGAGCAAACAAATACAGACATACCCAAGAAAGAATAAGAAAATAATCGTCCGGAAACCACCTCGCATGAGTAACCCGCTTCGAACAAAACCGGAGACACATGCAAGCCGTCGCCAGCACTTCAAACACGATCATAAGACCGAAAATCATGGGGACGTTTGAGTCCGTCATTTTTTGCAGCTTCTACCGTAGTCAACAGCTCTGATTATCTAGGTAAGGTCGGTAAAAAAACGGTGGAGGTTTGTATCAAAAGAAAACAAGAAGAAACAAAAGTGTAAGCGGCTTGCTCACATCTCAAACCAAACCAACCGACAGAAGAGGAAGACCAGCTGTACTTTAACCCCCATCTCGAAACCCTCAAGATCTCCAAACTCCTAAAGCGCATATATCCATCCATGTCTTAATCTTTCGTCCCTTACCTCTACTTCCCTAGGGGTAGCTATTTGCTTCCAATTGCTGCTTGCAAACTTTCTGCGAGCCGGGGCAACTTTCGCAACTATCGCAACTATCGCGACTTTCCGTTCCTGCTCAATTGCAAAGTTGCGCAAAGTTACGGCTTGTAATGAAGGGGTAACTAACCCAAGTCTCTAGCTCTCTCCAATACGCTGTAATCCGCTGCTCACCGCATTCCACACCCCCCTCTTCCCACGGGCTCCTCCCGTCCAAACTGTCTCGATGTTTGCTCGCCGCTTATACCGCCAGAACCGCCCCAGTCTCGGCGCCGGTACCCAGGTACGGCCCGGGCTTTGCTTGAAGCAGAGCCAGGCAGGTTGCAGGATGCCAGTGGATGCACAAATGGCGCGGGTGCGCCGTTACGTATGTACGACAGTCTCCCCGGCTTCTGTCGTGCAAGATCTCAGGTTGAGTGCGGCCTACCGTATAATCTCTGGAAATTGAAGTTGGGGAATGCAGGGTTAAAGGTGTCCGACAACCACGTACATGCTCTTCGACAACCGCCAAACGCATCTGGCAGACCTTCAACCCTGCGTCTTCTGCACGACACCGAACTTCAATTTCGAGAGTTGATGCGGTAACCGTATCGCAACGTTTGCACAGCATGTCTGTTGTGCGACGGTGCACAAGGGACGGTGAGATCCGGCGCGTGGCAGGCACGACAGACAGGCTCGGGGGTTGAGCTTGATCAGTCACTAATCGTTTTCTTGACGGCGAGAAGAGGCAGGTAGAGGTAGGTACTTGAAAGCCGGGGGAAAAGCTTCTTCAGCTTCGACTTTTGCTCCGCAATTTCGTCTGGATGTTTTCGGGAGTCGGACTTCACGACGCTGAATCACGATTTCACACCGCTGCGCATACTTCGCAACTGAACCGAATATCTCCGCACACTCAGCATTTTTTTTCGCGGGAAATTTACATCGCGGCATTCTTCGCATTAATCTGCGCCAGAGTTTGCCGAGGTGAGGTTGGGTTAGTGCAAAAGATTATTTTTTCACGAATTCATGTCCTCTCCGGGTCCGCACCGAGCCACCGATGTGGGGCTTCCGGGCCGGGGACTTGGCCCTAAACCGGACTCGCCGGACTCGCCCGGCAAGCGAATAAACTTAACTTCCTGCAACACTAGAACCTCCAAGCTTCGGTATCTTAAAACACTCCAAACTATCTGTTCGCAGCATGCACAAAAACCACCCCTTGCTTCTTGTCACTTCCCCCATTTCCCTCCCGCGAACCACTCTCACCACCTCTATCCCCATCCCCATCCAAACCCGCAACCGCATCATCATCGCCCGACTCACCCTCTCCTTCAACATCACACTCCCCCTCACTTCTAAGCAGCGACTCACCAGGCATTTTCCTATTCCCTCCTCCTCCTCCTCTTCCTCTTCCTCCCCCTCCTCCAATAGTCCCCCTCCCTTCCGCCGGCTCCGGGCTCCCACTCCCAGCCTCCTCATCTCCGTGTTGTTCCTTGGAAGCAGCGAACTTGCGCACCAGCGGTCGACAAAAGGGAACGCAAGCAGCTATGATTGCCGCGCTTACTTCGGCTTGAGATAATACTAGGACTACGCCGATGCCGTAGGTGTCCCCGTTTTCTTGGACTTTGGCGTTTACGACTGTTTTTGCTATGCCTATGGCGCCGGCACTGAAAGATAAAAAGGTGAGGTTAGCGGGTGGGTGTGACATGGGGAGGTGGCGCTTGGAGCTAGGTAGATGGCGGGTTACTGGGGAGGAGAGGTAAGGTAGGTGACTTACATAAAACCTAGGCTCATGGCAGAGATGATTATCAACCTTTGCCGCTTGTTGCCGATGTTGGTTCTCCAGATTACTATTGTGGGGGCAGCTGCTAGGGCAAAATCCTGGAGGAAACATCCCGTTAGTGTTCTGTGTTTTAACACGATATGACGATTAGCCCGAGAACCAGTTACTGACTATAAAAGCCTGATAAACACACTGAAAGGTCGTATAATGATAAACAACCTTCGCCCCAATACAAACCCCCTGACTCACAATCGGACTCGCAAACCCGCTAAACATGCACTGGAAGAACATAATCACGCTCATGACGAGCGTAAAAACCGTAGTCGTCACAAGCAAGAACCAAAGCGCCACAGTCTGCCATATTTCCACGTTTTCCACGAGTCGCAGGAGGGTCAGGCCAAAGGAGATCTTGCACAGAGCGGTGCTCCAAACGCCGAAGAAGAGAACGGGCGGTGACCACCGCAGGAGGGTGGGTAGTTTGGTGTTTAGGTAGTTCGGGTCTTTGGCGAGGATGTCCATAATGGGGACGGCGTAGCCGTAGCCGGTGAGCCAGAGGGCTAGGGATATGTAGACTAGTTCGAGGATCTGTTTTTTTTTTTGGGTTAGTGCATGGCTTTTCTTGACACTTCAGAGAACAATAAATGGGGGAGACCAAAGACAAAGCAATGGTGCAGGAGAGAAAGGAGACTTAGTAAGTACTCACCCAAGACCCCATCAGCATAAAGTCCTCCAGATAGTACCATTTGGCCCTCACCATGCGTTTGCAGTAGAATCGGAGACATATGAAGACAAGCGCAAGCAACTGGTAGGTGATGAAGCTGCCATACATCAATGGCACAGCACTTTTGCCCCGCGGGGGTGGCTTGCTCGTCGGCTGAGGGTCCATCTCTGCCTCTGGTTCGGTTTTGACGCAGAGAATAGGATGGATAGATAGAACACCTAAGAACAGCGATCGAAGAGCATTATACTTCACTTGAGTCAACTTACGCTGCTAGGCGCTGCGCAACGCGTCTGCGATTCAGCTCTGTATTTTCATTTTTTGCGTACCCTTCAAGCCTCCTACGTGAGCGAGCGGTCAAGTGCACGATGTCTATTCCAATCGCATTAATTGCATGTTGAGTCTGTCAAGTGTTCTGGGCTTGTGGGCTTGCATTTGATGGGATTTAGCAGGCAAACTGCCTATAAACACATCGAGGTCATCGCCACTTGGCTGGTGGGGGCCAGAGCATCTCGCTGTGACGCCTTGGAGGTCGTGATTCTTGATTCATAAACGGAACATGTAAAATAAATACGAGGAAACAAGAGTCAGACGACTGAGTGCTCCCAGCCACTCGAGGAAGGCATCTGATGTCGCGTTGTGACTATTTTCGAGCTTGAAGTGCCGAATCGTCTGGTTCGTGTCCTCAACATCGTTCACACGCGCTTGTTTGCCCACACAGGGGTTGAAAATAGTAGGTTACTAGCCGTTTAAAGGTAGGTCGGGCAGCCTTCATGAACTACTCATGAAGACGGGCCCCGTTTGCGTATTCCCGGTGCGCGCTAGCCGGCACATCTTTACTGATTCGATGCGGTCCTCGGTAGCTTCGATTTGATTGCGGTGCACATCAACGGTTTGAAATGTAACTTCAACAACCCTCAGGTACCTTCGGTACGGTACCCTTCCCAACCTGCCTCGAAGTCGAATGGGCCTTGAACAGGGCCGAAAGTCTGCTGGGCATTTCGGGGGGCGACGCTTATGCGGAATGTACACCAGCAAGCACAGGAGAGAAAAGGCTGTCGAAACAAGAATGGTTGAGGTTGACCGGTGTGCTTTCCCGCTCGTCAGGCGTTCTCGATAAGCCTTGGGATCCAGAGCTTTTGAGAGCCTGGGAACTCCCGTGAAGTTTATTTATGGCGTTTTCCCCCTTCATGAACCCTCCTGAAGGAAGCCAAGAAAGCACTTTCCATGATCCAATTGGTTCCCAACTTAAAGATTCGAACCGAAAGAGAAAAGAGGGCTGGTTCGTGTATGTATGTACACAAGCAACAGGCAAACATGTGCTAATTCAGGCAGGTGGCTGACTTCTCGCTGAATGGCTACCAATCGGCTGTGGTTAGCAAACAACACACACCTTGGTAACGATTCCAGCTCGCCGGCCTTACGCGCAGTTCGGAAAGACTCTAATCGCGCGGGAAATACCGGTCCAGTAGATGTCAGTCGACCTGTCCTGCCTGCCAACCTGCTTGTCATCAAGATTTCCGTTTCGGTCCCGTAGAGTAAGCGCACAGCTACTAGTGTATCTCCGCGATATATTCTGCCGATCATGTCTTTCCATCATTCCAGTTTTGCGTTGCTTTCCCATCTTCCTCGTCTTGGAGTTCGATTCGATTCAATTGCTCGAGAATCGACGGCGTTGACGTGCCGGCTGCCCAGGTGCGAGGGACGACTGGAACGGTGTAGCGGTGTAGCGGTGAAGTTGTAGGAGAATCTATCGGTCATGGCGGCTCAATATAGGACTCGGGAGATGTTTGGATGGACCCGAGCAAGTATGATGGCGTGCTGGATCTGCGAGGCAACAGAGAGAGGACTGCGGTGTTCTGTTAGCGACGTGAAAAGTTTCTCTAGGTTCAGAAGATTTGCCTGTTTGACTAACCGTGTTTGCATCCGCTTTGTCGCCTCACAGGGACGAGTTTTGGATCAACGACAGGTGCCATGCTGTGGACTGATTGTTCCAAAGTAATGAACGGGAGCATCTAAACAACAAATCGCGAGCGTGGTGTTGATATTCCTGAGTGTCTTCTGTCTCTTTTGGAGTTGTTGATGGAAAGTGCAAGCGAAGCGGCAGACCCCGCGACGGGAGAGTGCAGCTGCCAGGTGTCGAAGCTAACTGGGGCTGCTGGAAGAATGGAATACAGTGCCTGGAATAGGCGCAATAGGCGCCCGGGCTGGGAACGGGCAGCTAGGGCAGTTCCAGGGGCAGGCATGAGCTGCCCCAGCGACCCACTAACAGCCCTATGGGTGGGCGACGAATCAGTGCCCCTGGGGCACAAAAGACGGGTTTTTTTTTTCACTTGTAAATTCTTGCCCCGGTTTCTTCTAAGAACCACATCTTTTATAACCCTGTATGATCTACAATGGTATTCTATCCCAAATGCCCATTTTATCTTCCCTTTTCCTAACCCTTTTCTTATACCGCCATCTCCGGCCCATAACCCCCCGCACAATCCCCATCCCGCTTCCCATCGGACTCGGACTCGCCCAAGCTTCCAAGCCTCCTATGCCCCGCTGCCTTCCGATAACACCCCGCCAACCCTCCCATAGCCACCGACCTGCATGGTGGTGTACTACCATCAGACCCATTTGACTCCTTGCTAGCTTCCCTGGTAGTAAGCTTTTTCACCAGCGGTCGACAGAACGGAACGCAGGCGGCAATGATAGAGGCGCTGACTTCTGCCTGGGAGAGAACGAGGACCACTGCTATTTTGTATGGGTTGGTGGTGCCTCGGAGTTGGGAGCACAGAGCTGTTTTTGCTATGCCTATAATTGCGGCGCTGTGAGGGTGGTGGTGTTAGAGGTTGGCTCTGAGATGTCCAGGCACGAAGCGGTTCAATGATGGAGGGGGGAGGGGGATAACATACATGAAACCAAAGCTCATGGCGAAGCTGATGGTGAGTTTTTGGTGAGTGTTCATGTTAAGTCCCCAGACTACCATTGGAGGGAATATTGAGAGGGTGAGATCCTGAAAGTGTAGGCCTCAATTAGTAGATACTCACTCATGATGCGAAGATGCTACCTAGCCGAGGATGAACTACTACTTACCATGAAAATCTGAATGGCACAAGCAAACCCGGTATACCCAAACACAATCTTCGGACTTATACAGACAGTACTCTGCCCAAGACTCGGGAAATATCCCAACCCGCAAACGAAGAAGGGAAGGAAGATCAGAGGGATGGCCGTAACGGTGCTAAGCGTAATTGACACCCAGAGCGCCAGCCTCTGACACGGTTTGATGACGAGCCGCAGGAGGGTGAGAAGAAAAGACAGCTTGGGGGCTACGGTTCCCACGGTTCCAAGCATGGCCATGACCGGCGTCAGCCGGAGCAACGTCGGCAGCTTGTCCTTGAGGTAGTTGAGATCTTTCGTGACGAGATATTCGAAGGGGACACCTTTGCCGGCATACCCTGCCAGCCAGAGGACGAGGAAGACGTATGCGAGTTCGAGAAACTGCTCCCTGTTAGTCCCCAGCTATTCTTGTCATCATGACGGAAAAGATGAAGCCTTACCCAGGAGAAAATCAGCACGTAATCGTCTACATACCACGGAGCCTTCGCGATGCGCTTGCCATAGAACCGGAGACAAACAAAGAACAATGCAAGCAACTGGTAGGTGATCAAGCTGCCAAACATCATGGCACCGCGGTGTTACCCATTGAGGACGGCTCCTCCGTGCGCTGGGCCTCAGGCTGCATGTTTCTTGCGGTTCAGCGAAGGGGAAGTTGAAATGGAATGCTCGTGAAACAACATGGGAATCCCAACCGGAGACCCAGACGGAAGAACGGGATACTTAACGACGTTGTGCATCTCATTTTCAATCTCGATTTTCCCACATTTCGATCCCGTCGCGATGTGCTAGCTGACAGATGTCACGATGAGGCAGCCCTACGGATTTTACCGTCCCCTATTGCAACATTCGATGAGGCGCCTCGGAGTTTATGTTTGCTTGTGTTCGGTCCCGATCCCGCAGGTTTAAGGGACCGGATATCTCTCCGAGATCGCCATATAATGCCAGACACTTGTTGGGACTGGTAAAAGAATGTGGTATCCAGGAACTGAGAGTATGCCGTCACTAACGGAGAACACGATTGATGATCACCTAGACAACTAGACTAGGAAATTGCCTGTTGTCCAAGAAAGCCGAACCATGAAAGATACGTCGCAAGAAGACACATTCATCGCAGGACTGCGCAAAGTGCAGCGTTTGAGAGAAAGAGCACTTCTGACTCCATGTGACCGATATTCAACCGCGCCGCACGGCGCGGTGTATGCAAAACACGATAATTGTGTTATTGGTGGAATCATATAAGCTGTTGGAACGGGACGGAATTTCAACACCTCCTCCAGAAAGGGACAGTGGCCGAGCGGTGTGGTGCGCAACACTGCTAAACACCCGGGGCTCGGGGAATCGCCTGTGAAACCCTGGCGGTGATCCGCGTTTGCTCTAGACTGCCTGCGGGCGGCCAGGAGCCGAGGCGTTAGGCCCCCGAGTAGTACTGCTAGCTGGCGTCTTCCGGCTACGCAAATAAGGCCCTTCTACTCCTTTCCAGTTGGCTTTACGTCCTCCGTTCGGCTCACGATCGAGCCCTTTCAACTTTTTTCGCCCCCTTTTTTTCCATTTTGTTGTTTTCATCCGATCTTGCCCTTGAGAGGTAGGTCAGATTCTGCATGATCGTGTTCCTGACCGGCTGCCCGGATTATTGACCCGGTAGGCGCTAATCGTTGGCGCCCGTCCACTAAGAAGCTCTGGTGTTTCAGTTAATTGCGGTGCGCATCAACGGTACGAAATGCAACGTCCGCCGTTGTGCTAGGGGCAGATGAGTAAGGCTGGTGGGCTGGTAGGGTCGCCTGGCCAACTGCCATTCTGGAGCACAAAAATCACAATGGCAAACTTGACAATGGGCCAATGCTTCAGCTTGTTCGCTGCTGACGCCTCGGATATAGATAGATACAAGCCGCAGGTGACCATGTGCTAGCTAAGTCGGGTGGCTTGACTGCTGACAGGTTCGATAGGTCAACCATTGGCTGGAAATGGCAAACATCAACGCGGTATTGCGACATGGGGGATGGTCATCGATAGCCGACTCGTCCAGTTTGTGAGAATTTACGAGACAATGACCATTCTAGACTCTATGCCCATCGGTCTTGGTTGGGCACGGAATTTTTGATCAGTCATCAGGACTCTTTCATTCCCACAACGTGACTGACTGCCCAGTTCTGAACCTGGGATGTTGAGCTCGTGTTGTTTTGCCCGCCCTCTATCGTCTTTGAAGATCGAGGTGGAGTTGGTGGAGAATGTATGAAGACATCGGTCGCGGATGGCGGTAAAGGCAGCACAGTCAGCCTCAGGGAATGTTCCGGAACATATTCCGGAGATGATCCAACGGCTGGCTTCGCAGACAACTTTGTCCAAGCTTCCATTTCCCTTCGGGCTCTTTTTTTTTTTCTTCTTTTTTTTTTTTTGCGCCCTAAACTCCCTTGCTTCCTCGGGCTTCTCTCATAGTGCTCGGTGTTTGTTTCGGTCCCGGAAATGCATCTTCGGTCGAGCATAAGATGGCTAGTCACCCCTCGCCCTTCCCAGCACCGAGTCCTGGGTTTGGTTGTTGGACCAAAACGCATCATTTTTGTTGCCCCGTCGACGGCTTCGCCTTCATTTTTCTCAATAATGACTCAGCAGACACCTTTCTTCGACAACCAGGAGGTCATCCTTTGCGTTTTATGGGTTTTGATCGAAGCTGACACTGGGATCAGAACCGGCGGCATGAAACGAACCCGTCGCTGTAGCTGATTGCTACCACCTTTTCTCTGGATTCCGTGTCGTTGCCACCATATTTGTCGATTTCTATATCGCCTTGCATACCCTGTCGACCGCTCTTCCGTTCGAGACCATTCGTGATGGGAACCGTATGGCGTAATGTTATCGCAAGATAACGGATGTCGGTGTACGAGGCATGAAAGAGTCGGGCGGTAGCCGAACTGAATTTGTGAACACGAAGTGTTACGATATCCAGAGACGTTGGAAGTCAGAGGGGCGCTGGACGGGAGAGAAACTACAGTCGTCTTGTTGCGTAGGTAGGTAGGTATCGGGTCTGAGCATATGAGGCGTAGGATCGAAACTGCAGATTGGAAGATGGTGGACGAGGAAGGATCGAAAAGTCGAGGGAGGCATCGAGAAAGGTGTGGAAGAAGAAGTTGAATATGGTGATGAAGGTAGTTGGTCACTAGCTTGGGTTGGCGTTAGCGTTGGAGGATGTGCGAGGAATCAGGCGATTGGGTGCAATCGACTCACCTTGTTTGATCGCGATAAACTATCATCCAGCCCTCGTATCAGATGCTCCAGTTGATACAGTCGTGTATATGAATTAATTCCGGGAGTCGACAAAGTGCAGTTTTTGTCTTCAAACGCAAAGTTGGTGATGATATTGCCGAGTGTCTTCCATGATTGTTTTGTTGTGGAAGAAGGGAAAGCTCAAGAGCTCGAGTGGCAGCTGCGGCGGGGGCTTAAGTTTCTAGACTGATCAATGAACCCATTGACGTTGTGAACAAGGAGTCGCTCAAGAAACGGGAATTTTGAGACCTCTGAGGTGCCTGAGAAACTGAGAAGAATAATAGAGCTGTGGGAAAGAAGATTGAACAAACCAGAGCTGGTATACTGATCAAGAGCTCCACTATCCCGGATCGGAATGTGGACGGACGGGAAGGGACGGACGGGAAGCTGGCCCCACATCCCACATCGGCGCTCGGAAGTCGGACCAGCTCCGGATCGACCTGCATCAACATGACTTCTAGGCCATTCTGACGACAACATTGAGAAAATAAAAACGATGATGTGTGATGTTTCAGTCTAAATTTGGTTCATGTCAGTTGTCAGGTATCTGATCTGCTTCTTCTTCGGCTTCCCTACCCATCTTCCCGGTGCGCGGACCGATGGTTGCCAAATCCATTCGAGGCAAGCCGTAGGAGAAATCTCGAGCAGTTTGTATGGCAAACCTCAAGGAAAACGGCGCCTTTGAGGTCTTTGCAGTTTGAAGCGGCCCCGCAAGTAACGGCATGATCGGCATGATCCGAAACCTGGAGAAGGAGCCGTATGCACAGCAAACCATTATTGCACCCACAAAGTTTGCCGCGAGTACACTAGTGGATATGAAAATAGCATTGTTCATGTCGGCGTCCGTGGCGTTCCTGGTTTGTGATCGAGCTCAAGACAGACTAGTGTAAAGTCCATGTTTGTTAAGCCGGTTTGGTCATATCAAGCTGCGAAACTCGATGGGGTTCGAGGTCTTCTGCGAGATATATGCTGAATATCTGTAGCAGAATGATACGTTACAGGTTTTCGAGAGCTTTTTAGCTTAGTTTGTGAGAACAGAATGGCCTGGCCAGCCTCTGTCATTCAACATAGGGGTGAGAGGTGGTTAGCAAACACCGCGGAGATCCCTGCAAGAAGGTTGCGCCTTGGACAATGAGAGTTTCATGAGACTGTAGGAGCGTGACCTACGAGGTTCTGTATTGGACGCCTCCGCTTCCAACTTTGATCGCAATCGTCATTGTATGTGCAAACTCGTCAAATGAGGAACGCAGTCCATTGACGCCGCGAAGCAATGGAAAGGAGGCCTATGTTAGCTTCTTTGAGGTTGAGGTTATATAGTTGACTGGAAGCTGCCCGCTTAATCAACCTCAAAAGAGTCAAGATAACCGAGAGACATTCCACAAGTTCTCCATCTCGACATTCATCGTGCCAATTGGGCTCATCGCTGGATTCGGGCAAACCGCTCTGTTGTATACCACTCGCTTTGTACAACAACGAACCGCCAAAGTCTGGGAAAATGGGCAAAGATAAGGATGCATTGGGAGTACTCTTTGGGGGTATGATAACCTACCTTGTTGTTGCCCTTGTCTTCATTTGCCTCAGATTCTACTCCAAGCGCATTGCGAAGTCGAAGTTCCACCTGGATGATTGGGTACTCGTTCTCTCCTTTGTAAGTCCTTTTCCCTTTGTCAATTCCATGTCTCTTCAAGACCTCCCCTTGGTTGATGGCCCTGAACAATGCCTGTGAAGTACGTACCTAACACCGATAAAAGATCATAGAGCTCATATACACGGTCATAGTCCTCTGGCAGACGAACAATGGCCTTGGCGTGCCCGTCGAGAAGCTAATAGCTAGCGGTGACATGGTCAAGGTCATGCAGAAGGTGGTCGTCCTCCTCAAATGGTCCCCGATCATGGAACTCTTCGCAGTCTTAGGCACCGCCGTCTCCAAACTTTCCTTCTGCATTACCCTCCTTCGGCTCGTTGTCAAGAGATGGCAGAAGATCGCAGTTTGGTTCTTGATCACCACCTGCACAGCCATCACCCTGGGCATCTCCATCATCTCCTTCTTCCAGTGCACCTTTCAGGCGATGCCGAATCCACTTCTGGGGGAAAACAGTTATTGCGTCAAGCAGCAGAGTGTAAAAACGTATAACACATTCTCATCTGCTTACCATGTGTTTATGGTAAGTCAGCCCGACAGCCAATCCCGGATTCTTGTTCTCACATGTTTATTGCATAGGACTTCGCCCTCTCTTTGGTTCCCACCCTAGTGATCTGGAGATTGAACATGGAGGACCGCCGAAAGATCAGCATCATATCCGCCATGAGTTTGGGCTTCATGTAAGTTGCAAACCTGTCGCTCCTGGCCCGTTGCCTGGCTCCGAATTTCATGACTGATTATCATCTCTCAGTGCCGGAGGCGTCGGACTTGGCAAGACAGTCATGAACGCCACCCTCGGTGACAACGGCACCTACAACATCGCAACGATGCTAGTCCTGGTTCAAGCCGAGATCACGGCCACGATAGGAGCCGCTTGTGTTCCCTTCTGCAGCCCGTTGGTGCGCAAAATCAGGGCCAGAATGAAGGGGGAGAGTTACGATCCTGAGGCTGGAATCGCTGGATCTGGACCCAGACCGGTGCCCTTGGCTATGGGTGTTTTGCAACGCAATCGGCAGAGCAAAGGACATGCGAGGCTTGAAAGTTCGAGTGATTCTTATACTCAGCCGTCGACAGGTAAGGAGGACGACTCGGTTGCCATCCTGGAGGTTGACAGCGGAATGCAGCGCTGATTGATCTTGTTGTCGAGTGTCTTTGATAGTGTCCATGCCCGTGGTTGCGTTCAGTTTGGTTGGCCAGTTTGTGTAGGTTCGAATGTCGAGGAAGACGGCAGGAGACGGCAGGAGACGGCAGGAGACGGGAGGCGTTTTAAGTACAGAGCGGTCAGTGGGCAGGCCCCGGAAGCGGACTCGCCACACCCGTCCCGAAGCCAGGTCATCTAGAAACGAAGAATTGAAGGCGAAAATGGGAATGACTGGCGGAGTTCATGCTTCTCTGGAAGAAGAATCGAGCAGAGGGATTGCTCAGCAAAATTTAGAATAAACACAGCATTTAAAGGTATGGTCGGTCACGACTGCCACATGGACTCTCGTGCATTCCTTCCCAGGCCCATCCGCCCACCACAATCCAGATTGAACGTGACTTCCGAATCTAGGTATAGAAAGTGAAAGAGCTGACATCATGTAATGCCCTTGAGTTCCATTGGAAACATCCAAGTAATCTGAAAACGCAACAAGATCGTGACTGCCATTAGTCCCGACCATCTTCGAGATTAAGCATGTGATTTCATTCGTTCGGCAGCTCCGCAAATCAGATAGCAACGCAACGCTCCAAAGTTGTAGCCAACTTTGCGAACTGCTACAGGTACGCTGATCTTCCCTCAAAGAAAGATAGATTCAATATCGACTTTCTGGTGTTAAGAATGCAGCATTGTCGAGAAAGCGTAAAGTGACGATAACGAGTTGTGGCTTGGGATGTCTCGCCGCAAGGGATAGAAATTGGTTGTTTGTTTGCTTTTAGTCCAGTTGAGAAAACATCAAGATCTTCTCAAACATACCCCGTCTTGTCGATGAGAAAACTGCCTGCAGTCTTTCCAGCATTCAAGACAGTCCATAAACATATATACGGACTGAGAGATGGGCAACCCCTTTTCACTAGCGGCTTCAGTTCCTCTCAGACAGCTAGATACGGTTCTTGAACCGTTCAACTTATAAGGCGCCGTGTTCCTGGTTGTTTGGGTTTTATGAATGGGTTTGTTCCTACTTCCTCGCACAGGTTTCTATTCCAAACACCGTCAAAAAATCGTCTTGACTCTCTTACTTCTTCATCCAACACAATGCCTCAACCACTCGGGGATACGGGACGAATGGTCGAAACTGCAATACCGACTATGGCTAGCAGCATGATTGTATTTCACGTCCTTGCCACTGTTTGCATGTCCCTGCGATTCTATTCGAAGCGTATTTCGAAGACCAAGTACTTTCTTGACGATTGGGTCTTGATTGTTGCCTGGGTAAGAAAGTCCCTCCCACCAGCAAGTACTGGTATCTACGAGCCTGGAGAACGCCTGAAGCTAACATGTAAAAGGTTATAGCCACTGCTTATATCGTTCTCGCCCTCTATGACACGCAGTACGGGCTTGGCTTCCATACGAGCGACATCAAAACTTTAGGTAAAGCAATTTATTGGCCGATGTTCGACAAAAACCACGTCTTTCAACTTCCGTTGTTGTTCACGGGCATTACCATTTGCTGGGTTTCCAAGCTCTCGTTTTTTATCACGCTTCTTTGGCTGGTTAGAAACAAGACGCAGAAGACCGTCCTTTGGATCGCAATGACAACGAGCTCGGTCTTTCTTTTTTCACTTTCCATCGTTCAGCCCTTTGCCCAATGCGGGAGCGTCTTGGTCGCGCTCTTGAATGAGGATGACAATACACACTGCATTCCACGGACCATAACCGTACCAATGACTTTGGCTGCATATGGTTTCGCCGCTCTTACGGTAAGCTTGTCCCGCCATTTTCTCCCATTTTATTCTCGAACATGGTACCTTACACATGGCCATCATTTGGCTGGTTTTCATTGCTAACCTGTCTTGCCTTCCATTAGGATTTCTTGCTATCCATGGTTCCTACACTAGTTGTATGGAAGCTTCAAATGCAGCGGCAGCAAAAGATTGCCATCATATGTGCTATGAGCACTGGATGCTTGTGAGTTTCCTCTTTCCAGTGTTTGCATCAACGTAGCTGGAATTTCTGTTATACTGTATACCTAGGTAGCATTTGCCAGAACTCGCTAACATCTCTCCAGAGCCGGGGTTGTGGCAATCCTCAAAGTCCAAAAAACCTACGAAACGTTCTTTCTCGGTCAACAAGAACTCTACGCAGCTGGCTTGGGAATTGCTTTGAACTCCGTCGAAGTCAGCTGCACAATCATAGGCGCTTCCATACCATTCATCCGACTTTTGGTACCCAAGCTTACAAGGGAAAAGAAGAGGCCTGACGGGGAGGTCATGGCTATGGGTGTTTTGCAAGATAATCAGCAGAGAAAGGTAAAGTCGTGGTATGGGAGTCCGAGCGGTGGTTCGAGCGGTGGTTCGAGCGACTTTTATAACAAGCACTCCAAGGACGATGATTCAGTTGCTATTCTGGAGGTTGAAAGAGGGATGCAAAACTAGAAGGCAAGGGGAACTACTGTACTGGGTCTCAGTGCTGTCAGCCAAGTCCAATCTGAACATGGCGTCTGTGCCCTCAACTCACTAGAATCACTCCTCATTTTCGACCAGATAATGCGCCCGAACTGCCTGAAAAATGTCAGATCCCGGAGTATGAAGACCCAAAGAGCCGCTCCGGGTTTCCATCAACGGAATATTGAATGCATGGTAATATAATTGCTGAGCGTTTCCGATGATGGCGATGTCACTGCGTTCGTGCGTTGTTGGAACATGTCAAGAGGATGCCGGGGAACAGCCCGGGCCGCTATAGGGCTGCCCCTGTGCCTGCTTGTGACGTAATGCGCTGCAGGCGCGGGCGGCGGGCCGGGGGACTCTGTCTCATCAGGGGCACGACGGGATCACGGCTGCGGGGATCTCGAACACCAACATGGAACAAAGTGCATCACCATGCCACAACCCTTTCACCCCTCAAAGCGTCGTTTCACCAAAGTTATTCTCCCAAAACCAGGGGTCGATACCGCCGTTTAGCTGGGTTACTTCCAGAGTCTTATATGCATACTAGATCTAGAGGTAAGTAGTGACTGCTGCGATGCACATTTCGTCGTGGAAACAAAATTCAATTGCAGTGCCAACTACCTCTAACTTTCTCCCTTAAAGGAACAGAAGGTTCGATTCAAGCATCGAGTTGAAACTCGAGCCTCAGCTCACCAAATGCAAAGTCCTGGCTGTTAAAAAGGGGTAGTAGACCGATCATTTCTGCCATAGTTAAGCTCGGCTCTCACTAACAGAGGTACTTCTGATACAGGAACGCCATCCTAGCTTCTCAGCTTGCTGCAGTCACTAGATTAAGAAGCTACTATGGCTGAATCGTGGTTTCCGGGCTCGTGGTGGTCATCGTTAATGAGGTCTGTTGGTCATGATGACGCAGTCACAGAATGAGAGCTGAGTGAGCGAGAGCAAAGGAAAGCACCATGTTACTCACATTGCTCATCACCTCAGGTTGTGAGTTCAGGCACATTGATTTTACATGAAGTTGAGCACCCCAACCCTTTCCTTCCGTGACTCTCACTTGCCAGCAACACTCGGCTAACCACCACCTTTTTTAAGTTCCCGGCGGGCCATAAACGTTCCTTCTTTCTCCCCGCGCCAGTAGTAGCTACACGCACATCTCATCCGATCGATCGGCTTCGACAGTTACTTCCTCGAAGATGGCCCCTCAAGCCCACCACTCACGCTTCCGGATCGGAGAATCGGCAGCTGCTGTCACCTCAGGCACGACAAAGTCGGTACAAGACTCATAAGTCTGAGCCTGTCCGAACCAGTACCACTGGAGGACGCTATTGCAAAGCCACTGCAGTTAGAGACCGAGTGAACCGACGATGCTGGGTTACGATGGAAGGAACAACATACCAAACACCAGCCTGACTACACCTTCCTCCCAGGTTATCCGGGATCTTGACCTTAAAATCCGTATGATTCTTCGGCGGGTTTGACGAAGCCGCGTAACCACTCGGCCAAGCTAGCAACGGCGATCCAATTGCCGAGTTGGTGGTCGTATCAACGACGCTGACGTTCGCATACTGCTCTTATCATTAGCATCACACATCACTCATCCTCCAAATCCATCGCCAACATCACCTCAGCCCGCCGCAAAAGCGAAAAACAGAAACAGAAAAACATATCCCCGCATGCGGAATCCTAATCCAGACTTTATACACAACCTCCTGCCCTCCTACATACTGCTGCACACCAGCCTTGTTATCCCCAAACTGATAGCCCTTGCACAGCCAGAGGTTGCAGTTCTTGGCGTTGTACCCGTCCTTGAGGCCGCCGGGGTTGGCCCTAAGTAAAGCTTCGGGGTAGCTGGTGTTGTCGGCCTTGTAGAAGTTGGCCATGGTCTTGCCGCAGGCGGCGGCGGTGGCGTCGCCGGGGGAGCGGGTGGGTGGGTTTTGGACTAGGCCGTGGGCTGTGGCGCCGGAGAGGAGGCCCAGGAGGGAGACAAGGCGGAGGAGGGGGAGCTGCATTTTGTTGGTGTTGAAGTGGATAACGATGGTGGGTGGAGATACTTGGAGTGCTGTGGCGGGTATCAACGTTGCTTGTTGGTGGTGAACAGCTGGTCCTTAAATAGGTACTTACCTGCAGGTACGGCTCGCCTACATCAGAAGGCATATCGAGGGTGTAGAAGCGGGATCACAGCTCCATGCGGTTTTGCCTAATACCCCTGATTTCTGGCAAGCATCCAATCATGATTGGGGCGCATATGATGGATATCTACAAGGTGTTATGCGGACAGATCGTTCATTCCGAGCGTGTATGTATGTCTTGTTCGGCAAACGCTTCTCTTCCATCTCTCTGTTCACTGACGTCTACCAAACCAAGGGATAGATCTACACGAAACCAACTCAGCAACACTGTGTTCGAGAGTGGCTCTCCTCTTAATCACCATCTTGACGTATCCATCGGCTAGTTAGTCTTCCCGACTAGACTCCCCTCTTTCGCCTCCATTCTAGAAAGCTGATCAACCGCGCTCGAAAAGTTGGCAATCCGTCCACTCGCCAAATCATGGCTCCACTTCCCCTTACTCTGATGGATGCTAAACCTACTAGCCACATCAGCCGGGTTCGTCGGCGGGCTACGGGACTGCGCATAGGCGAACGGAACCGCGCTGCTATTGGGATCCAGCTTGGTGGTTCCCCAAGCACTCGCGCCCTTGGCGAGAGCGTTGAGTGTCCAGTGCGTCGCGTTGGCTCCGGACCCCGCGAGGACCTTGTAGCTGACGTCGTTGGAGACTTGCGGGTAGGTGCGGGCTGAGGCTTTGCGGCTGGAGGCGATGACGGAGGATTGGTAGGGCCAGGCGACTAGGAGGGGGTTGTTGACCACTGTTTTTTGTTTGGTGTTAGAGATTTGAGAGTGTCGTCGGGTGTGGGATGGAATGACTTACTGACGCCTCCCCATGCGAGACCTGCCCAGCCGACGGCCTTGGGAGCAACGATTTGCAGCAGGACGTCAAAGTTGCCGGCGGTCGCGTTGTCCGGGATGGCAAACCGGTAGGCGATCTTCTCGGGACTGATGAACTCGGAGTAGCAAATGCTGGTTGAGGCGTCGCAGTACTTGGCTGCTACATGTACTGTGTCTCGAGACTGGACAACAACGGGTTTGGCGAAGGCGGCGTTGCCTAGTAGGGCCAGGAGGGTGGCGGCGAGTTGGGAGAGACGCATCGTGACTGACTGCTGAGAGTTCAGTTTCACACAGTGATGACATGGAAGGGGAAGATACTGTGAACACGAAGTGATGGATGGTTTCGGACCGGACCGACTCGATGAGCTCTTCGCCGTCCTTATAGCGGAGAAACGACCGTGCCGTCTTGACCGGACATGGGAACGCATAATGTTTATCCGGTCCCGCTACCAATGTTGTTTGCCGTCTGGAGTATGGACTTCTCCAACATGATGTTACCTTGTGTTGGTACGTTGTTGACGGATGAGGAAGGTCCATTGCAGGTGAGCGCGTTGGCCGATATCACAATGCCGTTTGGCCTGAGATCAAGGGTCAGAGGAATCACAAACACGGATTCGCCTCGTCGTTTAAGATGGAACGAAACCGTTTTGATTCTAAGATTAGAATTGCTTGGTTTCGCACACGAGACCTTGAGACCGGGTTGCTCGTTTGCTGTCGACCAGCTTGGCTTGAGTACCGCGAGCTCAAAACTCCGGACCAGAATCGCAACTCTCAGTCCTACCTAACTTTCTGCAGAAGCCGGCTATCCTCTGCCATACCCGACTTCATCTATCTCAATCTTGGAGAAAGTTTATTACGCGGTCGTGTTATAGTCCACTCGGTTCCGACCAATTGACGACGGCCCGGACTGTAGGCTAAAGTATCTCGATATCAAGGTATCATCCATCCCGTGCCCGCACCTTCGGACCTCCGATTGCCGTAAAATTTGGACGGGAGAAGAAACCGCTAATCATTGCTCGGAGATTTCCAAGCGAACAATTCCGCCCAAGCCATGAAACGGCGATGTGAACAGAAGCAGTAGACTATGGATTGCTAAAGTTTGCTTTCCCTCCTCCGTTGTTTCAGCCCTTCTACCTTAATCATACTAACGGCTTCTCATCATCAGATGCATCATCCCTCAAGGGAGGCGCCACCACTACATCTCCCCTCTTGATCTCAATGATCGATATAATCGGCAAAGCCATCATCAACAGCCCCAACAAGCTCCCAAAACCCAACTGCTTCTCCCCCTCATCGCTCAGCTGAACATCCGGCTTCCCAAACGCCTGCGACAGCAGAAACACCCTCACGGCAGCACCAACCGCAATCCCCATCATCAAAAGCATCCCCACCAGCTGCACAACCCTATACCACTTTTGCCTCCTACTCTGCAAGTACCAAGTAGCCAGCCCAAACACCACCACGTTCCCAGCAATCGTCACGATCGTCCCCACGTAATCAAGTCCACCCGCTGCCACCTTCTTGTTGTTTTCTCCTCCTTCCAACCCAGAAGAAGAAACATTATCACTGGCAGCCCATATACACCCCACCGGCAACGTCCCCTCCCACCCTTTCCTCTTCCCCTCCAGCACCACCACCCCATAAACACAACTCAGCGCCAAATTGACAAACATCAGGCCCTGCCTCATCCACCTCAACACCCAATCCCTCTTGAAGTCCTGGACCAGCGCCAGGAGCGTGGCGTTGTGCGTGGCCATGGACAGCAGGGAAAGCATCCAGATGATAAAGAAGTGGTAGGGGATGATGTGCGACGAGCGTGCCAGGCCGAGCGATTGCAGCGTGATGCCGATGAGGATCTGCTGGTCGGAGTAGGAGGCGAGGAGCTTGCGGCGGATGGTGGAGGGCCGGGATGTGGTTGTGGAGTGCGGGAAGAGGGTGGATTGGAGGATTAGAGAGGCGGAGAGGAGGAGGGCGATGGTGGCGGTTAGGGAGGAGGAGATGAGGACCTGTTTTTTCGAGTGTGGGTGTTAGAAAACTTGAACGCGGGGAGAAGAAGGCGGGAGGGTGAGTGAGGATGGGGGATAAGGGTGGGAGGGGGGACTTACACCTGCGCCGGCGATGCCTGCATCGCTGGGGGCTGAGGAGGGGATTATGGTGCAATTTGGTGGTGAAAACATTGCGAATTAGATGGTGAGTGTTGACATAACAGAACAGCAAAAGAAAGAAGCCAAAATCCCGAATGAGTGTCTATGAATGAAAATGCCGACGTAAACAATGAAAGAAAGAACGTGTACAATCAATGACAACGCCGAGAAGATGAAATGGAAAAAGAAGAAGTTTGCAGCCCTCTTTACCCACGACAAAGGGGGCCCATACATGACTTTAAAACTTCTGCTTTAATTCTTTCGTTTACCCCTTGTCTTCCCTTTCCCAGGCCCATTCTAAACGAGGAAACGCATGAAGTTGACAAGTGACAGGGTGGTGATGTGAAACAAGCGCGGTTACTCAAACAGACGAACGATTGGCCCACAGTGCCCGGTTCAGGGTCGGACGAACAGGGGAGAATGGGAGGCGGTGCTTTGCGCTTGTTCCGATTGACTTATGCTGTGAAAGACATTCGGCGCTTAGTGTACTGAGGGTTGACATTGGAAGAGGTTGTTTACTTGCTCAGGGGTAGATGAGGTTCTTTGTCGTGAACTTTGGACTGGATGAGATTGTTATTGCGTGATGTTCTGTTCGAGGGGAAGGTTACCTTAGCTGCACAGTCCCCTGTAAATCCCTGTAAAACCGCCTGTACTGATAGCGTAAACGAATCTGCATGAACACCAAAAGACACTGCGCGACAAAACCTCAACGCATCGTGAGATTGTGTCAAAACATTTGTTTGTAGCTTAATCAATCAATTCTTCGGAGATCTTTTATTCTTCAATTGTTGACAAACTGGAATTGGGCTTTGAAAATGGGGAGTGATCATGATTCGTCCCTTCCCGGACCCAGACCCCCAACCATCCTTCAGCGCCCCATCGCATCCTCCAGCCTAACAAAACAGCGCCTCGGCTCCCTAGCAAACTTCTGCACGCCCTCATACCCGCTCAACTCCTCCGGACACTTCCCCAGCCTAAACCACCACACAATCATCACAAAATAAATCCTCAACGCCACCATCCCCAACCTCTTCCCATAACACCCCCTCGGCCCCAGGCCAAACGCCAACGTCGGCCCCGCCAGCGGATCAAACTCCTCCCTCCCCGTCTCCCCATTCACCTTCAACCACCTTTCCGGCTTAAACTCGCCCAAATCCCCATCATCCCACTTCCCGCTCAACATCTTCCCCAACTTGTTGGACCCCTCCTTCCTCGCCCCCGGACTGCGCACCGCATCATTAACCTCGACCAAAGCAGCAGGCCTGACATACCCCGGCCCGTTGCCCACCAAGCAAATCGACGTGCCCTTCGGAACCATTCTGCCCAAGATCTCGGTATCCCGCAACGTCTCGCGAAGCAAGAAATCGATGACATTCCCCACCCTCAACACCTCCTCGATTACCGCGTCCAGATACTCGCTCTTTCTCCGCGTGGACTCTCCTCCCTGCTGCTGGTTCTGGAGGGCAACGATCTCCTCGTACGTCGGCGCCCGTTTTTCCGCAAAGGCGGCAGGCATCGCGGCGCGCAGCTCCGCGCGTAAACGGTCTTGGACGCGAGGGTGGTCGGACAGGTATTTGACGCCCCAGGCCATGGTGACGGCGGTGGTGTCGTGGCCGGCGAGGAGGAAGCTGACGAACTCGTCCGAGATGGCGCGGGAGTGGTAGTTGGGGGTGCGACCCTCTTTGAGGGCGAGTTGGCGCTCGCGGAGGAGGACGGAGTGGATGGCGTTTTGGGGAAGTTGGGAATTGTCTGCTTGGTCGGGATTGGAGGAGTTAATGAGGGCCAGGGATTCGTCGATCTTGGAGGTGATGTAGGTCTCCTTTGTCGCGATGGCGTTCTTCAGAGAGGGGAACATTTTGGCGATCTTGTAGGTGGGTTTGGGCAGAGGGGAAAGCTGGGTGAGCATTAGGGAATTCGTCATGGTGATGATGGCGCTGAGGAAAGGGGGGATGGAGCCCTCGGGGAAGGTGATTGGCTTGTTGACATTACTCGGGTCGACGTCACCCTCGGGCAGTGAAACCTGATTGACGGCCTCCAAACGCTTCCAAGTGATGTTTTCGCATTCAGGAAGGCCGATGAGCGCGCCAGTGATGGCGTCGAGGGCGCTGTGGCTGAGGTCATGGATTGCAGAGAAGGGACGGCCTTGGGCGCGCTCACACTTCGCCTTCCAGAGTTGAATGAGAAGGTTTACGCCGCGGTATGTTTCGGGACCGCTGACCCGGTTGATAAACGATGGGGTCATCAAATGGTTGATAAGGTTGCGGTTTTTCTTGAAGCGCGGGTCATCTGAGTGGAACTGCATGTGCTGTTCGGGGAGAAGGGGGCCGAGAATGTCGCCGATGAGCAGGCTTCGGTCAATCTCCTTGCCGCGCCGGAGAAGGATGTCCTGCGTCTCGAATGGGTCTGCCACAACGACCCATGGCTTTTCGAATGGCTTAATGAAGACCTGGACAATCGGGCTGTTGTGCCTTTCCGTCAGGGACCCCATCCAGGACTGAATGATGGTTCAGGTAAGTCAGCCAATTTATTCTTACGCATCATAGGGGTCGTGGTCTACTACGAGCTCCTAGCAAAAGAGCCGAGAGAGGAGATACTCACAAACACCTCTTTTTTCTTGCGAATATATCCCAACATCTCGGGGATATCGCCCAAAGGACTCCGAGCCGCATGCTTGTTATACGGGATACCCGCAATAGGCTTGGGAAGGATAGCTCGATATGCAAGGTACAAGATCAAAAGTACTCCGGCAATGAGAGCTGTCCCAATGGGGGATTTTAGGGTGGTCAGGTTGACCAAGGACATTGAAGGCCACGCTATACCGGGGGTTCTGTCGCCGTGCTGCGTAAAAGCGGCAAATTCAGTGTCGTGTTGCACTTCCATGCTATGCTGTCAGCCCATGAACTCACGACAGGGCTTTCTGTTGTTGTGTGACCATGAAGCTTGGCACTCCGAAGGAACGAAATGGTTAACGTTCAACGAGAGGAAGATGATGGCTTCTTATACTCATAGAATCATCCCGGCTCGAATGTCACCGTAGCCTTCGATGGAGAGTCAGTATTGTGAATCATGCCGCGTACTACATAGCAGAGCAGAAACTCGTCTGTACTACAGTGAAAGTCTTGGTAAAGGCACTAGCAAATCTGTCGTTCATATGCATCATGATCCTTCTCGCCAAATGGGTCCGGCCGCATTTTGGACTGTGGGAACAACCAATGATGTAGACACAATTACTGTGAGCTGATTACACCCTCCTCTCCTTATGAAGCGCTCTCCATAATATGCCAATGCCATGCGTCTACTACCCAATTATACCTATCCAATCTCACAACTTTCTTTCAAATTCAGAAATTGCAACTAAATCGTCGTCTTTCGGTGTTCTCCTGCAAGAGTCGTCGGTGTTATCAAGCCTGGCATGTCCTCTACAACTGCCTGGTAGGGAACTCATGGCGACGGGATCTCCAGGAGTACCTCTACCTTGGTCTTTGGTTATCAGTCTTCGTATCAGAGGCCGAAAGAAGGGTATAGAGGCGGCGATTATGGTGCAGCTGACTTCGACGGAGGCCAACGCGCAGACTAGTCCACCCTTGTAGGGGTCCTTGAGCATGTAGTGCCATATGCTGGGGTAATATATGTCATCAACTTTGTTGAGGACCGCTTCCTCCATTCCCTCAAAAAGAAGGGCGTAAGTCTTCACCACCTTGGGTATTGAGACGCCTCCGGCACTGAAAACAAACAGTGCGTTAACATGACGGGACCCATCATCGCCATGCAGCGGCTGTACAAGGGCATCAGTAAGGTACTCACAAGCATCCTGTGCTCATTGCACAAATAATTGCCATCTTTTCAGCTCGCTTCATCTTCAGTTTCCAAATCACCAACGGAGGAACCAACGATAGTATGAAGTCCTGAATAACGGGGTAAGACCGGTGTTATCGAGACCACTCTCTGAATTGATGATCGCACAACTCCCCGCACTTGAAGAAGCTGGGGTTTGTAGGACTTAGCATTGTAGTCGCGTAAACACTTGCATATATTGAGAATGCCCTGTTCATTTTCGGATGGGCGCAGTTCTTGTCGTAATGTCCAGGCTGATGATCAACGAGTAGCGCTATAACACTTCCGCATCATTCAGTGAACGCCTGGAGTACGGACAGGACTATAAGCGATGCAGTGCTCGTCGTCATCAGAAACCAGAGCAACGCCTTTTGCCACCACCGCCTAGAAGAAACCAGGCGAAGGAGAGTAATAAAGAACGATAATTTCGATACCCAACACGCAGTTATGGCACTGAATATCACGGCGGGTGTAGATACTCACCTCTCTTGGTATAATACCTCTATCGAGCGGAAGTCACCCATGTCCAGGCCGAGCCCGAACCTGGTCATATAAAGGGCGATGAAATTGTAGATGATTGCTGTGATCTGATGTTCTGTTAGCCTTTTGCGAGAGCTGACAATACAGCCATCGTTCGTGTTTCCACCATTGGGATTGTCGGCTCTTACCCATGAGGCGATGAGTACGTAGTCGTCGAGGAAGTATTTGGCCTTGGAGACACGCTTGGAATAAAACCGGAGGCACATGCATAGAGTAGCAACGACTTGGAAGGCCAGCATGCTACTAAACATCATCGGCACATGAGATTTTGCCGAGTGGACGAAGTCCTGCAGCCTTTGTGGTTCATCCTCCGGAATGCCTATTACCGTGATCGTGCAGGATGAAATGGAAGTGATGGAATAAAAAGAGGGCGTGTACCTAACCAAGCAGCCCCCGACAACAATAAGTGGAAAAACCACCGTACTTTTAACCTCTTCATGGCAAGCATATCCGCCATCCACGGCCTCCTTCCCCGTTTCGACTTCCGTATTTGCTTGCTCCCACGCTCCTCAGCAGGAAGTCGGAGGTTATAATAAAGGGGCATATCAACCGTACCTTCCACAGTTCCAGACTTTCCAATCGCTGGATCGCTCATTCCAGTTGAAACCGGACTGTCTTGTGTTTGCTTCGCGCTTCCGGATCGGCTCCCGGTACCCCGGATTTCTCACAAACATGCGATGCCCAGGCGGCTCACCACCTCTATGATCACGCAACGGTTTCTTCAACGACTACGGGTTTTTTACAATCTGAAACCGAATTAGCGACTTGTTGAAGACGTCCATATCGCTTGGATGTTCTGATGCAATTCCGCCATCATAGAAAGAACGCCTTTCTCACCTACACGATTCGTGATCCCGACCACCACTCCTTTGCGTCGCTGCCGGTTTGCTCGATTGTTTCCACTTCCCTGCAATCAACCAAACCTAGATCGTTTTACACGCTCGAGGACTCCACATTCACCACCTTGACACGATATCCCCTTGGATCTTGTGCTTGTTGTTTTCGTCATTCGTGCGCACGACTCTCCTCGAGATTTTGAAACTTGGAATCGCACCCGGTACCTTACCCGGTCCGGCTTCCCGGATCCCGATGTGAGCCCGCCCGGCCGCCCCGCGCTGTCAGCCCGCCGTGCAGTTAGCGAGTCGATGTTTGCTTCACTGCAGTCCTGAAGGATTCTCGATGCATCCGCCCACCACAAGTGCATAATACGCCCACCTCAACAACACGAGAGGCAGCCTTCATGATAACCGACAACGCCAGATTCTCATTCATTTCGTTACTTCTTCAACACCATCAAACCCTCATCTCTCACTCTTTACCTATCCAACCACTTCCTCCCTCAAATAAAATCCCTAACAGCCTCCCAAAACCCCTCCGGGCTCTCACACATCGGCAAATGCCCCGCCTCCTTCACCACCTTTAACTCCCCTCCCTTGTCTCCAAGCAACCCCCTGAAACCCTCCATAGCCTTAACCAACGCCCCCTTACCATCCCCATCCCCCACCACAAACAACCCCTCCACCTCTTTGACACCCTTCATCTTCTCCCTCAAATCATACCCCCACAACGCCTGACAAGACCACCGGAAACCCTCCACATCATTCCCCGCAACCATCTCCGTCATCCACTCCACCGTCTCCCTCTTCTTCTCCATTGTGTTGGGGTGGAACCACCTCTCCACCGTCACCGCCGCCAATTTTTCTTTAAGCCCCTTCCCCTCATCAGACTCAGCGACAGCGATACGGTCTTTCCACGCTTGCGTGTTGGCTTCTGATGAAGCAGCGTTAAAGTCGCACGCCACGAACTTGCCGAGACGAGAAGGGTGGCGGATAGCAAAATTGAGCGTCGTGGCGCCGCCCATGCTTACACCGACTAGCGTCTGCAGCTTATCAATGCGCAACGCGTCGAGGAGGGAGGCGAGGTCGTCGGCTAGGAGATCCAAAGTGGCAGGCTGCGGGGGGGAGGAGATAGCGTGTCTTCCACGCGTGTCATACCGCAGGATCCGCAGATCGGGCCGAGCTTGCTTAAGCAGCTTGACCAGGTGGTCCCACATGTGCAGCGAAGTGAGGAGGGAGTTGGAGAAGGCGATGACGGGGGCGGTGGGAGAGGGGTTACCTTCCAGCTGGTAGGGGATGGTCAGGCCGTCGTGGGGGGTGGTGATGTAGCTGGAGATGATGGGCCCCTCCGAGCCGGCGGTGGTGGTGAGGCGGGGGGCAGCAGCGGAGAAGGCCTTGGAGGCGGGCAAGCGGGAGAGGTGCTCCAGATCGCGGGGCGCGGGCCCGAAGACGTAGAAGAGGGAGTAAGTCCTTCGGCCCTTTTCGGTGATGTACTTGTCAAAAACCTCGGTGCGCCAGGGGGTGTCCATGGAGGCTTTGTGCTCGGGGCCGCCGAGGCCGTTTTGGGGAGCGTACTCGTGGAGGGTGATGATTTTGGTCTCGCCGGCGTTGGAGCCTTCGATAGAAGAAGGCGTCCGCAGCACCCGGCTGCGCAACCAGCCGGGGATCTTGGACAGCATGGGGATGTGTTCCTCCTCGTACCACTGGATGACTTTCTCGGCGGCGGCGTCGGGCTCGTTGGCCAGGCTGAGCGAGACGTCGACAGCCACCAGAACGCGGCCCTCTGCTTCGGCGTTAGTGCACTGCTCGGCCGGCTTGAAGGACGAGGCTTCCTGGGTCCAGACGAGGTCGAAGAAGAAACGGTCGACTTTGACCTGGCCGATGGTCTCGGCCTCACGGGAGGACCGGTTGGCGCGCAGATCGAGGTAGGTGGGCGTCAGGAGGTGGGCCATGTCGGTCACATCGTAGGCGGCCAGGAAGTGCGGCTGCTGGCCGTCGGTGGCCTGGTAGCGCAGGCCGTTGGAAAAGATCTGGGGGAGACGCAGACGGGTAGGGCCGTGCTCGTTGTTGTACCACTCGTGGAACTGGTCGAGCGAGAGGCCCTCCTGGGGCTGCATCGTCACGTAGAGCATGCCTTGTCCGTTCTTTGCTGCCGCCATTGCTGCTGGTGTCTCTTGAGATACCGGACTTGATGAGGTTGATGTCTGGATGTTCGCCAAGTCGTTCTTGGTGGAGCAATCCGCTAAGACCCGATGTCCAACTCCCGCTGTGGGCCTGTAAGTCCGGGAGCTGAGGAAGTATTTGGTGATGATTTGTTTACACCGGGATGTTTGCAATGGGATGCAATGGGATGGGAAAAGATCACTCAGTCACCTGCTGAGAATGTTTAGTTTTCTGAGTTGAGAGACAGGAGACATTCAAATACTCTGTAACTCATCACGCAATCAAAAAGCACAGGATGATCGGAGTGACGTCGGAGTGGATGGGTGCAACCGCCCACCATCTCCGGGCCTGCGGTTCGGCTCTTGGTCTACTGGCGGCAAAGCATTTTCCCGCCGCTGCCACCCGGGATTTTAGTGGGGGAGGTCGCTAATTGCGGGGTACACGTCCGGGGTGCCGGGGAACAGCCGGGGAAAAGGACCCCAGCCCTCTCCCGTCAACAACACTTAAAGTTGGCTATTCAGTGCTCGTTATATTGCGAGAAATACCCTACAATCCCAAACCATAAGCTAGAGAAGAAATGGAAATTCGTCAAAGTCGTGATATCCAAAAATATTTCCGCTTCATCAACCGCTGAATTCACACTGTCCACCCGTCAACTCCCGCCGGTCCTCAATGTCCTCAGAAATGCTACTTCCTCTGGTGAATCTGCATCTGTGCATAATGAGCCGCAAGCTGCGCCATCAGGTCCGCAGGTGTCAGTTTAACTGGCATGCCTGCAGCCGAACCACTCGGTACCTCTCCTCCCGAAACGCCCGCCGTTCTTGCGGCAGCCTGTGCGTGTACCAATTCCGGTTGGTAGCCCGGGTAGAGGCCTGTAGGGTCGTTAAATATGGCATCTTGCGTGACTGACCCACTACTAGGCGTGTAGTTGGATCCAGAGCTCGGGGTCGTTGGGGCCGACGTGCTGCTTGGTGAGCCCGAATCGAATGCAACACCAGTAAACGCGCTTTGCTGGGTCGTTGCATGAGCCGCCGTGTTAACATCCACACGGATGGGCTGCCGATGGTCTCCCCTATCTCCTCGACCTGCAACGCGGCTCCCTCCCCGGACGCCGACGAATCCGCCGGCTCTAGCGGCATGCCTTAGCCTTATCCTCTTCTCCTGCTCCTTGATCTCGAGAAGCAATGCCGAGCTAGCCACGAGCCGGAAGCTTTCAAGGTCTGTAGCGACTTGACGCTTCCAATACTCTTTTGGTTCGCGTCGCTTCTCAAATGCCACATAAAAACAGGCAATGCAGAGCTCCAATGCGTGGAGCTCTGATGTGGCTTCCTCAGGCGGAGAGGAGGGACGCAATGCATTCGTCACCATCTTAGTTATACGGACGAACGCGTCCGACAGCTTTGATGACTTGTCTCGCTGCCGCCTGCTCTGAATGCCTTTTTTGTTCAGAATAAATCCCATGACAACTTCCAACTCTTTGAGGGGCTGGGTCGGAGAATCAGCAAACTCCACCATGGCGTCCCTTATGGCGTCTTCGTAACTGATAACATGACAAATGATGTTAGTTGGTTGCAACTATGAGCAGCGACCGGAAAAGGCCCGTGACTTACGATTCACAGATTCGGCGGGCTTCATCAAGACGATGTCGCCACCGCACTTGTCCGATAGCGCGGATACGCTTCAGCAGGGATGTCTCCAATTCATTCCAGAATGGAAGACCCCCCGATGGGACTTCTAGCTTGATGTTTTTGGTCCATATCTTCTTTTCGTCCACAGCACGGAAAAGCTGTCCCAAAATCTTCTCCGATGCGTAGTATTTGTACCGCGGTGTGTCGTCTCCATCATCGTTGTCTTGCCTAAGGTACTGCTCTTCCATGTCAATCTTGGACTTGTCATGGATTTTAATGTCTGGTCCGTTTACAAGGCTAGCAGTCATCATTAGCAGGGAACAGAAGCAGGAAGGTATATCAGCACTTACAAATCAGGCCGATAAGGTGGTGGTCTTGGTAACTCGGTAATATTCACGTGAAGCCCCGACTTGGAGAAGTCGACCGCTTTGGAGTGCAATTCTGCCAGGGTGAGACAGTCTTCATCTAGCGTCCCCTTATCGCGTACGTCCGCGAGGATCATGTGCCGAACCGCAATTACCCCCAGGTGATCGGCCTTCATAAACTCAACGAAGAAGTCGGCCATGTCCTTTGACTCAATCTCTCGGTTCAATTCCAGGGGCTTGACACGTGGATAATTGGCCGCTGTGAAAGTGTGGAGTTTGGAAACGATCCTCTGATCCCAAATCACGTTGAAAGTGTCGCCATCCAGGTCACCACCTGACAGCTGACTGGGCAGGTCACGTTCACCGTTTTGGCTGAACACGATGCAGTTTTTCAGTTCTCTGAGAGGGTGCCCCGCGGGTGGAATGACGTTGCGGGCAACCTGGATGTCTCCGGGGTGCAAGGCCGGAGACCTGGTCACCACAACAGGGCCAGCAGCTGGAGGGTCTTTAAAGCGACCGTCCAGGGTTTCATAGGTGACGTATACTTCCCCTTCGCGCAATAGGCCTGTCTCGTCCATCACGCCAAACAGAGTAATGCCATGGGGAATCGGGATTCTAGCCTTGTGCTTGAGCAAGCGCAACTCTCTGAGCACGACAGCTTCGACAAGACCGCGAAGAAACTGGTCCTTTCGGTAGTCGATGTTCATTTTGTGGACGTCTTTGAGAAACTGGCTAAGGTGAACAGAATCTCCAACGCACTGCAGCTTGAGGAAGGTCGCCACGTTATGGACGCTATCCGTGATCGCCCGAAGACGCTGGAGTTCCTTTTCTTGAAGCTGCATGAACCACTTGGCTGGGGCACCCATATCCTCGAGAATCTTGATCATCTGGCGGTTCAGCATCAGAGGAATCGGCTTTGAAGCCATGTCGCATATTTCAAGATGTTCCTCATCATGGCTGCGGAACTTCTCCATGGAATCTCTGATACAGATTTGCCTCCCAGTGAGCCGGGTATCGAGAGCTAACATGCCCTTTGCTCCAGCCCATCGCACCTGGAAGCAATTCGGATAGCCTTTGGATTCGGGGATCTCGCGATGAATCACCTCGAGGGCACCTTGCGATATTTTCCCAACTCCATCACTGAATACGCGGCCGTTGCGCTCGACGTCCTTATGCCGTATCACATCGATATCGTTATCGTAGAGCGATACGGAATATGGTGTCTCTGAAAAGGCCTGGCCTATGCGTGCCGCACGTCGCGCTGGCGACCTGATCTTGCGGAAATCACCCAAAGCCTCAATGATGTTTTCAGATATCTTCAGTTGACCGTTGTAAACGAAGGGCGCCGATAGCCAAAGGCTATGTGCTCGGAGGGAGGAGTGGGAGAAGCCGAGAAACCTGTAAACCCGACCACCAACTGAAATGCCCTGGGTCAAGACGTCTTTAAATCTCTGGTATATGGTGTCCATGGAGACCGTCGAGTTGAAGAAGAGGTCCTGTCCATCCTCTTCGCCGAACTGGACTCGAAGGAAGTGGTCCTGGTGTTCTGGGAACTTTCGAAGAATCCTGTTCATGGCTTCCAGTTCAGGCCCGTGAAGTTCGATTCTGGTTGGCGTGACAAGTGCCCGATAGATCTTGGTAAGACCGGATGGAATCTCGTCGTTCAGGCGCATGGTGTGGCCCTCACGCATGCGCTTCTCCGTTTTGTTCAAGTGTTCTATGATCCCTTCGACCTCGAACTGGGCAAGCGCCTCGGAGCCTGAGAGGCTCGGCGACGGCCAGTCGATGCTTTTGAAGAGGTCCTTAAAGGCATCAACAGAGATGGGATCCTGCCGCTGACCTGAGCGCCGAGCAGTTTCGAATATATTTGCTAAGCGTCTGGCCAGCTTTAGCACGGTTGTCGGGTGAAGATACGATCTGTACACCAGCGCTTGAAGATTGAAGAGCAGGCTGTAAGGCAACGTATTTCCCCCTTGGTACTCCACAAGAGCCGCCTTAAGCCTGTCAACTGCGACAGGATATGCGTCTTGTGGAGAAGCGCTCTGAATGGGGAATGTATAAGGCGTGACCCAGAAAATTTCTTGCTCATTCAGTCCTCTAATGGCGGCATGGAAGTCAGTCCCCTGGTTTTGACCCTTATTGGGGTGCAAATGATTGTCCAACACTTTGAAGTGATAGACCAGACAGAATTTGGATACTTTGGCGTGGTTACTGTCGCATGCCTCGAGGCGCATCCTCATGGGTTGTCCGGGTCGATCTGATGGAATTGGCCGCGAGAGAAACGTTGGGGCGTATGTGAGAGTGACGGCGATGTGTCCATTGTTGGACCAAACGAGTTCTTGGATGCTTCGATATGGGATGGAGACCTGAGATCCATCCAAAGAGGTAATGACGAGGTCGTGCTTAGCGAACTTTGCTGAGACGCGCAGGGTAGACGACCACTCGGGGATGAAGGTCAAGTTGCCGTTGATGTAGGACCAATGTCCGCAGTCAAGTACGTCGGCATCAAGTGCTGAAGTTGGAGTGCGTGTAGGCTGGGTTTTGTTGTTGGCATTCTCCTCCCTCTCCTTCTTCCGCCTTTCCTGTTCTTCGGCCTCGTGACGAATGCCGTTGACCAAGTTCTGTATGTCCTTTGGTTGTGGATGGCTGACCTTGCAATAAGCCTGCTGATTCATAATATTGAGACGAGCGTGTGTCCTAAGGAAACTCATCGCTTCTCTTTGGGTGACGAAGGTGATCTTCCCAAAGGGTTTGTCGGACCGTTTATCGCAGTCATAGTGATGGATGTGGAGTTTGTCCATGAACGGCTTCAGATGGCTTTTCAAACTCCTCTCGGAAAGATCTCGAGGAAGATTACTGATAAAGACCTCCATGGCGGGCGAGAGGATGGTTTGCGCAAAAAGCTGTCTAGCAAGTATTTATGAGGGCTATTTGGGTGTCAGCATTTTTAGATCAACATGTTTAGGGGAACTTGAAAGCCATTGACCAGGGAAAAGCTTCACCAAAGGTTGACCAAAGTGGTTCATGTGCGCTTTAGGCTTGGGAACTGAAAGCAACATGCACTGAGGGGTATTGACGAAGCAAAATAGACGTGAAGGCGAGAAGGCGGCAGGGCTGGAAATGAAGCTCGAGATTGAGCGCTCAAGGCTCCAACTTGCAACGAGTTGAGGACCTTGATGGTTTGGCGTTGGCAATGGGATGACAGGCGCGTCGAACGTGCGTCCGTCGACCATACAAAAGTTGTCAACAGAAACGAGACGACCTTGGAGAGTCAGGATGTGGATTTCAGACCAGATGAATGGGAAATAAAAGACATTGTTTGTTTGTCAAGGGGACCGGAGAAACGCCCCGAATGTTGATGGCATGAACGGTCCTTTTCACGTCGTCCATGTCTGTCGTTGCCCGCGTCAACGCCCCGCATCAGTGGTGGTGACAGGCAGGCTGGCGGTTAGCTGAAGCAGCTGTGATAGGCCCAAATGGCACTGCCAGATGCGAGAGGCCTACAACTGCTTCATGTCGTGTTTCTGTTCCCACAGCATAGGGCTGCCAATGGTCTCGTATCTGGCCCATCTTGACTGGGCTGGGATTTGTGCAGTTGGTGATGGGCGATTTGGCAAATGTAGGAGGCCCTTTTGGTGGTGGATGCGTGCAAGGGTGTCGTCTCTTTTTATTGCTGCGTCGTCTTATTGTTCCTTGTCTGAGGTGGGCGAGAAATGCGACGAATGACGACTTCCCTTGGCGATCGGATGTCTGCCCTGTGGAAGCTTATCTTATCGTGTCTTATCGATAACATCCATGGGAGACGCTCCTGCCGTTCAACATCCATCTCGAAGACTCCCGCTGTCTCTTCCCAGAGGGCAACTGCATCCGACCTTTCTCCCAGATTTCGAAATTGCGACGGGACTCTGCACTGTTGATATGCCGTTACCCGGATGCAAAATGAGACGTGAATGTTTGTCGTTCCTTCCACATTGCTCTAGGGCTCTGTCACAGCTGACAAACACATTTGGAGAAAGAGCAGAAAGGGAAGGTCGACAGGATGGTGGATCGTCTAATTCATGTCGGTCATAAGAAATCGGGTTGGAAAAGTTCCATCAATGTCAGAAATCATCAGGAAGCAGTGAGGATTGGCAAATCTGACACGCCGCGGCGAACACAAAATCGTGAGGAAGTTGGCGAAGTTGGCATTTGGGTCGTCACTGCTACCAACAGTTCAAAGGGCTGACAAAGCTGTGCGAAAGCTCGGAGGTGAGACTTGGAGCGGGGCAGTGGACTCTCAATGCTACCCCGCTAACAGCCCCACTACCCCGCAAAAGCGCTTTCTGTGAAACTTCATTTGTCGCCCGGAGACTTGCCTGGGCCGGATAAAGCTTGGCCGACGTCCCCTGGCTGCACTAACAATTAATTTTCTCTGACCTCCAACGACATCACCACACTGAGCACAATCCGGATGTCCAGGACCTGCCTGCCAAGACACGGCTGGTAAAGGAGCTCATACAAGAAGACGTGCTTTCCTGAGTTGTGAATTCAGGCCTCATATTCTTCTGGAAGCCAAGAATCAGCATTTGCTCGGCTTTGTTCACTCTGCTTCCGCCATCCAGGCACACAAGATAAACAAGGAAGGAAGCCTCTCTCTGGACATGGCACCTCTTGCCGTCATTACCTACAACAAACTCTGGTGATTTGACCCCAAACGTTGCCTCTCCATGCAGCGTCCATACTTCGTTTGCCAGTCCGCCAATCGCGATCCATGGACAAATAGACCCATTTCAATGCGCACATAGTCCCCCCCCCCCCACTTTTTAAAGGTGTATAGCCAATCTCTAACTCCTAACTGCGCCTATCAACCAAGTACATTCGTGAAGCTATCGCTATCTTCGTCACTATCGCTATTGCTGCCACTGTCACTATCACTGTCAATAGGATTATTATTACTATTAATAGGGTTATTGTTATGGCGTTTGCAGCTTCCCCATGATCTACTATGACGCTTTTGCTTCTTGGTCTGTTGCTCTTCAGATGGATCGTAGACCTGCTCTCCCCTTATCCAATTTGTCGAGGAGCGCATCCCACTTATCCAATTCTTCGTTAAGATAGTAGCAAATGGCGATACCAATATCAACAACTCTGATTAACCTCGATAGTACCTTAGCTAATTAACTAGATTGGAGATTCTAAATGACTTCAAAATAACGAGGATTTAGTAATGCGCCTTGTAAGCTTTAATGCGCGGCTGACATAGATATGGCTGCGCGCCCAAAAAAGTGGGGGGGGACTATGTGCGCATTGAAATGGGTCTATGTGTGCATGGATTGCGTCCACCAATCCCCATCGACATTATCCCCGGTGCCGCGGTTGAAGTCAACATGTCAGGGTCCCGCCGTCGTCGGTCCACAATGGCCCGGGTCTATTTCCCAGCTGCAGGGAATAAGGGTGTCCATATTGTACGCTAGCATGGCACATGAGAGTCCAGCTCTTCGTTTCGTTGAATTGCTAGACTCACTAGAGTTCCGTAATTGCTAGAGTTGCTATTGGACTCGGGACTCGGACATATCACGAAGAGCAAAGATCTACTGTTGACCCCTCTTTGCTCTGTCAGTCAGTCTGCCTTATAACTGGAGTCATGGAGCTCCTCCCAACTCCAGCTCTCCCATAGCTTTCCATTCCTAGCTCTCACCTTTGTTTACTTTCCCCATTCACACACACCCACTCCCAAACCCCAAACCGCGAACCACAAATTCAAAATGCCTCCCTTCCGCGCCGAACACATGGGTTCCCTCCTGCGTCCCCAAAACCTGCTATCCGCCCGCGAGGCCATCCGCGACAAGGGCCTTTCCCCCGAAGAAGCCAACCTCCCCGCCATCGAAAAGGAAGCCGTCGGCGAGGTTGTCGCTCTGCAGCGCGAACTGGGTTTCAAGGCCGTGAACAGCGGCGAATTCAACCGCACCCGCTTCTGGGGTCTAATGTGGGACGAGTTCGACGGGTCCGTCGCTCTCCAAGAAGCCGAGGCCAGCATGTTCCGGCTGTACCACCCGGACGTGGTCAGCCTGATCGAGAAGGACCGCAAGGTGATGCCGGGGGATTCGGTGATTGCTGGTTCCAAGTTGAGACATGATCGGGAGAAGAGCCAGTCGAATTTGCATGAGTTGAAGCTGGTGCAGCAGTTTACCCCAAAAGAGGAGTGGGGGAATATTAAGTTGACGATGATCACGCCCGCGTGGTTTCATATGCGGTATAAGCAGGGCAAGGCGTATGCGGAGGGGGTTTATGAGAGTGATGAGGAGTATTTTGCGGATGTGGCGAGGGTTTATCAGGAGGAGTTGAAGATGCTTTATGAGGCTGGGTTGAGGAATGTGCAGTTTGATGATCCTGGTTTGGCTTGTATGTGTCCCTTTCTCCTTTCCTTTTCCTTTTCCTTTTCCTTTTCCTTCCCCTCCCCATTTACATCCTTTCCCCCATCCACTTGCTCCTTTCCCCCATCCACTTGCTCCTTCTCCCTTCCATCTCCCCCGACCTTCCAGACCCTCCCCAGACTCACAAAAAACTATTTAGACTTTTGCTCCGAAGAGTTCCGCACCGGCTACGCCTCCGACCCCGAAAACACCGTCTCCATCGACTCCCTCCTCGACTCCTACATCCACCTCTACAACACCTCCCTCTCCCTCCTCCCCGCCGACTTCCACACCGGCGTCCACCTCTGCCGCGGCAACTTCATCGGCGGCCGCCACTTCGCCTCGGGCGCTTACGACGTGATCGCCCAGAAACTTTTCACCTCCCTGAACGTCAACACCTTCTACCTCGAATACGACACCTCGCGCGCCGGTGGTTTTGAACCGCTTCAATACCTCCCCAAAAACAAGAATGTCGTATTGGGTGTTGTGTCGACGAAACTGAGGGAGTTGGAAAGTAAGGAGGAGGTTAAACGGAGGGTTGAAGAGGCTGTGAGTTGGGTGGCGAAGGGGAGCGAGGAAAGCAGGCAGGAGGCGCTCAAGAGGGTGGCGGTTAGTCCGCAGTGTGGGTTTAGTACGCATGAGAGTGGGTACCCCCTCAGTGAGGAGGATCAGAGGAAGAAGTTGAGGTTGGTGAGGGAGGTTGCGGATGAGATTTGGGGGGAGGCTTGAGGGGGGTGCTTGGACGCGTCCTGATGGGGTTTACGTGTGGTTGGCAGAGGGGGGGAAGTTTTGAGCAAGGCGTGGCTGGTCAGTGTTGTGTGTAAATGGTGAAAATGAGGTGTTTTCCTTGCCGCATGTTCAACAACGGTGTGGTAAAAGGTTAAAGGATTGAGGGCAAAGCATCTTCTTTGAAGTCGGCGGTTGGCGTAAAGGGTTGTCGTTTGATGGCATGGGTAGCGTACTGGATATCAACTTCCAGCTTGGCATAGATCAAAGGGCTGTTGCTGGTTCAGTTCATCATAATGAAATGCATGTTTTCCCAGAGAAATTCCTTGTTAAGTTACAAAAGAAGGCTAGCCAAGATCAGTTATAGGTTGAAACTTGCTCGCGTAATCTGCAATACCTAGGCAAGCCGTCCTTTGGGAAGTCCAATACTAGTTTGCTGGCTCATGACCTCTAGTCAACTCCCCTGGGCGATTTCATGTCCACTGTGCGTTCCGTTTGGTTCAGTGGTCAAGACCTGATCTAACTTTGGGTATTTTTGTCCCAGGGATAGATACGCTAACATGATACCAAAGGCATACTATCAATAAATCATAGTGTAGGCATTTCAAAGAAATCCTTGCGGCCTTCAGGACGGGCTGGATATGTCTCCTTCGGAGTACCCAGCTAGCACCTCAACATTCGTGCCATTCCAGGAGGTACCTCGTGTCTTCGCCGTATAGCCAACTGATGGGGACAATAACGCCGTACTTTTTCCATGCATGCTCCTCAAGACCCTTGACGTTGACCCCGTGCTCAGCAAGTAACTGAAAAAGACGGTCGTACTCGTCGAGAGTCCTATTCGGATTCCCTTCGTGGGTATCTTCAGGAATCATAAGTAAAACGAGATGATCGTAGTGGTGCATCAAGTCAATAAACTCATGCTCATTATCATGAACGAATTGATCCAGAAGTGCCTGAAAACCCGTGCTCGAGCTCTGAACGAGGGCAGCTCGCTGAAAACACCACCGCAGGCTCCTCAACCAGCGAGGCTCAAGTTTCCACGGATGGAGCCTCCACGTAAACCCCAGCCAGGTTGTAATAATTTGTGTGACAATTGTGCGGAAAGCTTCAACGACAACTTTGGGATCCGCTCCGCTCTCCACAAGCAAATCTGCTGCGTCTGGGAACCCGTTTGAGGCGGCCACGGATAGTGGTGTCATTCCATCATTGTCGCGAGCTTCAAGATTGGCTCCATAATCGAGTAGCAGCCGACCGCAATTTCTCTTCCCCCATTCACAAGCCATATGCAAAGGTGTCCGACCAAATTTATCAACTGCCTCAATGTTAGCGCTCTTATCGATCAACACCGATATAGCGTCCTCCCAGCCGCGTTGAGAGGCCATGTGAACAGCAGTCCTGCCAGATTTATCTGTTGCTTCAAGCTCGGCTCCATTCTCCAGAAGAAATCGTACGATGTCAGCTTCACTATCTAAAATGGCCCGATGGAAAGCAGTTCGACCATCAGCATCCACTGCTTTGAGATCGGCGCCGCCATCCACAAGACACTGAACCATTTTAATATTGGGCCTAAAAGAAACGGCCTTATGTAGAGCAGTCCAGCCTTTGGCATCCTCTGCATTGGGGTTGGCGCCTCTGTCCACAAGAAACTGTGCCATTGCAACCCTGGACCCGGTAACAGCACTATGTAGAACAGTCCAACCTCGATCATCAACGGCTTCGATGCAGGCCCCTCGATCCAATAGCAATTGTACCACGGGGATCTCTGGAGTTGGATGGCGCGCCTGAATTGCCGTATGAAGAGCTGTTTTCCCACTCTGGCGAGTCCGTAGAATGACATGACTTCCCCGACAACCGACTGTAGCTGGCGTTCTGTCGCTTGTCGCGCTGCTCGCTTCCACAATATCATCCCCATAATCCAATAGCATATGGATTGTCTTCTCTTGTGATCTTCTGACTGCCGGAAATATTGCAAGGCCTATATCATGGAGCTGCTGTTCAATCGTATGCCCCCCGTATTTCTTTAGGACTATGCTGATGTATTCAGTATGTCCGTGATACGCTAAGTCCGCGAGCAGGTTGCCGCCTGCCCATCCCTCCTCCCAAGGTTGGTTCAAGAAGCCATTGTTAATCAGAGTATGAAGCATACTTTCATATTGATGATGATTACCAATCTTAGCCGCAGTGACGAACTTCCCAGGGGCGAACGGATTTGTGCCATTAGTTCTCGACTTGGAGATCGACTTGTTAATTGGCTTGGCACCAATCCTTTCCGCTGCATTGGGAGGAAGATGCCTCAGTAGCAACAATGCAGTGTCAAGGTAGCCCTTCCCAGCGGCAAGCTGTACCGCTGGCCATTCACCACCTCCTCCATGCTGCTCAATTTCTAGGTCAACTCCCGTTGCGAAAAGATGTTTCACAACCGCATTGCATCCTGTAAAGGACGCAACTCGGAAAGGCGTCCAGAGATTCGGGTAATGACGACGCACCGCATCCATGACCGTACTGTTGTATCCGGAGTCAAAGTATGTTGAGAACCCCGTTGTTTGGTGGTGAAAGATTGAGAGTGCAGCCGTCAGGAAAGTCACATCATCGTCGATACTCCCGTTGCTGAGGTGGTAATGCTCCTCCCAATACCGAGCCCAATATGAGAAACGAAGACATTTCAGGTTGAATTCTTCCTCGTCAAGGTCGCCGAAGCCATCCCTGGTAAGCATGTACAAATTCTGCACGCAGGCGCGGGCCAACTCAGCATGTGCTTGGTGTGCAGAGATTGAGGATTGCCATTGCGTGTTAACATGCACCTGAGCAACGAGCACAGAGGGCTCGACCTGAGGGTTTCCTAAAAGAAATTCTCGGGCTGTTAGGTGAAAGAAGTACACTATGTCTCTATGAAAAGAGACGAATAAGCCACATAATTGTCGGAGGCGATCCTTGAAGTCATCCTTAGATTCATGGTCATCCTTTGGTGAGATACCGGCACAGGCGTTGAGTGCAGCCTTCATCTCCGACACTCTGAGCGGTCGTACGGCTCCAATAATGAGGCATAGGGCTCTGCGAACGGTTGAATGCTCTGTCGATCTGCTTAGCAGCTTCTCATATGCTTCGTTTACAGACGTTGGCAACGTCTTAATAGCATATTCAATGCCGTCCGCTGTCTTTTTTAAAGATTGATATCGTAAATCGTCGAAAAGAAGGGCAACCCAAAGGTATGTGCGGTGTTCGATTTCGAGCAGCATGTCGCGAAGTTTTTTCTTCAGTTCAACGTGTAGCCTCTTTTCTTTGGCAAACTCTTCCACGCGATATTCAATTACAAGGTTGACTTCTTTACTGATATCCTCGCATTGATCCTCGCCCAAAATCCGAACATATGACGGAACAACGTCTTTCAGGCGACCAAATTGGGAGGTAATGGAATCATAAGGGCGAGTTGTGAACAGGAATTTGGCGTTAACTGACTTTGCGATGCTCTTTCGAAGATATGGGACCAAGAAATCTTTGAGGTCAGAGGGATCACACTCATCGAGCGCATCCACGACAACTATGATGGAGCCAGCTTCAGGGTCGCGCACGGCTTCCCAAAAGATGGTCCAGAGAGACGAAGGTGTACTGAAAACTCCCTTGGGATCTCGTAAGAGTTGATCCATGGCATACTTCTTAAGCAATGTCGGGTTGCAGACGAAGAGTTGATGAAGTATGGCGCATAGCGCTTGAGAGATTCTGGTTTGATGGGGTTCTTTGAAGAAGAAGTAGCAAATAGTGGCTGATTCTCGTGGAAGATAGTGATCCACCAAGTATTTGGTCAAAACGGATTTTCCACATCCGGGTCTGCTGTGATTAGGAGGGGTCCGGAATTTTGTTCCATCCACTGGCAAAAGCTTTGCTGTCGAACAACCCATTGGCAAGTACCTTCCACATGGGCATCAACTCTATCTTTGGTCACTTCGTAGGTGTCTGTACTGGTTAAACGTAGGCGCTGAAGACACTTCATTTCATCATCCGACATTTTTTGCTTGTCCTTCCGCAGCGCCTCAGCTTGCTGGAATTTGGACTGCTCGGTGACGGCGATCAGAATTGCCTGTTCGGCCTGCAACTGCTTCTCATTCGTATTGGCAATCTTTGTTGCCGTATCCCCTAGAGGTAGCAAGAGCTTTTGCAAGTCCGTCGCGTGCTGTTTGCTCAAGTCGTTTCGATTTTTGGCTTCGAGAAGCAGAGCAGAAGCGGTGACATGCTCCAGGTCTTGGTTCAATAGAGCTTCTGCCTTGTCAATGTTGGCCCGCAACTCCTTCCATGCGTTCGGGTTGAAGGTCTCCTTGACGAACGTCTTGGCAGTACGTTCATGAAATCGAAGAACTGTGCGGATCTGAAACTCCAGTAAGGCACTGTAGAGGGTCTCAAAATTCTTCTCCATCGCCGCCTTTAGAGACGAATTTAAGTGGTCGTCCCCGTTCGAAGACCAACGGCTCGAGGGCGGAGTAGTGCTCCATCCTGTGGATGGTATATGTGAAGCCTTCGCGGTTGGCCTCCTCGGCATCGAAATGATTGGTGAGAAGCGGGAGAACTAGACATACGGCGGCCCAGGCTACTGATGCTTCGGGGGATGCGCTCACGGCCTGGGTAATGAATCCTTTGATCGAGCGGAGGAACGCTGCTGTGCCTCCGAGGGCGCTGTCTACGCTTCTCGTCACGCTCTCTTCCGTTTTCCTCAGCCCACGGTCAATGATCTTGTCCAGTTGGAGACGGCGAAGTTGCTGTGAGCCATATGGAAGGGGCGTCGTTGGCTCCAATGACCTTTGAGACTCTGGGTCGTAAACATGATTTGAGGCAGGACCTTAAATACCCAGTCAGTATCATAGCCACAGAAATACAGAAAAAGAGGCAAAGGGCAGTAAGTTCATACGAGATGACTGAACTTCTCTTGAAATCAGAGTCTCATATTCTTCCAGCAGTTGAGCATTGTCCTTGCGCAGTGTGTCATAAGCGCGGTCCCAAAGTGATGGCTTGTAGGGCAGGCCGTCGTCTGCGGATGTGTCGACTGCTGGGCATTCCGCATCATCTTTCGTGATATTGCTGGCCGATTGTCGCTGTCCCTGTTCCGCGTATTGATTTTGTCGTGGTTCGGGAGAAGGTCCCTCAATTTCGCTCTCGGTTCCTTTGCACACAATTTCGTCGGGCGGCAGAGGTGATCGCACCTTCTTCTCCAGCTTTTCATGCTTCTGTCGCCGCAGTTTACTGAATAATCTGGTCGTTGTTGCCGTTTGAGCGTCCAAGTTGGAGGGCTTGGCATCCCCTGCTGCAGGATGTGCGGTGGGAAGCCGCAACAGCTTTCTGATATCTCTCAGTCCCACATAGCAAGACAACCAGACAAGTCCCGATTCTTCTGCCCTCTGCCAGAGGAGAGCAGCCTCATGCGGTAATATCTCATGACTCTTCAGGATCAAAGTGTTCTCCAACGTTCTCAAGTTCGACCTGGCGTCGTCTGCTCCTGCTCCTATCCCTCAGCTCATCAAAGAACACTTCGAACAGTCTGAGTCGACAAGACAAGCGTTTTCAGGTGGGCCCCGGAAGTCCGTCTCACATAACTTGAACTGTCTTGAAGTGGCCCTTCCTACGGTTCAAACCACTCCTGTTCACAGGCCTCTTTTTGGTCTTTCGCGGTAATCCCAGATCACATTGTACATCATAAGTTTCGCCGTGCTCCTTTAGCAGGTGAATAATCAACCCATTTGAGACCGCAAACAGACGCTCGACAGCCTCTCTGCTTTTGGGCAGAGTATTTTCTCTTCAGCTGGTTAAACAGCTTGGCCTCGGGGCCTTCAGCACCACCTGTGATGTCGAGAAATATGTGCTCCTATCCAAGGAAGAAGGAATCGGGTGAGATCAGGTTGCGTAAGGCGAAAGAAAAGAAAAAAAAGGCTCTCATTCTCGCGGGAAAGCTATAAAGCTGTCAGACATCACTCCTCTTCCCCAAACAGCCAACTAATCGGTACAACAACGCCATATTTCTTCCACTCGAGTTCTTCGACATCGATACCGTTCTCAGAAAGTAGCTGGAAGATCAACTCATACTTTCTCGCAACTCGCCGCTCGAAATTCTTTACTTTTTTATCACGCCGCTGATAATGTAGTTTACTGCGAGCATCGTACCTTTCAAATTTCGCCAAGATAGCTTTCCGCTCTGCAAACCCATTCTCCACGTTTAACGAGTAGTCGTGAACCAGGTCAGCAATTGCAGTTTCATCATTCCAAACGACCTGATTCAGAAGGGTCTTGGTCTCCGTCTCCTTTGCTCGGGCACTGGCGGCTTGTTCAAGGAGCCAGTGGATTGTCGTCAAGGTACTCAAGCGTCTTAGTCGCCAATTGTTCCAGTCTGGACGGTTCATCCATTCCTCGACATTTTCAGATAGTATGCTGCAGAGATCCTCCAGAACGACATCAATATTGGCTCCTTGGTCAACAAGCAGCTGCATCGCATCTTTATGTCCGGACCGGGCGGCTATGTTCAGGGGAGTATAACCGCAGTGTTTCTCCACCACATCCCATCGCGCTTCCGCCTCCAGCAGCATCCGTGTCATGCCACAGTGTCCTAACGCAGCAGCTACATATAAAGCGGTCTTCCCGTTTTCATCAGCCACGTCAGTTTGGGCGCCACGGTCGAGTAATAACCGTACAACACTTTTTCGTCCGCGTTGTGCAGCTAGTTGTAGCGCTGTTCGGAAAGAGTCATCGACGGCGTCAATTTGAGCGCCCCGATCAAGAAGTAGCCGTGCAATATCATCAGAATTGACCCAGGATGCCAACTGAAGAGGTCTAGTTCCGTGTTTTGTCCCCATCTCTATGTTGGCACCTCGGTCCAAGAAAAAAGTCACCATGGGTGTTGCTTGGAGGTAAATGGCGAATCCCAGCGGGGTGTACAACGTCGATGAGCTTCGGAGCGTGTACGAATTTATGAGTTCCTGAAGACCGTTTTTCGAGGAGTAACGATGCGCTATCGGGCATATTCCACCTTACAGCCCTGTCCAACAGCCGAACACCGAGTTCTTTCCTGGTAGAGGTATTTTTCAACAGCCCATGGGAAACCAACAATATCAGCGCGGTCTGCATAGACGGTCCATAACGTGTCTCGGAAATGATCCGATTTTCCACATCTGGAAAAGGATTCATTCCCAATTCTTCCGCAGCATGAGGGAACCTATTGAGCAACTTCTCCAGAACTTTGTACTCATACCCATCTACGCCTGGACGGCCTGCCACAATAGCCAATTGGATTGACGGCCACCGCCCGTCATCACGCTCTCTCTCAACGTCGAGATCATCGAGGCCGAGTAGCCAAGTGACAGCAGTTTCCGCATCGAGGTGCGACGCTACTTGAAGAGGTGAATCGTATTTGCAGAGACTCTTCCAAGCCCATGGCAGGCAGGACGATTCAGAGGTAGCCGCGAATTCCTCCGAATGCACCTTACATCGAGGCAGTAAACGTCCCACCACGTCGTCGCACGGTATGTCGCCAGCATCTTCGAGATGGCGAAGCCAGTGTAGTGCCGAATAGTCCCAAAATGGATCATAGTTTATCTCTTCAGATGGCCCTTTAAGCAGGCAACCGTCCCCGTCGGTGAGCTTCATATAGATAACGCAGCAGCTGAGAAGCTCATGATGTGCTTGTGGCATGCGAAAGGAGTTTTTCCATATTGACTGATCGGGGGGTTTTGGCCCGTCCTCGGCGTTGGTTGCAGATAGTAGGAACTCTCGGGCGGTTTGGTGCAAGAAATAAACTTTGCCATGGTGAACAGAGATGAACAAGCCACAGCTAGTTCTCAGACGTTTTTCAAAGTCGGCATCATCCTCGTCCAATTCTTCGAGCGATTCCGACGTGGGGTCGATGTTAACGGCGATGTTCATCTCCGAGACAGTCAGCGGCCGATAAGCGGCAAGTATGATGCAGAGGGCTTTTCGAGCCATTTTCTGATCCATTGACCTGCTGAGAATCCGCTCATACGCCTCGTTGACGTTCTTGGGAAGTTGTTTCATGGCATCGACAACCCCTTTTGGTGTCTTCTTGAGATTTGCGTCCTCTAAGTATTCGAATACTAGATAAACCCAAAGATATGTGCGATGCTGGATGGCAAGTAGTTGGTTCTGGAGTGCTTCTTTGACATTTGGCCGAAGTTTCTGCTTGCTGGCAAACTGCTCGACCCGAACCCTGATAACATGGTTGATCTCCTCACTGATGAGATCGGAACTTTCTTCTCCAGGAATCCGAACATTCGGAAGCCAGTCGGTAAGAGAGTGAAACTTGTCCACAATTTGGTCGTATGGGCGGCTAGTGAGGAGAATCTTCAGCCGATCTTGCCCGGAGCTAGATGGCCAGCTCGAGCGAAACAGACTGCTAATCCTGCGTAACAGATCCTGGCACTCGATTTGGATGCATTCGTCCATAGCGTCTAGTACCAGGATTGTTGGGCCTGCGTCCTTGTCTTGTACAGCTTGCACAAGCACTTTCCACAGGGACTCCGTCGAGTTGATGATGCCTGTGCCGTCTTTTTCGTATTGCTTCATAGCATGCTTGACGAGGTGCCTGCTTTGGGAAAACAATTGATGAAGAAGAGCGCAGAGTGCCTGTCGGACGCTATTCTGGTCGCCATCCTTGAAGAAGAAGTAACAAACAGCGGCGGAACTTGTACTCGGAGCCTCTGGGAAGAAGCCATCGACAAGATACTTTGACAAGACGGACTTCCCGCATCCAGGGTCCGCCGATATCAAAAGTGGTCCCGACTCTGCAGCTAGCCATGTTTGGAAGTTTTGGTGTTGAAGAACCCATTTGCAGGTGTTTTCCACTCTATCCTCAACACGGCTCTTATACCATTCGTAAGTGACGTCCTTGCTGTTTTCAGTGAGACGGAAAAGTTGCAGACATTCTTTTTCCTTTTCAGTCACAAGTTTGTGGATGTCTTCTGCAACATCCCGAATGAAACTCTGCAATCCCATCAATGACTTGTCTTGACCAGCCATTGTTAGTGAATGCTTAGCTGCTGTGTTGATGTTGTGGATATTTTGCAGGTCCTGATTGAAGATGCTTTCCTGCTTGGTAATGGCTTCAATGAGTTCCGTCCAAATGCCGGGTGAGCAGATATCCTCGAAGTAGCGTTTCAAGCCCTGTCGATAAAATCGAAGGACTGTCCGGATCTGAAACTCGAGCATGTATCGATACAGGGCCACAAAGTGATTCTCAACCTCGGCCGTCAGAGCGGGTGAGATAGAGGATCCTATGCCATGCCGAAGGATCTGTGGCTCCATTGCGGACCAAAAGCTCATCCGAGAAGTGACAAATGCGAATCCGTCCTTGTTAGCTTCGTCGGCAATGATAGGATTTGTAAGAAGTGGAAGGATAATGCACACCCCTGCCCATGCCATGGAAGCTTCGGGGGACCCCTTGACAGCCTGCTCGATGAATTCTTTGACCGTGCTAGCCAGCTTCGCAGCTTGGGCAATCTTCTCCCGCGGTATGAATTCTCGGTTGGGCTTCTTCTCCGGGTCAAAGCCATGCAAGCTCTTCGCGATCATTGTATCGAGTTGTTACCTCCGTGACAATCGACGATTGAGAGCTAATGTGTTGCATGCTGACGTTTCGGTAATCTCGATATATGCCTCCACGGCTCTAGAATCTTGACGTCAAGGACACTGTCAGTACTTCTTTGAGACACCAAAGGCCTCTGACACATACCTGGGTGGTATTTTTTGAGCTCTGTTTCCAGCAGCGAGTCATACTCCTTGACCAAGTCCGGGTGGCTTTCTTGGAGGGCATTGTATGCGCGGTCCCAAAGCGAAAGGGCCGGGGTATCCTCAGAAACTTCATTTCTAACCGGTTCACTCGATGGACGATGCTCGAAAAGTGTGCTGGTTCCACTTGCGCTCGCAGCGATTAGTTCATCGTCGAGCTGGGTAGTTGACGGTGTTGGGTTATTAACTAGCGGGCCCGCCCGGCTTTGCTGGTGTGCGGCAGGACTGTGGCATAAAGCCGGAAGAACTTCATCTTCATCAACTTCTGTATCCAGACCGATTGCCGAGCCTACGACTGTGACGCATTGCCTCTGGTGTGCAAGAGTACTCGCTACCGGTTTCTGGTCGTCAATATCTGTGGATTTGCCGGAGATGATGTGCGTACGTTGGCGCTCAACAAAGCTAGCTTGACAGACTTGGGTGTCGGCGACGACAACGGGCGCCGTACCCAAGTGCTTCTTCTTGCCGGTTATTCTGTTGACAAAGCCTCTAAAGCCACGAGAAGTACTGCGCTCGAGCGGGTGCTCATCGGCTTCCCGTCGAGCACGCTTCTGGTGAAAGTGGCCCATTTCCAGGAGTTTGAATCCCCAGGTTGTAGCTTAAGGGGTTGAGTAGTCTGTGTGAGGACAAGGCTGGTGATGTAGCGCGGGATGAGCAGAGTGAAAGAGTTGAAGTAGCGTCGGCACCTACCAGGAGTGGGGGGTTCAGAGGTGAGCGAGAGCTTTGCTGAAGCGCATCGTGGGACGTAACCGACGTGATTGGATCAACGACGAAGGAACCTATCGACCCTGGTAGACGATAATTGCATGCATTGCCGCCAGACTCTGCTCTTCTTTTCGGGAGAAGTTGCACTGTATCTGACAGTCATCTCGGATTCTGAAATAACACCAGAGCTCAGCTCCCCCATGTGGGCTTTGCCTGGGTAAATGTAGGTGGTCATTACTGTCGTCTGGGGACCTGGGTTGTTCTGGGCACCTCCTGTATCGTCGCCGTCCAAGTGCATCTTAGACATCGGAGACGGCGGCGATGAGGTCTCAACTAGGCGAAAGATCTCCTTATATCCCGTGGGCACAAAACCCAGGCGCGCGAATGTCTTCTTTCCCGCAGGCGTTGCCGTGAGTGCTGCGCATCAAGGGACCATCACGTCAGCCACAACACCAAAGACAAAATCAAAGTCGTATGGCTTTCGAGTTACTCACCAGAGAATCCCAAAACATCCCACCTCCTCCCCCCCACCTCAGCATTGGATGCCTCGACCCTCCTCTGGACCTCCTCCAATGCCATGTCCGCAAATCGCATTTTGCCGTCCTCACAGCCTCGCACTGTCACCGCTGCAGGCCGCGCACCAGTCTTCTTCAAGGCGTCCTCGGCGTCCCATGCAGCGAAGCGTTCAATGTGGAACACATGCAACCCAACCTCCACAGGCGCCTGCAGCTGCTGCAGCTCTCTCCCCGCGAACATCTCTCCAGCATCAACATCCACCTCCTTGATCTTGCCCACCAACAAATCCTCCCAGTACTTCTTCCCAAGAGGGAGCACGATGATGACGCCCACCGGTTGTTCCGAGTCATCACCGCTGGCACTGAAGCAGATTGACAGCTCGGGACAGGCGTCTCTCCAGCTTTGCAGGCGCTCGTAGGTCAACGGGGCCGGGTACATTTCCTGGTCGGAGGCGTAGATGGTGCGGAGGAGGACGTCGCTGATTCGACTGGTGTGGAGGGGGCTGTGTATGGCCATTGTGGCGGGGGATCGTGGCGGAGGGGGAGGTGGTGGTGGTGGTTTGAAGAGTGACGGCGAAAATGTGAGGTGAAGTTGTCAAGACTGTGGGAAACACGGTGATGGATGTGTCCGTTGAGGATGCGCTCTGGACCTCTGGTGCAAGTGTTGCGGCGCAATTGGTGGAGGTGGGAAATCCCAAAGTTTTGGTGAAGTTCAGGAGAATGTTCAATCTCCGCCAAAAGGAAAAAGAAATCGGCCAACAATTGATGAGTGAACGCAGGCAGCTGGATTGATGAGGTTGACACAAGGAAGGAGCGACAATGACAACTTCAGTGAAGAAATTGCGCCCGTCATGTCTCACGGAAGGTGCGTGAGAAATGCCCAGTGTGCCAGTCCAGCTTGCAGTGGTTTCAGTGGACAAACAACGGCAAGATGTTTGAGCTAACAGATTTGCGCAGTGATACCATATAGGATTGTTAGCGGCTTAACAAAACAATACAACAGCTATCAGAACATCAAGCCGCATACCTCTCGCAGCGATCAAAACACCAAAATCACTCCCATATCAAACAAAGGTCATCGTGCAAAAACCTCGTCACCACAAGCAAAAAAAAAAAAAAAAAAAAAAACACAAAGAAATAGACACAACGAAGCATGAAACCAAAACATGCAAAAAAAAGATGATGTTGTCCTACAAGGAACATCGGGAATTGAGCCCGACGTGGGGGTCGAACCCACAACCTTGAGATTAAGAGTCTCACGCTCTACCGATTGAGCTAGCCGGGCAGCGCAAGCTGCCATTGGTTGATGTTCTGAGCAGCATCTTTGTCTTATATGTGTGGATGTAGAAATCTGCAGAACTCGAGAACCACCACCGCACAAAGATGGCCACTCTTCGTTTTGACAATCTAAAAGTGCCAGTAGACCAACTTCTTTCTTTGATCCAAGTTTTCCTCAGAAATAATGGCAGAATTTTTTTTTTTTTAAATGCCTGCAATGGTTGCCGCAATCATCCATCCGCATCCCCGAACACCACAAACCCGAACACAAACCACACCACACCCATCTGCAAGGCCCAGAATCCCAGGGGCTGTTTATCTTCCGATAAATGACCCGACGCCTCGGGATTCTGTGGTCTCCATGAAAGGAAGGGATCTACACACTAACCCGATCCTGAAGTTGAAGCACGACATGAACATCACGCAGGTCCCGAACCCAAAGAGACTACGTTTGTCGTAATGTGCATGCCACCTTTTTTTTGCATCTGTGGTGCTGGGTCCATTTGGCTTCAAGTTGCGTCAAGGCGCTGTCACGGTAGGAACTCAAAGAGCTCATCATCCACGAAGCAAGCGAATCCAAATGTTTAGGGGTAAGAAAAAGGAGTGTATTAATCACCAGGCCTGAGTGATATATAGGTAGCTATGTGTGAAAATGAAAAGAAAAGCAGATCATAACAGAAAGAGGCTTGCAAAAGGGAAGGAAAGAAATCATCCATCCCTCATCGATCCATCAACTCATTATCGTTTTCCCCCGTCCACCGCCATCCACCCGCCGTTTTTGCCTTTTCGGTCCAGCCATAGAAACCAAACCCAAGATCATCAGCTTCCTCGTCTAGACATGCTTGTGTTGCTGCTACTGCCAGTCCGACAGAAGGGGTTCCTTGCTGCAGAAGGGCTGCTGGACTGGCAGCGTTGGATCGGCATCGCCTAGACTTTGCGTTGTTGCCGTGTGACTTATAACGCGCAGTTGGCCGCGTTAATGAAGACGAGGGCGTTACCGGTCTGTGTGGAGAAGAAGAAGAAGGGCAAAGGTTAGCAAGGCGAACTGTGCTTAGTAGAATCTGTAGGTAGAGGTGTGGAGGTTGGGGGAGAAAAACTCACGTTGGTAGCATCGCTCTTGCAGCACTTGACGCTGGCGTTGCATTGGCCACCGATGACACCGACAACGCAGGCGAGCGCGGCGCTGAGGTCGAGGCCGAGAAGGCCACCGAGGACTCCACCGCCGGTGCTGGACAAGCTTTGGCAGCAGTGGGGCTTGTAGTTGGGGATGGTGCAGGACCCGGGAGTGATGGTCGTGCGGGCAACGACCTCGGCCGGAGCCGCGGCGGCGGTCATGGCGATGGTGAGGAGGGTGAAGACGCTGGAGAACTGCATTTTGACTGGTTGGTGGTGCTTTTGAAGAAGCTGGGGGGGTTTGGTTTTGAAGATGGTTTGGAAGGCGGGTTTGAAGGCTGAAAGGCTGTTTCTTGTCTGTGGACTGAAGATGCTGATGCTGATGCTGATGAGATTATAGACTCCAAGGTGGACGAGAGAGGAGGTTTATATAGACTTTCGGACCTTATTCCAAACGCTGTGATTGAAGACATTATCAATCAAACTTGGCCAAGTTCTTGGGTCTTCCTGGTTCTCCCTCCTCCTGTCCGCCGTGGCTTGGTGTTGTTGTCGTGTTGATTCATCGACACTCGTCATTTCCAAGTCCGGCATCCGACCTGAGATTCATCGGGATCCAATGGACCCAGAATCTTCAAGTTGTGGATCGGGGAATGTGACAAGGGGATCATACTCTTGACTCCAAATGGGGAAAATCAAGGAGTAGGCGGCGCAGAGCCTCCATCAGTTTGTTGGAAATTTGACCACGGCAACCAACATCGTGACTCAGAATCTGGAAAGAAGAATGACGATCCTTTGACTATCGAATGCTGCCACATGTCGGACAGGAGGAATACCAAGTTCAGTCCATATCTGGATTCAGCACTGTTCTGAACTACACGGTAAGAGATGCATCAGTGACGAAGGTGGCTCTGACCAGGGAAGAGTGACGGGAAGGGAGCCTCATCGGGGTTTCCATTGAATCCAGGGTAGTGAAATCTCAGCCAAATAATTGTCGGAATTGGGTTCTCTTGGGAAGCAGTGTGAGTCCAGTATCTAGAGATCTGAGCCGTCGGACGCGGGGAGGGTGCAAGCTAGATTGATGGCACGCTAGCACGCATCCCCGTGGGAATACAGCTTCAAGTCCATGGGAGTCTAGACTCTGGGACACGAGAGAGTGAAGATCCAGCAAGCTGGGTTGTGATCTTCGTGATAATCTTGAGCATCAGTAGAGACCAAAGCGGTAATGGGGGACCCACTGTCTGATGGAATATGTTAACATGTACAGCAGCTACCGTTCCTTCGAGTCGAGAAGTAGCTCTACCAACAGGCGGTTGGGAAAGGCATCTTCAAAGACGGTGGCATACCACTAACGACAGTCGGATGTCAAGTCCAAAGATGACCATGTGTGTTAGATCCGGTGAGCCCGGCGGACCTGGACGGCAAGTTGCAGCTCGGAAGAGTTGGCCAATGGTCATGCCAGCATCACTCTTTCCAAGTTTTGAACCTGACGGGTACGAAGGGACTCGGCAGCAGCATCTAGCGGAGAAGGAGCAGACGGCCTTACGCTTCCCGCTATGACCAAGGACATGAATCACGACCCAGAACTGCCAGTATGGAAGTTGATCATCATTTCCCCACCCGTGAATTGAGGGGTGAAAGTGTAGAATGATACGCAAGAACTGAATTGTACAATGGCAAGTGCAGTCATCCGGGGAAAGATCAGTCTTTGATACCAATCAGTGAATGAAACTCATCCAGAAAAGCGCCTACTCCGGATTCATTTGGAGTCAGAGTTTGCAACGCGTGATGGTATTGATGAAAATGGAACACGGAGGAACACTGACATCACAGCAGGAATGGGAGCCTCAGACATACCTGGTACGTAACGGTTTAACGTTTTGGGGTTCGGGTAACGCAACCGTTCATGTTTTCAGCCGCTCCAGTTCCAGCCATGAAACCGGCATACCGCCTCCGAGTCTTCGTTGCGCATGGGCATACCCCCGTGTCATTCGTCAGGAACATTGTTTCCTCCCGTGGATGACAGCAGCCGTCGCAGCTGCCAACTCCACGGAACTGCGTGACTGTGTAACTCTTGCACCTTGATGGTCTGGCCCACATCCCACGCGCCCGGATCAATTTGTCCTTCAATGGAAAGCACGACTTCATTCGGCCTCATCACCAGGGACATCCAATCCCGAGCTGCATTGCCGTCAGGACAGGACAGATGGTCCACCGCGGAGCTGAAAGTGTCATGTCACTGGTGCAAACAATGGCCCTCCTCTCTTTTCTTTTTTCTTCAATCTTCTGATCTTATTCTCCATGTGGTTAAGATCAACCCGTCATCGATCTGTTGGAGAGATGAGACAGGCATATCCAGATCCTGGATGCGACCTTGAAATTACACCGTGTTTGCCTGGATTTCCACATGGCCCAGCGCTTAGAAAACATCTCCAACGAAGCCCCAACAAGAATGTTTGTCATTATATTTGCATAACTGAATGCGCTCTCCAGTGGTCCCTCACGGCCAGGCGGCCTATGGAGCCAAGGCTCGACGGCGCAAAGCCGGACGGACAATCATGAACAGGGGAACCAACCAATCCGAGGGGACGGCCAGTGAAACAGCCAAAAGTCATACGACGGTGCATACGATTATGGTCGTCAGGGTCGCACAGCATCTAGACAGTATCCGATTGCGCCATTGTCTTCCTAGCGGGACGCACCAAACAGCAACAACACTTGGAAGCCTGATACAGACGCACGCCAGGACATCCGTATCCGTCCAGTTCATACATGATCATTGCTCTTTCCGGCTTGTTTTCCAGCCAAAGTCTCTGGTAAAGTTGCAAGGCATGATCCCGATGGCAACATCTTTACCGAAAACTCTCGGTCTGTGGTCGAGTTCACCCTGACAGGCTGTGCGAAATAAGGAAGCGGGAAACGTGTTGAAGAATGGCTGAGTACTCCGTTGCCTTGGAGTTGAGCTCTTCATTGTGATGTTGCCGACAACAGTTCGGAAAAAAAAAGGGGATACGCTTAACAAACTTTCCGTCCACCTGAAGGTCCAGTTGGGTTCAGCTAGGCATTGGTCAAGACCTGCTTGTCCATTACAGGACTCTCGAGCAGAATGTTGTCATCCGCTCTCAACCCGGTCTCCCAACTCTTTGCGTTGTTCGGATCGCCGCATCGTGATCCGTACGCGGTCACCGCAGGTATTGGGTCTTACGCGGACACATTTTTGGAGTCCTGACGGTACCACTGACCCGACCAGACGTGCTGTCTGACTCCAAGATCTTGTCTCACACTTTCACGACAGACAGGAATCGTCCCACCAGCTGTGTTCGTTGCCTGTTTCGGACAAAGCATTCGACCAAACACTGAACAATCAGATCCTCCTCTCCCGATAGAGACGCTGATCGTTCTTTGGTGTGTTGGGAGTGAACAACACGCGGAACCATGGACTTGTAGCGCCTGAATCGCCCTCCCCAATCCTGTCTATACCTGCCACGAATTCCTTCACTCGAGGCCCAACCACCCGTGCCGTCAGCAACGGGCAAGCATCATGAGACTGACAGCCATAACCACACGCCTCCTTGGCGGAAAGGTCCATTCGCTCGCGTTAATCCCGTCTTCTCGAGCCATGGCTGTTGCATGATCTCTTTGGGGAAGTCGTCCATGATGACTATGAGCCACCCCCTTACACACGATGCATCGTCACGCCAGCCGTGCTCCAGACTAAGAAGCCTGGGATGCTGATCAAGTTTTCCTGCGTGCGGTGGTGCATCGGAGCATCGGAATATCGTTCAGCCTCTAAGCCTCGCTCAAGGCAAAGGGTGCAGGAGCCTCGGAGGTTGTAGCCTCGAATTCTGAGAGGTCCGCGCGTTGAAGGTGGTGAACGGGCATGTCAACCAGGAATTCGAGATGAGTCAATGGGGTCCCCAACGGAAATTTCGGGCGCGTAAACTCCCTAACGCTCACCCTCCGCCTCAGCCGTTCATTTTCTCGGGAAAGGCCTCCATCGGCTGACTGTCAGTTTCAAGACAATGATTTTGAATCGTCAACGTCATGTATGTCTCGCCAAGTTGGCGGTGGAGGTTGTACATGACGGCAATGCTCATTACCGGGCAGAGCCGGGTTCTGGTCGTTGCCTTTTCATTCTCAAGCTTCGAGGGAGTGGCGATGTTCTAGGTGAGAATACCGGGTTTTCGGGAGACGTGTTGAGGTGAGGCGTAAGGAGGGGAAGCGGGCGGCGGCCGCATGCGCAGGCGCGTGCCCGTGCGAAGGATATCGGAAGAAAACCAAGTTGTGTTGTTGGTGGGAATTCGCTGTTTTTGTCGCTCAATGACCCGGAAATCGTGCCTCCTCGCAAACAAATCAGGCTTAAAGCATAAAAGTCGAACCTTCCCAGTCCCAATGAAGTTGTTCTCGTCATGATCCTTCCTTCTTTCCTTCCACAAGGACACAACAAGTCGTCAAAAGTGGATAACTCCAGGCACCAATCACCACTCTCCACTGCGCCAAGCAAGGGCACCCTCGCCAGCGCCAGGACCACTTCACTTACTCCACCCTGGTGTCCTTGCACTTGCCCAATGGTCTGTCCACTTGCTGCTCCTCTTTTCCCACCAAACGTCAAATTTTCTGCCTTTATAACCCACTTTCCCGGACCGACTGCCAACAACCAAACTACGACAGTTGCCTCACAACTGTAACATCTTCCGTAGTATAGTGGTCAGTATGTGAGCTTGTCAAGCTTGAACATCATCGGTTCGATTCGCTCGAGACCCGGGTTCAATTCCCGGCGGGAGAGACCAATCTTTTTTCTGAGTTTTTTCTTGTGTTTCCTTCTCCCCTCCATATCGGTTTTTTTTTTTTTTTTTTTTTTTTTTTTTTTTTTTTTCCCCTATCACTTGTTTATGTCGTTGTCACCATATAGTTTTTTTGGGGTAATATTTTTTTTCCTGCCATATGTTCTCAGGTTGAAGTGTAAAGAATTATTGCTCCGAGTTCGGTAAAGTGTTTGTGCAAAGTTGCTTCACGAAAACATCAACACAACTTGAAGTCAGCTTCACGGAAAAGAAGGATTGAAATGAACAACATGGATCGTCGCCTGGATGGACATGTAGCAATTGTACCATGTTCACATAGCAAATGCAAGACAATAGCTTCGGATAGCAGATGTAGGAACTGGAGCAACAACTGGATGATAACATCTGGAGTTTGGAATTTTGGACACCCTAATGAAGCAACCTGGTAAATGTAATAGTGAGCGTAGACGGGAGTTTTGATGCCTGCGTTGGGTACGAGATATCGGAGAAGAAATTATCGTTCATGGAGCGTTAGACCTCACACAAGTTCAGATAACGACGT